CAATTGAAGCTGAGCCGAGGCTGGACTCGTCGCATGTTTCCCTGTAACGTTTTCCCCAGGTCGGTATTGATATAGTTGTGCCACCCATCGAACCTCGCATGGGTAACCGCGTCTATAGCTCTGCATATCTTCTGGCCGTCGTAACTTTTTTCGACCTTCCTTGGTAGGTGCGAGACGTACCTCTTACCTCTCTGCCCACGTATACAACACGCAACTGTTGTCCGAGATCTCCGACATTTTTCTTTTTTTTTTTCCCTTTTGTTTTTTACCCCCTCTTAAAACACCCCTGCTTCTCTCGGTCCCTTCAAGGGTCATGGTGACACGGCTGCTAACCCATGGGCATGCTCCCTGCCTATGATCGTGATCCTTGTGACCGCCTCGCGGTCTCGCTTGCATGGGCCACTCGGATATTTCTCGGATGGGATGAGGTGCAGGTCAGCCAGGGGCGCTGCAAATAGTTGTCCCCTGCGCCCTCTATCTACGTGCGCAGGTCCTGGGCAGAGGGGGGAAGAGGGGAGGGGAGATGGGGACTTCCTCTTCACTTCACCGCGGCGTTCGCTGACCGACATGGTCATCGTCGCTGCAGGGTCAGTAGGTCTGTTTGTCGCCCAAGTCATCTACTGCCTCTGTGTGTAACAATGCTTTTTGGAGGTCATTTCCCCTCTTCCATCCTTCCCCCTTGCACTTTACGCACTAAATGATGGGCGGACTGTCTGTAGACTGACAGACTGGCAGAGGCTCTGGGGGGGGGGGGCATATAAGTCGAGCTGGCCTTCCGCGAAGTCCCATGGGGATGGCCGTTCAATTGTTCATGGGCTATATCTGAAAGCACTTTACTATCCTCTCGTCCCTCGTATTCCCTACAAGGTTACCCTCTCTCTCGTTATTTTGATGAGCATTGAGGCTATTATCACTTGAGAGTGTCTCAAATTCTCTTGTGTCCGCCGAGCACAGTCAATTATTTCCACAGCGCCCAGGTTTTTTTAAAAAAAAAAATCGATTTTTTCTTTTTGTATCTCATCTCGCTCATGTCTCGTCTCCGGGCTGCCGGGACCGAGGACGGCAACGGGAACGGATCCTTGAACGGATGCAAGCATGGCACGGGTCCGCCCGAGTCCAACTCGGCGGGATGCCCCACCGACGCCGCCGCTGCCGCCGCCGCCGTCGTCGTCGTTGTCGCCGCCACCAGCAACGGGGACCGAGACGACCGGGAAGGGTTGGAGGCGGGGCATGCGGCGATTCCGAGGTCGACGACCAACCCGTACTCGATGCAGCGGTGGCTGGGCGAGAAGCCACACCAGGAACCCTGGAGCCCGCAGGGTCTTTTTACGGGGCAGTCGACGAGGTCGATGCCGTTGCGACATCCGAGTGGGAATACGGATGGGCTCCGCGGCAGCCGCGGCAGCACTATTGCAGGGCGATCTGGGTCTCCGTAAAGGAGAAAGAAGATGGTGGTGATGATTATGATCTGTGAGTAACAATGACATCCCTCTTTTCCGTGCATTTTTTTGAACCCTTTTGATCCGTTGTCTTGGGACGTGTCGTGCGAGTCTGTCGATGTGGATATCGTGGGACATGTCCTATGTATGGGGCGACGCACAAGGCGGATTCTTGGAACGGGGTGAGCGAATGCTGACACACCTTCTCTGTACGAATGTAGGCGTGGGGGATGGCGTTTGATGCTATCTATCATCAAGCCCCATTCTGTCTATCTAACGGCCCGTGCTTCGATGCGGTCACCGGCCTTGATCTCGTCTGAAGCGGGAGATGGATAGTTCGGATGTCCTCGTTGTCTGATCCGTACTGTGGTTGTTCTTTCATGCATTGTTTTTCTATTCCATCTCCATTTTTTTAAGATGGGGCTTTTCCCCCTTCGTTACACGTAGAATCTTTTGTTTTAAGGTATTGTTTATTTGATTGGAGATGATTTCCCAACCGGGTCGGCCCTCGGTCGAATATGAAGACTATTTGTCGAGCGGGGTGGTGGTTTACTCGTTTCCCCTTTGGGTTGATTTGGTTGATTTTTCTTTTTCTTCTTCTTCTCTCTTTTCGTATTTATAATCATCTAAAGGAGGAAACAAAAGTGCCCTTTGTCGTTCCGAACTTCCGGTATCTTGATATGGTCTGTGACCTTGGTAACTAGGTAGGTCTGATCTGAAATTAACCTGCCCAACTGTTCCTGCCACATACCTACCTGTAGACAGACAGAGGGGCATTACCCCGGCATCAGACTTCCTTGTCGACAGAATGTTGTGTATCATGACCGGTGAAAGTAATACAGAGAGAGAGTCATGGGTCATCGGTGAGTACCTACTTGGTACGACCGATGTACGAAGTACGTACCTAGGACCTAGGGGACCAATTGATTCCGCCCTGTCCTGTCCTCCAATGAGAGGTAATCGAACTGCCATATTGAGACGACGGCTTTCTTCGGATAATGTCGGCCGAACCTCTCGGCCGAGAAGCGAACCAAGAATCAAATGCCTCGGAGTTATTTTTATCCGCATTTATGGATCGTTTCTTGACATGCTCCCAGAATGATTGTTTTTCTTTCTCTTTATATCTCTTTATACACTCAGAACAAAAGAACCAGAGCCGTCGCCAGCATTGTAAAAATTCAAGGAGATCTCATGCTGAAGAACATGGACATACCCCCCTGTACCATCGCATTTCTGGCCAATAATACGAAACACCGAGCGTGTACGGAGCGGAGTACGGGGTGCAGCACGAGAGAATTGTTTGCTTCCAATCCAGCTGCACAGTTACAGATACAGAGAGTGCATGATGTCCCTCGCGTGGCATGGAAGACACTCGCTTCCTGTCGTGAACACGAGCAGACACTCTCTTGTATAACCTATATGCGTCGGTCATACCCATTGAGGATGTCGTGCTGTCGTTGTACGACCCGATATTTTGAAGTCGAGACGAATAAACTTATGCTCTATGAGTTGGGAAGACGTGCATGCAAACGGCGAGATTTGGCCGAGAATGGCCCGTCAGTCATACCGTAAAGTCGACTATACGCTAGCCAGCGCTATACCGCTTTTCACTTAATCTCCACTCCAGGAAAGATATCCTATTAGATGGCAGAGAAATAAAGACACGATCTCGGATATTAACACTTCGGTTATCTGATAAGCCCCTGAAATAAGCCCTTCTTATTGGATATTTCCAGAGAAATCTCGGGGAAAAGGGGCACTAAGCCAGTAGCGCATAGTCAAGTTAGTTGAGTCTTTACGGTATATATTCTCGCTTTGGGGGGGATAGTAGGCCTGGGAGCTAATTGAGAGAGAACGGCACGACGAGTTTCGCCCTTTTGTTTCTAGGATCCCAGAGAAGGGCGAACAGTAGATACCGCCTTCGTAAACCTTTCAGAGATGGTCTCCCATGATGGCGATAGACACGCGCTCTTCTTTCCAACCAGGGTCGTCGCTTGTTCAGATGCCATGTCCTGACACCCAAGTAGAAACAACTCAGATGCTGTCTCTTTTCAGTTCCAGGGTTTTCCGAACATGGTTTCTACAGTGTTCTTGAACCGGAACGAGATGAATGGGCTTTAAAAAGGAACTTTCTACATATAAAAGAAAGAGATAGCCTTGAAGAAGGAGGGGTTATCATGAAGCATTCATCACCAGAAACACACGAAAACTTATTCTTGCCCAGAGATCAGCCGTTAGATTCTCAGAATACAAATGTCCCCCAAGAGCTCGGACAAAACACCAGAGCCTTCGCTGCTCCAAGTGGTGCCCACATGGACCAAGTCGAGTCCACATCCTCCACGGATGGACGTGCCGTACCAAGAGGCAGGGCATGAATCTTCAGACTCGGAATCCCCAATGTCATCCCCAATGTCATCCCCGTTGCCTCCACGTTTAGAAAATCCCGCGATGCGAACAGGTAATTCTGCCACGATGCCCCCAAGCATCGGCAGGCCACTCAGGAACTTTTGGCGTCTCAACGAGACTAACATCGAAACCCCCCGAGTATGTGGTAATAATGACAACTTGGACGTGCTCAGGAGTAAGGTTCACTCGATGGCCCTCCGCTCGGGCGGTGAGTTGAGGAAACGCAGCGACGACCGTCCCAGGGGCAGCAACGGTAAACTGACAAGCAGGCAGCCAGAGACCAACCCGCCAAAGGATGGCCCTGGGTCCTTCTTCAAGAAGATGCTGTCGAAAGGCGACGCGAAACGCCAGGAAGATGACGGTGGTGAGGATGGCTCTGGTCCTGAGGGGAGAACGTCACAAGGGACGAAGGCCATCCTGACTGGAGGGCCCTGGCCGACAAGCGACAGGCACAGGTAACGGGGTCGTACTACCTACCTGCCTTCTTGTCGATCTATATGGGATAACTTAAGTTATGGATGCTGGACATCACAATAGTATAGAACTGAAGCGAAATGACACCAATTTCGTGTCAAACAATAAAGCACGACGTGGCCCTTTAGATGAACATCTTGTTAGCTAGCATGGATATCGACCATTGTGACTGAACTGTAGAGGTAAATACCTGTGCACCGCCGCAGCTCCGTTACGCGGTATGCGGCTTGAGGGCCAGACATCGCCGACATGAACGAGTTACCGATTGCACCTGTCTCAGGATAAGGTATACTAAGGCTAGTGATATGTCCATTGGATCAACGCCAGGTAAAGTCGCACGACCGCTGGTTTCTAGCATAATTTCCACGAAAGAAAAAGGGGTATTGTTCCGTTTAGCCCTTCTTGCGCCCTTGATGAATGCTGTCGCCGTCTCCCAACTCGTCTCCCAACTCCGACACCAAGACATCATCAGCATGTCTACTACTACCTTATGCTTACCCATCCAAAGAACCAGAGGACCAAAGTGACAGAATAGAATAGCCAGCCTCAAAGGGGGTTCGTCTGTCATTCTCACCACCCACCTACATGACCGCCTACTTATCATTGACCACGTTGATTTCATACCCAATCAGGGATTCTGTGCAGGTGCCTTCCCAACCGCGTGTGCCGGCTGCAGATATCATGTAGCGGCATGTACGATCGATGTACAGAGCGGATATGACGCCAGCACGGGGTGGACCGGGAACAATCAGGAAGGGCACTCTCGAGTGCTTGAACGCTGCCGTATCACGCGTGTCATAGAGGCGGAGGATATCGTGCGAAGCACTGAAATGCGAATTAGAACGGGAAAGAAAAGCAAGCTGGGGAAAGAACCGAGCTGTATGGGGGAAAAAAGATTGCCAACACGAAAAGGGAAATACACACCATATGAGATGTCGCCCGTTGGGCATGGCCCGTACGGCGCTGACGGCACCACTGCCAGTCGGGAACTTCAGTGCCCGTTCCGGCTCCCATCCATTCCGGGCCTTATGAATACTGTACTCTTCCACGGTGCCGTTCCGCCGGCCAGCGTAGATCCAGTTACCGTCTGGGCTCCAGCAGGCACCCATGCACCAAGGAGGCACCCCTGGCCGGGTGGCGATACGCGCAACGGCGTTCTGGACGCGCCGGTCCCAAATGCGTAGCGTGCCGTCGATGGCGGCGGAGAAGAAGACCGTATCGGCACTCTGGGTGGGGTCGTGCTCAGGTGGCGGCGGCTGGGATGAGAAGACGAGGGATGGCGATGCCGGAGGCTCTTTCAGCGACGCAGGACCCGCGGGGGGTTGGGGGGAGGCTCGTGCCTCGGGTTGGGCTGAGGAAGTTGGTGGTGGGGGTGAGGGTGGGGGTGGATCTTGTGCTGTCGCCTCCATCATAGGAGTGTCCGTCGTCTGGCCATTTGCTGGCTCCTGGCCCAATGGGGCCGTCCTCTCTGCCGCCGGTGCCGGTGCAGAAGTCGACCCCGATGCTGTCGCTGGCTCGTCAGACGGCGGGGGCTGGGCTGGCTGCTGTCCGGGGCTGGTGCCTCCGTTGTCCTGGTTGTCAGACTGTGGTTCTTGGGGTGGAGGAGGCGGCGCGGTGCCCGAGTTGAAGGTGGCGTTGTCGGCCGAATGATCCAGCCCGCCATCTTGACCCGAACCATCATCAAGACTCATGCCCATAGCTCTCGAGAACTCGTCGTCGTCCTCTCCGCCGAACCCCCCGCCGACCGTCTCCCCAAAGAGAGAACCGGTGTCGCTGCCACCGAACAGGGACTCATGCGCAGGCGAGGCTTGGGTTTCCCGTGTATCGCCATCGCCGTCGCCATCGCCGTCGCCGTCGCCATCGCCATCGGCCCCCGCAGAGTTGTTCCGCGGTGGGTCGCCGCCGCCGCCGCCGCCGCCCGCCCTGGCAGTGCTGAAAGTCCCGGTTGCTACCGGCCTGGTGCTGTTGTTGGAGAAGAAGGTTCCGGTCTTGATACTGAAATCGGATGCTTCGGCAGGAATCGGTGCACCGTTGACGGGCCGTAGTTCGATGGCAGAGATCTGTCCGCCCGTACCGTCAAAACTGCGCTTCACATTGCCTGTGTTCAGGTCCCAATCCAGTATTCTTTTATCCCAACTCCCACTGAGAACGCTTTTCTCATCTTGGGCCAGCGTCAAGACGCTGACGGCATTGGTGTGCTGCTGGAGGCAGGTGATGCGCTTGCCTTCATCATGGCGCACGCTCTGGAGATTGATGCCGCCGGATTCGCAGCCGGAAAGGACCCAGAGCGCCTGGGAATGCACGGCGAGGGAGTAGACGGGGGAGAGGTTGTGCTCCTCGACGCCGCGGCCGTTGGGTTGACTCGGTTCGTCGTTCTCCCAGTACGACATGAGGACACCCGCCTTGACCACACTGTCGACGAAGGGGTGCCGCTGGGCCACGGTGAGGAGCTGCCTCCCGTTGATGGTGCCGGGTCCATCAAATTTTCGGATGTAGCCGTCCGAGCCCCCGCTTAACCAGAAGCGCAGGTCCGGCGTGACGGCGATGGCGTTGATGCTGGTGGCTTGCGGGGCAGCCATGGTGGGAACGATATCGTAGAGCCTCGCAGACACGGCCTCTGGTCGGACCGGCGCGAAGAGGCGTGCCAAGAGGGCTTCTCGTGGGGAGGGTTTTGTTCCGGCAGAGGGGGACAGCCTCGATCCTGGGGAACCTGCGGCATCGGGTGCTGATGTCGCACCATCTCTTGTCCTTAGGTCCGCTGCTGTTCCTGATGGCTGCGACTGTGACCGACCACCCGTTGAAGCACCATCCGTCTTATCAATGGCATCCTCCGCCGTCATGTCCTGATCTCGGTCGTAGTCATCGTTGTCGTTGTCATTATCATTGTCATTGTCGTTGTCATTGTCGTTGTCATTGTCATTGTCGTTGTCGTTGTCATTGTCGTTGTCGTTGTCGTTGTCGTTGTCGTTTTCGTTGTCCATCTCGTTCTCGTTTTCGTTATCATTATCGTTATCCATGTCATTATCATTGTCCTCCTCTTCTGCCTCATTGTTGTAGCCTTCGCCGTCATCAACATCCTCCATGATCTCATCCTGCTCGTTGTCCGAGCTCGCATTCGATTCTATGCGGCACTGTCAGTCGATCGATCCCGCGCCGCCTCAAACGCGTTCAGTGAAATCAACCACAAACCTCTGTCGTCGTCGTCCATGATGTCTGCCCCAGGTTGAGATACTCCTCTGAGATTCTACGGTAGCTCTGCTACTGCTAATGGGGAACAAGGAGAAAGCGTATGGAATGATATAAAGTGCACGGAAAACGAATTGTTTGAGCCGTGGGATCGATGGTTGTATGAATGGGAGAATATGGAGAAGGAGGATTACTTTCCACAGATATCGGGCTGGGGAAAGCTTGCTTGTTGTATTTAACTTATGTTGACCTTTGTTGAAGCCGTTTGTTGATGGCCCAGCTGCGTTTGGTTCATGCACCTTCGTGTCTCCAAATGCCTCCAAACGCAATGCTCGGAATTGAGTGGTGGGGCACTAATTATTAAGGTCTCCACTAGGTATGGTGCAGAATGATACAAAGTACCTTAGTGTACCTCGTAAAGAAGTTCAAAGACGCCGTCGGATAAACGTAATTACGCGACATTCATGTCTCACAACGCCCCAGGTCGTCGTCGCCTTCGTTCCCCCTGACATAGTAATTATTACACAGAATATGTTTATAGATTGTTCATTCTCCCAGGTCAATGAGATTCTCGTCCAGATTCAGGTTCTCGGAGAACGCTTCCTCGAAGACCAGTAGATCTTCCTCCTCGCCCAGAACCATCCCAAGCAAATCTTCCTCGAAAACAAGTAGGTTCTCCTCGTCGTGGCCACCATGGTTAACTATCACGGCTCTTTGAGGAGACAGATAAGTAGCCAGACTATCTCCTGAAGCCTTCTTTGGCATGGGTATCGACGGATTCTGATCGACTATGAGCGGGGCCAACACGTTACCCGTCTCGTAGACGGGAGGCTCTTGGGGGAGATCCCTTGTTTCCGAACCACTTGGCTGGGGAACTGTGCTTCTCTGCGGCTTCCTATGGTCTTGTTTCTTGGGCCAGTTCTTAATATCTTGCTTGGTCCTCTTGCACGCAGCCTTAGACCCGAAGGCTAGGAATTCCACCTCGTGGCATTGGCGGCAGCAGTGTGCTGAGCACTGAGGGTGACACTTGATACTGCAGGCATGGCCACACGATAGCACCATTCCGCAAGCCTCGCCACAGCCTATCGTGGAAGCTGCCTCGCAGGTCATAGGACCGCCGTGCAAGGCGAACTCTCTGTTGTGAGAAACGCATACCATCGGCAGGAACGTGCTGCGCACCCCTCTCATCCCTTCTTCCACCTTTGCCCAGATGTTCTCCGCCCTAGCTGAGCTGAGCAGATGGGCCATGTTGCCGAAAACCACGTTCAACAGCCTCGCCCTACTCAGGGCGACGATGACTCTGTTGAGCATGCCAAGAAAGCCGACACTGGGATTCTGACGATCCCGCGAGCTTCTCGTTACCGACAGGAGAATTACATCATTCTCCTTGCCCTGGTACCCGTCCACTGTCTGGACCTCGACGCCCTTCTGGGTGACGGCCCCTGATTGCTCGTCCTTGACATCGGCTAGTCCCGGGAGTTCGCTCATGATATTCTGAATCAGCATCTTCTGCCCGGAGTAAAAGGACAGCACGGTAATTTTGCTGGGCTCGGTGCCGTTCAGTACGAGATAGTGCGCGAATACCACGATCAACGTCGCCTCGTACTTGTTCAACCTCGAAACATCTCGGTTCATGCTGTCCGCTTCCTGGTGATCAAGCCAGATGGCCCGGGCCTCGCCCATGCCTGGTACCGACGGCAGCTGATGCACGCGTGAATGGTCCTGTAGACCGGGGTACCAGACGTCCAGCACCTTGCGAATGGAGGGGGCCATGCGTCGTTGCACCAGCAGGGTCGAATAGTCGACACCCCTTTCGACGAGCCGCTGGAAGAGGGAGACGTTGAGGTTGAAAGCAGGCAGGCCGAGTTCTCGCACGTCGGCGTGCGGCTTCAACTGCAAGTGATCGCCGACAAGAATCAACTGCTGGAGAGACGGAAACAGCCCAGCCGCGATATTGGCCTCCCGCGATTCCGCTGCCTCCTCGACGATCATCACCCGAGGCCCAAGCGCCGCCAGGAGCCCCCGATACTTGGTGAGACCCGTCGTCGTGCAGCCGACGACTCGCGGCCCGAGACACCTGATGGTGGTGAAGTCTTCGATTAATCGCTCTAATTTGAGCTCTCTGATAAGCAGCTTGATCGCATTGATCACTTCTCGAATTTGCGATTGCGTCGCCGAGACCAGCTTCTCCACGAGGTATTCGTACACGTGGGATCGTTTGTGAGACGCTATGTCCCACAGGTCGGCATGCGCCATCAGCTCCGCTTCAGCCATCCGCCTGGCCGCTTCATGATCCATCTCGCGCCGATGATGCACTTGGGCCCCACGGGAAAGTCCGACGCCCCGGTAAGTTATCTTGGTTCTTCTGATATGGCTGGCGTTTGTCTCTTCCAGGAAATCGTAGCCTATGCGCTTGTTTCCGTAACGCCCGCCGGGCTGGCCGTGCGGTTTCTGGACGGCAGGGTGTGCATCTCGCTCGGAGTATTCGTGATGCAACCACGCCGTGAACGCCTCTCTTTCTGGATCACCCGCGCTCTCGAGTGGCTGAGATCGAGGATACCCCGACACCTTCATGATGGACTTGTGCTGACTCTCGGTAATTAGATGGGCCATTCTCAGCCAGCTGGGTCTGACAAGCCAGGGTTTCTCGGACGGGAAGCATTGAGCCATGCACATCCTCAGCTGAGCGCGCTTGTTGTCGAGCTGCCGTATCAACTGGTTCTTTGTTAATTTGAAGACTTTGTTGCGGAGTGCTAATAGACTAGACTGTCCGATCTCATCATCCTTCGACTGGCCGCCAAGCCGCGCCACCTTGATGCCACTCTTGATGAGCCGAGACAGAATGTCATCTACCGTGTCGTTCTTCTGGGCAGTGACGATGATAGGGGGATCTTGTCTCGTCTGTATGTCCAGGAGGACCTTGAGCGCTGCTATGGACGTGAAGGTTTTGCCTGTCCCGGGGGGGCCTTGCACGACGGCGAGATCCGTTGCGAGCATTCTTTGTAAAGCGATCAGCTGGGAATCGTCGAGGCCGGTTACGTACGACAAGTCCTTGGAAAGTTCGCCGCGGGCAGGTATGGAAACCTTTTGCCCGGCGCTGACCAGCGGCGAGACGTCGATTCTAGACGAACTCGAGATGGTTGCCGGGAGCCCGACCTCAGTGCTATCATCGGTGAGGTACTTTATCAGTGGGGATCTGAGGGAGTTGGCTGATGTTAGTCTTTCCCTCACCTTTTCGGGCACCTCGACTCACAAGGGGGTGGTTAACCTGCAAGACAGGGTCGGTACCTACGACTCACCAGCGGCTTGCTTTAAGCCGACCATGACATGACGTACGGCCTCGTAGTAGTTGGAACGGGCCTCAACCATGACGAGGTCGAGATTGGGGTTGGCGACCCTGGCCAACGTTTCCGCGTCCTCAAACTCGAGGTCAATGACGGGCGTCATCCTCCCAGTGGGATCGGAACAATTCCTGCCGACGACGATGGCAGGGAAACACGAGCTGTCGAACATGTCATCGGCAGGGCTTAGGGCGACGCAGCACCCCGGGATAAGGCGCTCCGTCCTGGTCCAGTCGATGAACCCGGCGGAACGGAACATGGAGAACTTGAAACGGCCGAAAACGCCGAGACGGATGACGTTTATGCTGCAACAGCGGACTTCGTCGTATATGTACGTCTCGACGGTGTCGTTCATAGTCGGGTTCTCGCGGAACTCTTGCACGGCGCGTCGGAGGGGTTCAATACCCTCGTGGCGGAGGAGGCGCCACTGGACCTCGAAGTAAGCCTTATGCGTGGCGTAGGCTGTGTTGGGGTGGTTCTCGAGGGGCAAAGTGGGATCGCGACTCATGATCTCCTCGGGCGTTGGAAGGTCGGGATAGTCAAGCCATGTCTTGTCGCTGGTGCTGGTGCTGGTGCTGGTGCTGCTGGCGACTCGTTGTGTGTGCTTTCTCATAATGGGCTCTACCGCAGCGATGAAGTCTTTGGTCTGAAAAGTTTGGGTTAGCCGTTAGTCAACCAGGGTTGGCAGAAGCGGAGTATGCCGTCCAAAACAGGGGACAAAGGGCTTGACAGTTACCTTGACTGCCTCGACCGTGGTCTTTTTCTTTTTCTTGGTTGGTCGTTTGGCCGATTTCTGTGAGGACTTCCCACCGAGAATCTTTGAAGGCTTTGCAGGACCCGGGGCACAGCGGCCCTGAACAGTTAGAGGGGGTGACATTGGCAGTGATCATATATCGAGGAGTCAATATACGGGTAGCGAAGCGCGCCACCCTGCAGCAAGAGAAGGGGCAAGGGCCTAACAAGTCAAGCAAATGGAAGGTGTAGCTACCCCTAAAAAGAAATGTGCAAAGTAAAGAATACACAAAGCAATACATGGATGATGGTGAGATGGGAGGATGGACAGACGAAAGGATGAATAAAGTGAGTACCTTATGGTGAATATCGAACTTCATCAAGGCAGCAGCTACCTTATGTTGTTTGGGGGAGAGGAGGGATAAGAGGCAGCCTACGGTTCTGGTGGTAGGTGGCCTTGGTAATTGCAGGTTGCTCCTGCTTGACTTAGAGAGATGGGCGCCTGGTAACTCCTCGTCATATACTTGTTCCTTCCTTAATGTTTCACTGGTCTTCAGCATAGTGACTGCCTCGGTATTCATTCAAAGCATCATCAAAGCAGCAGCTGACAGAGACACATGTTTTATGGTGCGGTGTATTGTGATGTTTGGATTATGGTTTAGTACCTTGGAGAGTGAGACGTTCAATCTTATGATATCTGCCTGTATAGCTTAGTACTCAGGGGAAGGCAGCAAGACGAGACACATGCTTTAACCCCGAGCCCAATAATTCAACTTATATGCTTCAGATATAGGATACAAAATCTTCCGTATAATGCATTATAGGACGGCCGACGGCCATTAAAACTGAACCCTTCCAGGGTTCCTTGAAGTCCATGTTATGCCCCGGCCGAAGCAGCTTTTATGTGCATCCCCCAACCCCTGGATAAACAGTGTTATTGTACATGATGTCCTTCAGGTGAGGTGAAGTTCGGAGTGGTAGTTGCAGACAATACCCAGAGTTGCCTCCAGCTTCACCTCGTACTCCGAAAGGTAGCTGCTGTTTCGTTCCAGTTGCCAGGACTGACCTCCCTCCCGAGACGTTCCCTTCTCAGTCGCTGTTTAATGATATCGGGGCGTGCAACCTCCGAGCTTCCGGGAACACGGAGACTGTCCGAAGTATACTACTCCGTACCTACCTAGGTATATGTTCATTGGCACCTTATACTCCGTACTCCTCGTGTCCTCTGCCTCCCAACCGTATTCCACCCATATGAAAAGAAGAAATGACATCAAGTAATCACGGAGAATTAAACTTGCCGAGTGCCGACAAGAAGGAGATGGCTTACCGGTACATTGTACGGAGATGCTTGTACACTATAACCGGAGTTCAGGAAACCCAAAATCCCCGACCGCGAGGATCATAAGGTGTGGCACCGTTTGAACCTTGTAGGACCACCAAGCCTATGCCACAAGTTGCTCTTACATGTACGACCGACCACATGCGACGATCAGCAGCCGAAGTCGACGAATCTATTACTAACTATGATTGTGTCCGTCGGATGATGCGAAAGAAGCCAATATTAATACAATGATTTCTTTAGGCAGTCTTATAAAAACACCAAGTCTCCCCCAGGACAAAGATTTCTGGATCATCTCGACTGAGTTATCAATGCCCCAAGAATTCATGCAGGATACAGATGTTCTCATCGTGGGTGCAGGGCCAACGGGGGTTGACCCTGGCCCTGGAACTCTCCATCCAGAATGTCCCTTCCCGCATCATCAGTAAAGACGTCGCCCGATCCGACAAGAGTCGAGCACTCATCATCCACAGCCGCACCCTGGAACTTCTCCGCCGTCACAGAAACGACGTCACAAGAGAGCTGACTGAGACATCCGTCGTAGCTTGTGGCCTTCGGCTGTTCGTCAACAAAAGGCATGTCGCCGACCGTCCCGGTAGACAACGTCAAGTTCGACGTCACGCAGTTCCCGTCGTCTCTCCTGGTATCCCAAGCCGCGACGGAATCAATTCTCGAAAGGAAACTGCAAGACTACGGGGGACACGTCGACCGGGGCTGGGAAAGCGGAGCAGATCGAACAGGACGATGACGGCGTATCCGTCTTCTTGAAGCGAACGAGCCCGTCGTTAGATAGGCCGGACGAATCGAGCGAAAACGGGGAACCCTTACGGTGCAAGTACGTAGTCGCAGCTTTCCTAGTTCCTGGATGTTGTCTGCCACAATTGATACCCTCATGTAACATGTTCGCTGCGTTTGACGATGCGCGGTGTGCGTGCTGCGTGTGTACGACGTACGGATGAGTGCTGCATCTGGGTTTCCGGTTGCTGTCGCTGTACTCGGACGGAGTAAGAATAATTTGCGCGACCACCCCGCATGACGGAATGTATGAGCCCTAATTCCGAACAACTTAATAACGTCCGAAAAGCGTGAATGGTTTAGTGGTAAAATTCTCCGTTGCCATCGGGGAGCCCTGGGTTCGATTCCCAGTTCACGCAGCGATGTTTCATTTTTTTGACGTATTTTGTACCGAAATCAACATATTGTCTGTCATTGAGGAGAGGAGGACATTCATTAACCAATAATAACTGACTGGTCCTGGAAGACTATTTATGGTGTATGTAATTCTCTTTTTGCTCTATGTATATATTGTGTGTTCTTTATGAAGCTTCCTTTCCCCTCTCTCCTTTCTTATACACGGTAGCTCTCTCACTGTACATAAATATCCCCAGCTTCACGTTTGACCATACTCGAGACACTCCAAACCACCGCCTCCGCACAGCACTGTCCCGTGCGACGAGACACGGCTGCTTCCAGGTGTGTCGTCGCGGCAAGGGTAGTCCCGCCAATAGAGCTCAGACGCAGTCGACCCTGAAATGGCAGATGCACGACGATTTGCGGACTTCTATTCCGTAGATTTGTCGGCTCGCCACAGACCATAAGGGCCTTCACAATTCTTCCACATCTTGATGGTTCCGTCCTCCGATCCCGTCGCATACAGCTTGTTATCGGGCGAGAACACCACCGACCAGATGGGGCCATGGTGGCCCTTGTGGGTTTCTGCGGGAGGTCAGCTTTCAGTACACTGGAACAGGGGGAAGAAGGGAAGCCATCGGGATAGAACAAACCAATGTCGCTGCCATCGTCCCAGCGGCAGACCTTGGCCCATGTGCCGGGCTCCTCCCCAACCACGACCTTCCTTCCCTTGAGATCGAGACCGACGCTCGCCACGCCGTGTTTCATGTCCATTCGCTTGAGCTCGTCCATGGCATTGGGTCCGCCCCAAAAGTACACCCACCGACCGGCAGACACCGCCAGAACAGGCATGCCGCCGCCGATGTCGGTAGACGACGTGTATTCCGGCGCCAGGGATACCAGCTCGCACGATTTGATCTCGCCATCCAGGACCTCCTCACGGATCACCTGTTTTGTGGGCAGGTCGAACCATCGCAAAGTCTTATTAGACGCGGTGACAATGATGCTCGGGTTCTGCGTCCAGATGATGGACTTGATCGAGTCCTTGTGGACGCCTTCGCCAATCTCGTGGCCCGACGATGCGGGAATGGTGATGGGCTCGGGCCGCGACGCGCCGTTTTGCCCGTGACCGTTCTGACTAAGGGCGTTACTTCGGTTGTACTCGGTCAGGTCAAAGACACGCAGCTTCTTCTCGTGGCCTCCCGTCGCAACGAGGTCGGAGTTATCGGGCGGATAGGCGACGGCGCGGACAATATGGTCGTGCTGCAGAGTGTAAAGGACTTCGCCCGTATGCGTGTCCCAAATCTTTCTGCAAGACAAGACATGTTAGAAAAAGAAGGAAAGGGAAAAAAAGGATCACCACCGCAAAGTTTGACCAACGTGCCTGGTGTGACTCACGCGGTGAAGTCGGCCGAAGCGGTGGCCGCATTGTTGATGTCCGGGCTCAGTCTGGCCTGCCAGACTGCGCCTTTGTGGCCGATGAATGTCCCAATCCAATCGCCCGTCGTGCCATCGCGCAGCATGGGGTTCCCGTCCTTACAAGCCGAGATCATGAAATATTGCCCATCCTTCTCCAAGCTCGAGAAGCAGAGATGGGGTACAGGTCGCGAGTGGCCATGGCAGGTCAAAGGAACGTATTGGCGCGCGGCTTCCGTCATGATTGTGCTCGTTTAGAGAAGGTATTCACTCTTCAATTTCGTATATGGTGTCTGCTCTGTCGGTTGTATCCTCAATGCTGGAAATTGCCCTCTTCCCAAGAATAACAACCGGGGGGGATATCAAGCCGGCGAATACCTCGTGATAAACCGCGAGATTAAAGTGGAGAATGAAGACAACAGTCGAGAACCTCTTAAGGGAAGGGGAATTATCGTGACGTCGTAAAATCGTGATTCGGAAGATGCTGTCAAGTCAGTTCAAGATGCGCTCCAGGGCGTTGACTTGACGTGAAAACGGGTTTGGGGACCGGTGAACGGAGAAAATGCTGAGGAAAGAAAAGGAGAAAAGAAAAGAAAAGAAAAAGGGGCCTAGTGCCTCGACGAAGACGGAAAAGGAGGGAATGGGAGAAATAACCCGGGGCCGAGAGTATACAGTAATGCGCGAAGGAGAGATTAAAGAAAAAAAGCCTTGAGATGGCCCGGCCCTTTAGGTCGAGTCGTTTATCCTACCGTAGAAGATGGATGGATCAGTCAGGATCAGTCGCGGGGGGAAAGAAGATCAACTGGGTTAGGTAGTAATTAAGCCTTCCCAAATCTCAACGGTCGTTCGTAGCCCCACCTTCCCAATGAGACGACTGCGAAACGGGCACGTACCTAGGTACTACCTAGGTACTGTTACAGGGTCCTTTCGCAGCAATCATTTGCAAAGTCAGAAACTCCTACGGGAAACTTAGGTACGTACTTAGCCTTACATAAGCGACTAATGCAGGGCAACCGACACGACTAGTAACGAGTGGGGCTAGGTACCTACTCCGTACCCATAACGCCATCTGCATCCGTCTTCAAACCTTAGGAGGAGTACGTAATTGCTTTGTACTCGGTACACGGTGGTCCATGCAGCGGGGCAGGTGCTATCAGCTTCCATCGTCATCGCTCGTTCGCTCCCTCCTTCAGCCACGACACCAAACCAATAGCACCTCATACTCCATTTTCTCTCAACCCAATACCACCAACTTTATTTCAACCCGGAGTTCTATCACAATTTGTTTCATAGATCTTCTTTTGACAACTTCACCTGTTCGCTTGCGCCCCCATCAATCGAAGCCATAGCTACCCCGCTATGGCCGACTTCAAGCTCTCCGCTCGGCTTGCCAGCCACGACTCCGACGTATGCGCTGCCCCTTGCCGATCGGCTATCCGAGGACCCTTCCATCCGTTATCCCTCCTGTCTATCAGTTTTCCCAACCACTTATGCGTTATATAGGTCAAGGCAGTCAGCTTCCCCTCTCCAGACACCGTCCTCTCCGCTTCGCGTGATGGTAGCGTCCGGATATGGAACCGCACCTCGAGCGCCCCGCCCGTCTTCGAACCCACCGTCTCAAGCCAGACATCGGAGTTTGTGAACTCTGTCGGATATCTCCCTCCTTCAGCGGACTTTCCCCAGGGGTTGATACTATCTGGTGGCAAGGACACGTTTGTTGAAGTCCGTCAGCCCCAATCGAGCGCTAGCGACAACGCCGAACGCCTCCTCGTTGGCCATTCGCAGAATGTCTGCAGCCTTGATGTTTCTCCTACCGGAAATTACATAGTTTCTGGAGGCTGGGACTTCCAGGCGCTTGTATGGAGTACGTCGAGCTGGGAGAACCAAGTCCGTCTCGGCGGCCACGACAAGGCTGTCTGGGCTGTCCTCGCTTGGGACGACCACACCGTCTTGACCGGCTGTGCCGACGGATGTATTCGCATCTTTGACCTTAGGAAGGCTATTGCCGGTGAGGCCGAGGCCCAGTCGACCATCACCGCCCCAGATGTGGTGCGGGCCCTCTGCCGGGTGCCTCGAGGGCACCCCAGCGGTGCCGATATAGCGAGTGCGAGCAACGACGGGATCATTAGGTTGTGGAAGCTCAATGGCCAACAAGTTGGTGAACTTGTTGGTCATGAGAATTTTATCTACTCTCTGACCAGTTTGCCGTCCGGGGAACTGGTGAGCTCCGGGGAAGACCGAACACTTCGGGTATGGAAAGGAAACGACTGTATTCAGACCATCACGCATCCCGCCATATCCGTGTGGGCCGTGGCAGTTTGTCAAGAATCTGGCGACATCGTCTCGGGCTCAAGCGACGGCATTGCTCGCGTCTTCACTCGGAGCAGCGAGCGGACCGCCGACGCCGCCACTCTCGCCGATTTCGAGGAGTCTATCAAGGCGTCTGCCATTCCTCAGCAGCAAGTACCCGATATTAATAAAGAGAAGCTCCCTGGACCCGACTTTCTCACGACTCGCTCCGGCACCAAGGAAGGACAGGTTCAGATGATCAACGAAGGCAATGGCACGATTACTGCCCACCAGTGGTCGATGAGTGTGTTTCGCCCCGGAAGGAACTACTGCCATGTTGCATGCTAATGTGAAAGTAGGTCAGCAGCAGTGGATCAATATTGGCACTGTTGTCGACGCTGCCGCGAGTAGCGGTAAGAAAACAGAGTATAACGGAAAGTCGTACGACTTCGTGTTTGACGTTGATATCGAGGATGGCAAACCACCCCTCAAGCTTCCTTACAACCTGTCCGAAAACCCGTACGAGGCTGCCACCAGGTTCCTCGGCGATAACGAGCTCCCCATGACATATCTCGACAACGTCGCCAACTTCATCACGCAAAACACGCAAGGGGCAACACTAGGCCAGTCATCGCAGGGCGAGGCTGACCCGTACGGCACCGAATCAAGGTATCGCCCGGGTGAATCCGCCCCGAGGCCAAAAGTCCTCCCCCAATCCGAGTATCTCGGCATCACGGCCGCCAAGTTCGATGCCATGATCAACAAGATCCTGCAGATCAATGGGAACATGATTTCCTCAGGCCGGAAGGATGCTGCGTTGAACCCGACTCAACAGAACGACCTCAAGGAAGTTCGCGAGGCGATTGAAACGTCGCAACCCATCAACCAATTTGGCCTTGACTTGGCAGTTGGAATTGTCACCAAGTGGACGTACTCCGATCGTCTACCGGGGTTAGACCTGCTGCGATGCATGGTGCCTTCCCCCCTTGTCGCAAAGTACTCCTCGGACGAAGGATCCATTCTCCAGATCGCCATTAACAGCGCCACGACCGTCCCGGATGGCGGTTCACCCAACGAGAATAGTGTGATGTTGGCTCTCCGTTCCGTCGCAAACATTTTTGCTTCTCCCGAGGGGAGACAGGTAGCCGCAAGGGAGGCGAACATCTCTGCTGACCTTCTAGAGCGTGTTGTTGGCATCTCTGACAGCGGTCCTATCGGACAGAACAACCGTAACGTTCTAATTGCCGCCACGACTGTTTTGATCAACTACGCAGTTCTCTCTCACAAGGAGAAATCGGCTCTCGCCGGCCCTGGCCTTCCCAAGCGCTTCTTGGGTATTCTTGGCAAGATCTTGACCCCACAGAACGACTCTGAAGTTCTGTACCGGGGGCTGGTGGCCCTGGGTACGTTTGCTGTTAGTTATAAAGCGGAGGCAGTATCTCAGGGGGCAGAGAGCTGGGTGAATACGGCGCGGGACAAAGCGGTGGAGCCCAGAGTGAAGGCCGTTGGCAGTGAGGTTTTGGAACGTCTGAGGTGACGCGACTGGTGCTCTGTGAGCGATGCGGCGCGGACTTGAATCTCATGAAGCCGAACTGGGAACAGTCGTCATTAAGCATAAGACTCCGACTAGCGTAATGATAAACAAAAACGTTTTGAGTTGTTTTGATCTTCGGTACTTGCTCTCTTCTTCGCCTATGGTGCGGCATGTGTATTCTCGGTCCATGCTAATCAGGTAATTCGTTAAGAAAGCGGTTTACTAGGTAGTCGTGAACAATGACCGTCATGTGCTACTGTTATACCCCAACGTGGCTCACATGGTTGGACTCGATTTTCATGGTTCATCGTGAAAGGACGTGTTGCCAGAGATGTTTCGACGGCTCTGGCTTCGTCGAATTGCAGCTAGGTGCTTGTAAAAACAAAAAGCAAAAGTAAAAGTAAAAGAAAGAGAGAGAGAGAGAGAGGAAGAAAACAACGAGATGGAAATAATGTCCCCCATCCCTTCCCGTAGATACGACCGTGATATATCCTTTGTTCCAGACCGAACTTATTCGCCTCCAACGCCCATGATCTATTTCCCGCCAAATGTACAATTCCGTCTTGGAAACCGACGTGGCTTCCGCACCAGCCAGCCAGGCATGTGTGTGTGTGTGTATGTGTGTTTTGTCTTTTTTATAGCCGCTCCTCATCGTGGTCGTGCTCATTCCGATGCGCATTTCGCCACCTTGTCCGATTTTATAGCACGGCCCAAATACCGGCGCCGATGAGCGGGAGCCAGCCGAGGAGAGAGGCGCTAAGGCCGGGTAGAGAGATGGCGGGATGGGCGGCGGAGACGCGGTACTCATCGGAGCCGGACTCGCGGGTGGTGATGGTGTAGATGTCGGCGACGCCGATGTCGGTGGAGTTGTAGCAGTTGGTCGCGTTCACTTCGGCGATGCGCTCGTCTCCTGGCTCGAGGAAGGTGATGTCGACGCACTTTTTTGGGGGGTCCATGTTAGTCAGTTTTTTTTCTTTTCTTGATCTGGGGTAGAAAGGACATGACGCCTTGGAGAGAGACATGAAGTATAGGGGGGAGGCGAGAAGGGGGGAGGCGAGAAACGTACAGAATAGAGAGCAGCTCCGTGCACGGCGAGCTCGACGACTTGGATGGTGGCATTATCACCCGGCTGCACAGTGACGTTGTTGGGTAGAGGCACCTGGGTGAGACAGACGGTGCCCGGGTACGGATTCTTGCTGGGGCCAAGGATCTGGAAGGGGTGAATCATGGGGAAGGACATGTTGGCGGGACCGCCATCGGGGCCGTCGGTGCCGAAACCCATGTTGACGTAGACGAAGGCGGTGGCGTGGCCCTGGAACCAGCCGGGTTGGAAGGCGATGGCGCCGCCTGTGGTGGGCCAGTAGGTGCGGTTGCCAGTGACTGGTGTACCGCCGCCTAGGGATGAGATGGTCAGTTCTACGTGTTCAGAGGCATGGATGGAGGAAATGAAGAATAGAATATGAGCAGGGAAAACGAAAGGAAGAAGAAGAAGAAGAAAAAAGATGCTTACATGGATAGCTCCATTGCATGCCGTAGGGGAATGTCTCGTTGGTGACGAGGTTGTTCCCTCGCCAGCCTGGGTAGGAGATGACGATGTGGGCGGATGCGGTGGCCGCGAGGGCCAGGACTGATATCGCTGAAGAAAGCATTGTGGTGGTTGATGCGTGGTGTATGTATGAACTGGTCGGATGGTTGGGTAGAATCGTCGAATAGTCCCTCGAATTCGGGTTCGATTCGATTCCCTAAAGGTCCGTCTGTTGTCGTCCCTGATCTCCGGAAGGCGATAGCGACCCTCTCTTGTTCTCTTTCAACGCAGAATGGCTCCTGGCCTGTTCTTTGTTCCAAATCCTCCTCTCCCCAAAAAAAACTATTCCACCTCGGCCTGTGTGTGGTCTTCGAGGGATGTGGCTTCGTCCCAAGGATAAAGCAATGCCCGGGAGAAGGAAGAAAACATGAAAAGCCACGGAGATTGAACGGTAAATTCTCAGAGATAAAAGAGAGGAGAGGAGAGGAGAGGAGGGAGTGGGCGGGCTATTATCAGTGGCCGCCGCCCAGAAGGGCCAGCCACAGGGTACGAAGTAATCACAGCTCGTCACACCCAGAAAGACCTCTCTCCCGTCCCTTTCTTGCCTCCCACAGAGTACCATTTCTTACTTGGATGGTACTTTGGGTCGGAGTCAGCCGCCCATCGATGTGCAGGGTTGCAGGACACCGCTTGACGAGAGGGGATGGCACCTGCATGGGTCCAATGGCGCTCTGAGCGGGTTTCCGGCCCCCCGCCTCGAGCTGGGACCAACATGCACAAAGTATGTACGTTGTACATACACTACAGTTAGAAAGCAAGGCCAGAGAAGGGGGGAACCCGGCAGAGGGTTTGGACGTATTTTCTCCTGTTGGGTTGGTGATATGCAGGACGGGTGATTTGGCCCCCTGCTCCCCTGCTCCCCCATCCCCCTTTCCGTGTGAAGTAAACTGCAAGTGGTTCTTTTGGGGTCGTGTCCTGCCACCAACTTGGAGGAGTTTCCTAGTTTCCTCCTAGGTTCACTCTTGTTCGTTGAACAAGGTGAAAAAGAAGCTGGCCAATGGCCATGCCTGGAGTGCTGGGCGAGGCGCTGCAGTGGGATAGTGTCTTTTCGGTATGGCCAATGATTGGCGCAGGGGGACAGAGCACGCTAAAAGCCGGCGCTTACGGGTGGAGCGAAACCCTGTTTAACGATCGGTTCCCGCCACTCAGCGTGGGTTCTGCCATCAATACCATCAATACCGTGTGCTCCGTGCTCCGTGCTCCGTGCTCAGGGCCATTTGCCATTCCCCGCCTCCTCGGTCTTTAAAAAAGCTCGAGGGCACCTTACTCCGTATAACGTGGGATTCTGGGAAATATCATTGGTCAGATCAAGAGATGCAGCCAACGGCTGGTATCCCCACACAGTTCCCTTTTTGTCGTTCCCGTTCTTTCTCCGATCTTGTTGGAGAATCTTGTGACAGACAACCGACAATACAGGTGTTGATAACTTGGTACTTGGTGTTGACCAGATGATGAACATCGCCATCTTTGGTGACGAACGAGTCTGGTTGCATTCGTCCGACTAACGCTACGGAAACAGGAGTAAGCTTGCGTATTTGAAAAGCTGCCCAACGTTGCCTACTCGGAAGGAGCAGAGATAACACAAGACACTTGCGAAAACTTCCAGGTCCAATGAGACTTTTATTTTGGGACCCTATGGCGCACTTTCCCCCGGCTGCAAATAATCCTGGCATAGCACGCCTCCATGTGTACAGGTAACCAAGTAATACCAACATACCACTGAGATCGATTATCGAAGCAATTCCCGCCCCTTGTACCGAGCAACCGAGAGGCTTGTGTTCTACCTTAAATTTACTAACTCGTACAAGGAAGGCGGTGAGTTGACAAACCCCTCATTCTGCCGGCCTTGCATCCCACCCACCCACCTCAATCCCCCCCCAACGCAGAATTATTCCGGAGTAGGCTCGCTCTGATCGTGTTGCGCTCCTGGCACATTATGCCACGATGACCATGCCGGCCACCCAGCCGACCCAAACCGACCAGTCCGATAAAGAAGGATGGACCAAAGTGGCTTCGAAATCTCGATTTCGTCGCGCTCCGCGTGCAGTTCCCACTCAAAAAGACCTGGTCGCAGCCAAGGCCCTGTACGGCCGTTGTCGCGACCAGCAGCCCCGCGAGCCACGCCCCGTGTACGACATCAAAAACGAATTCGACTCTTTCAGCACCAGATGGCGGGAATCCGAGTCTCACCAGCCCCAGTCCCTGCAATCATTGATCTTGGAACACCATAAACACCACGCGCCTGTTCGGAAGGCCGTCTGCTTGGGCATTGGGACCTTTGATCCGGACGATGGGAGTTGGGAGGTGAAACGCAGGGCACACGTTCAGCTGGCTGCCTTCATGGCCATGGTCGAGCTTTTGGGTACGCATGCACATCCCCTGTCGCCTCCCTTGTCCGCGCTTTATTTTATATCTAACTCGAGATTCCCAGCCGACATCTCGGGCGAGACTATCAGCTGCATCTTCCAAGAGCCTCTCTTCTCATCCACCGACAAAGACTTCCTGCTGTCTCTAGGCCACGAGGTCGTCGACTCTCCCGCGGCATTTGACGCAGTCGACGAAGAGACCCTCCTTTTCGCTATTCATATGTACCGTCCCATTTACGAGGCGGCACTCGAGAGAGCCCTGCCTGTCATGTTCGTCGGCACGGGCTGGGAAACCTGGGACCACGTGGGCAATCTGAAGGAGGGCGATTTCAAGTGTATGCAGGAGATGCACGCGTCGCATCGACTGTTTCCGTTCCCCCGGGATGGGACAAGCACGACTTTCTCCTCGACATGTCTTTATTGGCGACCTATTTCCACGCGACAGGAGACGACAAACCCCCACGTGCATCGCTTGGACGAGTCAGCTCCTGCTGCGGATGCCAGTGCAGGCGGTTGACTTGACCCGTCATGTAGATGGGGATACAGCCAAAATCCCAAACAGCAAAGCTAGCAATCCATGGCGGCGGTCCTTCCGGTTGAATTTCGTCTCGAGTACGTCTTTACAGCTCTCAACCAGCAACAACAACCACGGCGGTTCAATCCGTTCGATCCTCCGCCTCGTAGACGTACAAAGTCGAATCGTGTTCCTCTGGCAGGAAATACAGCCGCATTTTCCCGCCAACGACGTCCACATCCACGGGGTTCTTGGTGACCAGCACCCCCTTGTCGGTCCTCAGTGTGATGGGGACCTCCATCAACGGCACCATGGTCAAGGCATCCACTATGGCCATGCCACCCACCTGCGTCCCATCCTGCAGCGTCGCGACGCCCGAACACAGCATGACCGGCCTTCCAGCATAAGGCCCCGTCTCTACACAGCCCAGGAACTTGCAATCCTGGTAGTCGACCCAGTGCGACGGGTTCCTCGCCTTCGCCTCGGGCGGAGAGAACCCAGGCAATGGGTTGAACCGCCGCCCCTGGAGGGACCACACGGAGGCCTCGCGGCTCCCCCAGTTGAGAGTCGTCAGGGTGCTGGTGTCCGTGCCGTGGACGATGCCGCCCTGGTGGTCCGCGACGCGGAAAAGAGGCTCGTACCGCAGGGTGGACGGGTCAATGCGCAGGATCGTGGCGGTCGAGTTGGGCCGGTACTCGGACAGCGTCGCCCAGATGTGCGTCCCGTCATAGTCGATGCCGCCGAGATGGTACTGTGCGGCAGGGGGTCAAACTTCCCAGCCGTAGACGGTCGATGGAACCGGTGCCGGGTCTCTTCAAGGGATTTTGTCCCTTTTTTGTCCCTTGAATCGGCAAGGCGCGTCACCCAGAAATAATCACTCACCTCAGTTGAACCCTTTTCGCTCACAACGGCGTCGGCGATCCTCTTGCCCCGTCCATCAAAGACCATGATGTGCCCGAACCCGGCACCGGCCGTCCTGTCCGTGCCGTTCCGCCACTCCCCGTCCGGAAACCTCTCCGTAGGCACGGTGTACTCGCCCGCGCTCACGAAGTAGCGGTCATTCCCTAGGCGCACGATCCCCTCGGGTTCCCAGAGGTCGCCTTCGAAGGGCACCACTTCGACCCGGCGCCATTGGGTCCTGAGCGACAGGCGGGCGAATTGAGACAGGATCTCCGAGGCGTGCGTCTGTGGGTTGGACGGTGGAAGGGGATAGGGGGTAATCGGCATCGACGGGTCCGAGATCGTGATGTTCCGATGAGAACTGGTGGGCGCGGGCGATGGAGGTGATTGGGGTTCCATGTTTACAGATGATAGGGAATTGAAAAGAAAGGCGGAGAGAATTGCCAAGAGATTTACCATATTGTGTTTTCTGACTATTTCTGGGAGGGGACAGAGCCACGAGTTTGATTAAGAAAGAACGCGACACTCCGGCATAGGGCCGCGAGAGAGGAGGCGGAGCGTCGGAGCCGACTTCGAGTATGCGCTACAGTTCCTCCGATAATGTCACGTGACAACTAGTCGCGTGGGGCACTGTCACGAAATGGAATAGAGAGCGCGCAGGAGCTCACCATGATACGATCCGACCGGAATAAACGGAGAAACCTCTATTCTATGAGGGACAAGCGGTATTATATAAAAAAAGGTCGATGAAATGTGTATCAAATAAGCGAAGATGCCACCTCCAAAGGAACATATGCTACATAGACGCTCTTTACATGCCTACTTCCCATGCCCATGAGTGCGGGAACGAAACAAGCAATATGATGAACCATGTCCCGAAAACTCCCGTTCGCACAGATCCGCAACAGACCCGGAGCCGTCGCATCCCTGGATATCTAGAATATAAATAGAAAGAAAAAAAAAACGGACAGCAAGAACTGAAACAGAACACCCCCTCAAAAAATATCACCACGGTCTATAGTACCCGTTGTGCGGGCTCGTCGTGGTGTCAGGAAAGAAATACGCACAAGTGCGATGCCGCAAAAGGAAAAATGAACCAATCATGTCAGGCTCGGAGATTCTCCCCCGGCCATGTGCGATGCAATCATCTCTGATGCTTCAAGGTTGTCATACCGTCCTTCCGCCGCAGTCCGGGATCTCCACACCTCTCTTGAGATTCCGATTGACGTCCATCAAGCCCCATCTGCTCTCCCATTCCCTACCCGGTTCGTCAAAGAGGGCCTTCCACGGCTCGTCGAAGGCGGAGAACCAGAAGTAGCGCGTGCTGTTCGCCATGGCCGGGCAGACCCAGTCCTCGAGAAGCTGGTTGAGGCCCTCGACGCTGGCTACCGACCCGGTGCCCTCGGGGCAGGAAGTTGCCGAGTTGGGGCAGTTGGTGCCGCCGCTGGTGGGCCAGCCAATCTCGGCGATGATGTTCCTGTCGTTGTCCGATTTCCACATGCCGCTGTTGTGGTTGTTCCAGAAACTCCAGGTCCAGGAGGCTGCCTCCTCCGCCGACACGTGCGCGAAGAAAGGGTGAATGTTGGACATGATGTAGTCGGACGAAGAGGCCAGGCCTTCGGACCAATCGTCGCCCAGGTCCGACGTGGCTACGGGTAGGTCGATGTTACGGTCTGTCATGTTCCGGCGCACCTCATCGAGAAGATTTCCGAGCTCCGTGAGGGTCATCTGCTGCCGGAACAGGATCTCGTTGGCGACAATGACGCCCTCAAAGGGATCGGCTCCGTACTCGTCTAGAATGTCCCACATCTGACTGAGCTGCCGCTCGTTGGTCGTGGAGTTGCCGTCGATCCACACGCCCATGAATACCTTCATGTCGTCGAGCTCAAGTCGATCAATGGCGTGAAGGACCATCTGTGTCTGATTACAGTCGGTTCCTGAAGAAAGAAAGCGCCCGTCAGCAAAAGGGGGAATATTCTATACATCGGGTCGAAAAAGGACAGAAAAGAGAAGAAAAAAAAAGGGGGGAAAGTCGGTATCATGACGTACCATAAAGACGGACCATGTTGGTCAACTGACTAAGAACAGCAACGTCCCGGGTGATGTTATTCTGCGATGGCGGGTTGTGCAGGCACTCGGGATACTGCACGTTGATCGGCGTGTAGTCGAACCCGTAAAATACCCTGTGGAGGTCCTCGTTGTTCATGAGATCCCTGATCTCCCGCGAGTTGATACCGAGGTCCCCGTTTTGGTCGAGGTCCTCGTCCGCGGACTGGCCGCCATCATCGCTGCTGTCCGAGCCGCCGCTACCCCCGCTTCCGCCGCCGCCTTGCGACAGCACGCCGCCAACCGTGCCTCCGACGATGGCACCAACGACGAGAAATATGAGAATGCCAATGGCGACCCACTTCCACCGCTTCCTGCTCTTCTCTCGGTTCACCAGCCACTCGGATTTTTCGGGGCCACCGGCGTCGTCGCCGGGGAATTTGGACACGTCGAGCGCGCTGGCGGTATGGACGGGCCCGTAACCTGGCTGACCGGGTCTTCCGGCCAAACCGCCCATGGCTCCGGCGATGCCACCAGCGGCCACGGCGCCAGCAGCCACAGAGGCTCCGTGCCCGTTGGTGCTGCTAGCTCGATCACTATGCGAGAGACTGAGCAGAGAGGACCGCTGGGGACGGCGGTATCCAAGTCCATCGTCACCGTCGTCGACAATCTCGTTCGGGTTCACGACGCCCAGGTAGGGGTCGTTGCTGCGGGTGGTCGAGTAAGCCTGGTACGGGTCGTCGCTGTACGGGTCCGGAGGGACACCGTTGCCGTGGCCTAAAGCGGAACGCGAGGGAGTACCGGCACCGGGAGGGATGGCGGCAGCTCCTAAAGACGTCAAACTCGACCGCGATTCGCCAGCAATACCGTTCGGACCGGCGTTGGTATGAGGGCTCCGAGCGTGATACCCGGCCGCAGGGCTCTGGTCATACGTGGGCTGAGGCATGCTGGGTCCTTGGCTGTGGGAGGAAGATTGTTGGGGATCCATGCCGCGCATGGCATCAACGCCGCTTTGCCGGGCGTTTTGGTCAGCTACGCTATAGGCGATGCCGGCCATGCCGCCTGACGCCGTCTCACCAAAGTTGTCGGCTCCAGGGGTAATGCCGTAGTTGTAGTGGGCAGGTGGGGGAGGGCCTGTCGAAGCGGCGGCTCCGTATCCTGCGGCGGCGCCGGCGGCTCCAGGCTGCGAATGTTGGGAGTCTTGAGAGTATTGGGCTTGTTGGGAGTGTCGGGGTTGATTGTAGGCTGGTTGGCGAGCGTACTGACGCTCGGCTCGTATCTGGTCAAACGACGACTCCGGGTGGCTTCCAGCGACGTTACGCGGAGGTCTCGGGTCAGGTTGTTCGTAGTGATAGCCTTGAGGAGCGTACGAGTCGTAGTGTTGCGGTTGTTGCGGTTGTTGCGAAGGCTGATGATGATGATGCTGTTGTTGTTGTTGTTGTTGTTGTTGTTGTTGTTGTTGCTGCTGGTTGTGGTGTTGGTACGATTGACCGTTATAGTCGTAGTCGTAGTCGTAGTCGCGGTAAGAATGATTGGGGTCAGGAGATCGATATGGGGAGCCGTTGTGGTAAGTGCTGTTGCTGTTATCGAGAGGCTCCCTTTCGGCATAGCCTGGGTCGTCGTAATTTCGATGCCGACTCATTGTTATGGTGGAGATGGGAAACAGCCGGTAGATAGATCTCTAGGTCTCAATACCGAGTGGGGGGAGAGACAAGCGGGTCGGGCGAAACGAATGATGCCCTCTCCCTCCTGGCGATACGAGGACCTAGGCGACCAGGCTGCAAGGAATACAGGTAGGTATGGTAGAAAGATGGGGTGGAGACAAGTCGAGCGTATTTACCAAGGGAGAGAGAAGTTATGATATCACTAGCCCAGATCGCGATGAGAAAGCCAATTTAGGCCGCCTTGGATTACGTGCTGGGTGTGGGTAGGAAAGAAACGGAACCGTGTCGTGCTTGGCGCGCAATCTTGGGCTTGTCTTCAATCCTTGATTTGCCTTGTTGGTGCTGGTATCGTATCAGGAAACGTCGTTGGTGGCGGCGGGTAAGAATATCGCAATGGAAGACGAAACGGACTCGAAAAAAAAGAGGTTGACCAAAGTTCAGGTGAAAATGCCGGTTGCTAGGGAGAAGCGAGGAGGGCGTGTCGATCGAAACGAAGCAGCTTCTAAAGACTACACTAGTGCACCAAACGCTGGCGAGACGGGCGAGACGCGTGGATCTGCAAGAGCGTCCAGCGATAGTTGGGCGGAAGAAAATTAGGGGGGAAAGGGGGGGAGCTCGACGTTACGAACACCGCAAGAAGAGAAGAGAAGAGAGCAAAGCGATGTAATTTTCGGAGGGAGTTGGGACGGTATTTCCTTCGTATTCAGTTTTGGCGGGTGAGCATTGATTGTTTCGCAGTGGTAATTATAAGCGGTGGTCAGACGGCAGTATTCGGCCTAAATCTCCTGAGAACCCTTGACGGGAAAAATAAGGGGTATTCGCTGGGTAAGAGGACTGATGTCGCCGCTGGGGCTTTCGGATTTCTTCTCTGGTGTCTCCAAAGCAAGCTTTACTTTCGTACAATTCTTCGCATCGAGGAAGCTTGGAGGTTGCGTGCAAAGAAGGGCCAAGCAAACGAGAAAGTGCGTTCGAAGTAGGTAGTGTACGCGTAGTGTAGTACGGGATGTCTGACACAACAGAGACAAATCTGCAGGTTTTGGTTGCTCAAGGATGCGGCGATGCCCCCCGCGACTTGCCCTCCCTCCCCTCCCCTGGTCGTTTGACTAGTCGGCTTGGTCTCTCGGGGTGACGAGACGACGGGAACCAACAGTGGAAGAGATGGTCCAATGAGATTTTCAGTGGTCCTTGTGCAGATGAATGACCTAGCTGACGACCGGCCCGGTCTAGCGACGGGGGGGGCGCCCCTATATTAATTAGGCTAGGTCCTGTAAGCTCAGCTGTCAGCCAAGAAGCCTAGAGGTGTCTTTTTCTTTTCTTCTCGCTCGTTTCTTCAACGGTCGACCAAAGTGGGCGGGTCGGTCGCTGTCGTCGGTGTTCCGCCAATGGATTGAGAATCTCTTGACTTGCTTGACTTGTTCAGTCCGGTTTTGTTCGTCGTGCACCTCGATTATTTTTGCTTGTATGAGACTGAGAACTTCTTTTTTTCTTTCCTTCTCTGCACTCTTCCCTTCTACCACGGACCGTCGTCTCATCTATCATCCCTTACTCGTGTCAGACATTGTGTGATCGGTTCATCGTTGTCGGCCTACTCTTGGACGTTTCCAATGGATGCGAGTCAGCCCAACTAGTCCCTATTTGGTCGTAGCAAAAGAGGGAGACGGTCTGAACATCAACCTATCCATCCGTACGATGCTTGGAGGTACCGTACGTTATATGTCGATGCTGCGGTGACCAGGGTTAGACCGAGCATCCGCACATACGCACGACCTCAGACATTCAATCCTCTGGGATTTTCTTCTGAAGATCAGAACGACGAATCCTTCCTCGAGAATCCTGCCTTTCTGACCCGATCGGTTTTTCTTGACAAGAATCCGAGCCAAGGGGTTTTTCCTTTTTGAGAAGATGTCCGGTCATGCTGGTATTTTGATAACATATTTCTCTCTTGCTACTTAGGTGGTTTTCTGTTTTGTGGTGTTGAGAAATTATGAAACTCCCTCAAGCCCTCCTATTCATCCTAAGGTATTCATCAATCCCGTCACATGGTATCTACCTTACCTTACCTCACCTACCTTACGGTAGTCCGTACTTAAGGTACGAGATAGATACATGCTTGATACTTCGTACTTGCCGACCTGGGTAAGGTGCTCTAAGGTATTCTGTACGGTACCATTCTAAATAAGGTACCTACCTTAGTAGGGCATACACTTGGTACAACCGGCTCTGCTCAATGACGCATGCCGAGAAGAACGCAGTACGCGTGTACACATGTAATTACCTTGGAAGCCTCAAAAGTCCACTCAAAAGACATACAGAATATATCCGTATATCACGAGTCTCTTTACACATTAAGGTACCTTACCCCAGATCACAGATCACGCCTACGGATATAGGATAGGTACGCCATAAGCATTTCGCGGCATATACGGAGGCTCCGCACCCAAAATCAATGTCCATGTCCCCCCCCTTCCTTCCCGTCGTTTCTCATTGTGTGGTTGCTCAGCGTCCGTCAAAACCCATATCTTGAGCACCCTCCTCCCACTTGGACGTTCCAACTACCCAGGAATATCCCGGGCGTCTACTCCAGGTTCTGTTCCGTCATGGGGCTCGAGGGGACCAGGAGAGCGGTAATAATTATGTGGTGGTTTTTCGCGGCTATTCCGTATCGAGCTCAAATCAATACATAGCCTGCATCCGTCCATCTTTTTACATGCACTCCATGTCACTTCTTCCTTTACAGCGCATTTTCTTCCCGCGCCATCTGCTCAAAAATGTCGCTCCATTTCTCAACCTCCCCATGCGGTAGGGAACCCTTGAGTGGAAGTCGACCACCGGATAGATGACCGAACCCGAGCACCCGATATATGGCCTCTCGGATACCGAGGATGCCGTTCTTCACGATGAACTCCTCCGCCGTTGAGACCTTCCATTGAAGTCTGCGGACCTCCCAGAGCGTCTCCTCATCGAGCGGCCGCTTTGCCGCCAGCGAGAATAACCTGGACACCGTCTTCGGGAAGATGGCGGCTAGACCATCGATGACGCCACCGGCGTTGAAGACCACGATAGGACCCAGCTGCTGGCCAAAGCCGGAGTAGACCCTGAACTTGGCGTGGTCGATACCAGGGTTCAGCGACAGTTGGACGTGATGCGAAACGTTGCCGTGTGACCTTTTGTTTTATCGCAATCAATAATTGCCCACTGCGTGCTGCCTGCTTTAGAGACACTAAATCGGAAGACGTCTTACATCTTGCACCCTACAATGTTAGGATGTGCTGCCAGCTTCACGTACGTGTCGATGCTGACGACGAGGTTGTTGGTGACGCCCGGGTAGTTATATCTTGAAGAAAAGAGAGAGAAAAAATTGAATGTCAATGGAACTCAAGCCTAACCACTTCAATTTCCCATCGGATATCTGTTGGAGCGAAACTCACATAAGAATAGGCAGCGGACTCTTGTCGGCGACCAAGGTAAACCACTCGACGAGATTGTCCTGGCTGGCCGCAGCACCGAAATAACCAGGCGCCAGCACCAATCCCCATTGAGCCCCGGCTTTGTGAGCGTCGCGCAGCCACTCGAGGGTCTCGTCTACGCTGTTCACCAGCACGCCTGCCATGATCGGATAGTCCTTGTACCCGGCCTCGTCCAGGCCCTTCCGGACACCTGAGATCAACTCGAACCGCTCCGCTGCCGACATGTGGACAGCTTCACCTGTCGAGCCCATGAGGACGAGCCCCGCGATGCCGGACTTGGCGAGATGGACGCTGTGCGCCACTTGTGTCGCGACATCTACGGCAGGCTGAAGTGCACCGGGAGCGACCTCGGCTTTGAAGAACGTGGGAACGGGGACGAATACGCCATCGGGGGGAGTGCGAGGTGCCATCTTCACTGATGAGAATAGACAGTAATTGCCTCTGAAGTCTTTTTTCGAGCAAGGCGAGTTGGAGACGCTGAACCTCTAACCGTTGGGCTGCATGGACATGAAAGCCGTAGCTTGACCCCCCCACCTTCACGCGGTTTCCCCGCAATCTGCCTAGAATCGGACTTGACACCGAGAAGGTCGGAGTTGCACCGGGCAGAATGGCGAATGTGGGGTGTGAGGGGTTCGGTGATTTGGACACCGAAGCCCGCCGAAACCGGGTAAGTGGCGAGTCGGCCAACGGATGCGATGCCCTCCGGGCGTGGGTTCTCGGATATTTATCCGATTTGTGCGGTACCCGGCCGACTGGGCAGCTTCAGGTTTGATTGCCGTCATCAGTCATGGAGCCCTTGTGTTTTGGTGGACTGTCCTTCTGAATCAAAGGTCGCTCCTATCGTGGATTTTCTGCGGCCGCTTGACTTCAACGGTTTGGCACAACAGGCGCGGGCGATCTGTTCTTTTATCATAAAACATGGGAAAAATTCAGCGCATCGAGTATTTCCGAGTCCCACCTCGTTGGCTGTTCGTGAAGATCACCGACGATTCAGGCAATACCGGATGGGGTGAAGCTTCACTCGAAGGCCACACACAGGCCGTCGAGGGATGCCTAGATGCTTGGATAGACCAATACACGGGGATGGAGGCCGAGTAAGTCATCCCTACCCCATGGTCCTTTTCCTTAGGGAGGTTTTGGCTGACTTGAAAATATCAAAAAGTGATATCGAGCACATATGGCAACGGACATGGCGCATGGGCTTTTACAGAGGCGGCCCAGTCTTTATGAGCGCTCTGGCCGGGATCGATATTGCACTTTGGGATCTGAAAGGTGAATCAAGCTTGCTTATGAGGGGGTGTCCAGGGGCTCCCCTATTCCGTTCACGTTCATCCATGCTAAATCGATGGGATGTAGCCAGGAAGTTCGGCGTGCCCATTTACCAACTTCTCGGAGGCAAGGTCCGCGATAAGCTGAAAGTCTACGCCTGGATCGGCGGGGACCGACCTGCAGACATCGAGGCGCAAGCGTGAGTGGAAGCACCCCGAGTCCTCGGTCCGACACATCCCGTTCTAGGCAGAATGCTAACGCACGCTCAGTCTATCGCGCAAAGCGCAGGGATTCATTGCTGTCAAGATGAACGGCACCGAGGACCTAGGTTGGCTCGATTCCCCCTCGGCGCTCGATGCATGCGTAGAGAGAGTCAAGGCAGTGAAGGCCTTGGGCTTGGACGCTGGCGTCGATTTCCACGGGCGCGTGCACAAACCCATGGCGAAGCAGCTCGCAGCCCTGCTAGCCCCTCACCGGCCCATGTTCCTCGAGGAACCTTTGCTCTCCGAGCATCTGGAAGGTATCAAGGACTTCTCGCAGACCGTGACGTCGCCCATCGCACTCGGGGAGCGGCTTCATAGCCGGTGGGACGTGAAGCCGTTCCTGGAGGCCGCGTGCGTCGATATCCTACAGCCGGATATCTCCCACGTGGGAGGCATCTCTGAGCTGAGACGTATCGCTGCCATGGCGGAGGCGTACGACGTCGCTATCGCGCCGCATTGTCCGCTTGGTCCTATCGCGTTGGCGGCCAATATCCAAGTCGATGCAACCATCGCGAACTTTGCTATCCAGGAGATGAGTCTCGGGATCCACTATAACACTGGCGGACATGATCTGTTGTCCTACATCAAGAACCCCGAGATCTGGGACGTGAAAGAAGGGTATATCGAGCTGATGAAGGGACCCGGTCTGGGGATTGAGGTGGATGAGGAGAAGGTTCGTGAACTTAGCAAGAATGCGGTGCCATGGGTCAGCCCTGGGTTCGTTGGTCCGGGAAATGAATGGAGAGAGTGGTAGGAGAAAGAAATTCGAAGGTGTGGGGTGGAGAGACTGCGTATGCGCGAGAAGCCTCTTCTTGATAGACGGCATATGGCCTCGAATTCTCTGGCGCCTTGATGTTGTAGCAGTCGGGAGAGTTAAGTGGTATATATACCTTGTGCAGACCGACCTATCACCGCCCTTTTAGGCGGCAGCCACGGATGACCGTTAAGTGTGCGGTCTAGTGGAACGGGATTCATCTAACGACGGCCAGCAGCCGAGGGAACAGGAGGTTCCTGTTATTGAAGCTTTCTCTCTAGAGACAGAGACGTGACTCCGAAAAATATGTCGTCTTCATGCCGATCGGACTATGATTACGGCTTAGGGTGAGTTCGGAATGACAGTTGAGGGACAAAGATGGAGGATAACCTGGCCATGTCGACTCCAACTACGCGTGCAGGTTCTTTCGCGCTGTCTGAGAGTATGTGAGGGAGCGTCTGCCTCTGCCTCAGCTCGCCAACCTCTGTACCCGCAAGAGAAGCGACTCGGTGATTACGTAAGTATGTGCTGCCCGCAAACAGACCCACCCAGTTTTACTGATTAGGAAAGCGGTGGCAGCGTGACTGGGCCTTATTAAAACCAGACCGGCAGAGTTTCTTTTCTCTCTTCCTCTTCTTCTTCTTCTTTTCTTCAACAATGTCTTTATAGGCTTTCGTATTAGAGTCTCGGAGCAAGTCGTCAATACTTGTTCAGGTTCCTTGAGGATCTCCTTGCGTGCTCATGATGGCCTAGATGAACGGATACCACGTCCCTCTATTAAAATACGCCTCGATATCCTGTGTCGTGGCGGACAAAAAAAAGTAGAGGGAACATAATGAGCATGCCATCTTTGGTCGATTTTTATCCATTTCCATCCTGAACGAGGGTAGGCAATTTCCAACCATAACAAGCACCCCCTACCTGTGGATAAGAAGTGAGGGCGAGGTCTTGTCCAGTGTAGTGAACGAGAACCTCGTAGAGAACCAACGAACCAACCTCATGCCCGATGAGCAGGAGTTGCACTTTTTACGCATGCGGATATGTTCTTGACGTCCGTTTCCCGGAGACCTTGAAGTCTTCTGACAAATGAGGCTTGACCTGTGATTTTGCTTGAATTATGGTTGTCTTCTTTGATTTGATCCAGAATGCCTATCCCATATGTAAGGAGACGCGTTATCTGGCGGGGGCTTGGCATAGTGATTCGGTAAGAGCGCGAGGCTGAACATTTTTGGCCTCGTGAACACCGTAAACTGATTGTTTTGTACTCTGTGCTACCTGCATTTCCGAGACAAAATCCGTCCTTACCCGGTCGGCTCGGTTAAACTTGGGCCCTGCAAAATTTATGTGTCCACATGTACATATACCCGTGCCGCGTTCCCCGGCTACATGTGTTGGTCACTAAGGTACCTACCTTATGAATCAGGGGTAACTTTTTGTGTTAGGTACGAGGTATGTGACAGTAGGCCCTATGGGTGCCCGACAAGTTCCCATTGCCCCTCCTATCCCTCCCCTTGAACACCCTGATTGCAGGGCTTCACGTATCTAGCGCTAGGTAATTGGCCCCGCGCTTCCAGAGCTCCTCCATCCCCTATCGGAAGTACCGTTTAGCGGTGTGCTCCGTACTTCGTAAGTGCACTCACTAGTACGGATATCTGCCTCGGGTAGCGGTGCCACGTCAGTGTCACAAAGTTACTGCTACAAACAGGTACCTCCTTCTCCAATACCAGGTACCTAGGTACCTTGATTACTTCCTGGCTCCCCAACCCTGGGAGGCACCTGACGGTGGACGGTGGACCACATCACACGACACGACAAGTGGTTTTCTTCCGTCGCTCCGTAAGGTACCCTCGCATCCTCGCATCCCAACAGCAAGTACAGGTCTTTTTCCCTCTTCACCTCCACCTCAGCTTCTTCCTCCACACTCCATTTCTACCTATTTATCGTGTATTTCTTTCCCCCCTACGAAACATCACCTACCAAAAGACATTTGGCATACCATGACCTGGGCCGTAACGAGACGGTTCGGTTCTTCTCGGCTCGCCGCGATAGCAGCTATACAAACACCTTGCTTTAGCCTCTGACCATCCCCAAGCCCGAAGCCTGAAGCCTGAAGAACGCCCAAAAGAAGACAAAAGAAAGGCAGAACACAAAAAGGAATATCAAGGAAAAACCAGCCGGTCATCTCTTTTCCGACCATAATCCGATATTACCTTTCCTCGTCCCGAAACAAAGCGTTGCCCGGCCCTACGTTCGATCCGATGGCGTGCATAGGGCCCATCCTCCCCTCTACAACCTCGTCTCCGTCTCCGAGCCCCTCTTGGCGACTGCCCATGTCCTCGAGGTCTGCCATGCTAAGGAAACAAATTCCCAACTCTTTCCTGCCCACGGGCTCTATCGAATCCCCCCCTCGAATGTCCGACTTGGGCTTGGACCCGTCACAGTTCATCGCTCGTCCGTATTCTGCGCAGCCACCGTCGAAGTCGGACGCCGACACACTCCATGAACAGGCCGCGGCGGGAGATGTCATTCACACTACAGAGACGGAGATGGAGAACGAGACCGAGACCGAGACCGAGACCGGCTCGCGAAGGACTCAATACACCTTCTACTCTACTCAAACAAACCACAAGAACTCTTCTTTCGAGGGCACAGTATCAGTTACGGCACAAGGCATCAAGATCCATTCTGGGACGGCTACATCGGCTTGCCATCCTCCACAGTCCGCCCTGACCGACCAGACCTCAGCCTCCACCGCTGCTCAGATGATCCGGCGACTGGCCCAGCAGAACAGTCGCTTACGGGAGACATGGGAGGCGGAGCGCAAATACCTAGAGGCCAACCGCGAGAGGGTGGAAGAGGTCTATAAAGAGGAGCGAGCCCTCATGGAGGAGGAGCGGTGCCTGTGGGACGCCGAGAAGACCACCATGGTCAAGGAGATCCGACTCCTCAGAGAACGCGTCCTGGAGCTCGAAAGCGACAACCTTCGCCTACAAACAGCCCTAGCCCAACAGCGCCCGCGCCAGCACCACTTGCCTGAACAGAAGGCGGCCAAGGCTAAAATCGCCTCTGTCACCACCTTTGTCGCCTCTGTCACCTCTGTCAGCGGTCCACGTACCAAAGGTGGTGGAGAGGGATCCACCGGCTTTTATCCGCCTTCCCACACCACGCTCGTTCCGGCAAGTGATCGGCGTTTCAACACTAATATTTCCCGGACAGATGACGAAGACGGCGCTAGGCGATCTGATCTCGCGGTAGACTCAGCGTCTGCGTCAGACACCTTCCCGCGTCCTACCACCACATCAATAAGGAGAAGTACAGATAGTACACTGCTATTCAACAAGCCGCACGTACCCCAACGACCTCGCTTCCTCTCAGCTCCAGCTTCCAGCAGCCTTTACCCACCACGTCGGCCTCAGCCGCCGTCATTCTTCATGCCCGGAAACGCCCCGATGCACCCACAGTCTTCTGCGTCACCCCAGGTCGACTTTCTCGGCTCGCCAAGGGACGAGGACGTCCCTGTCATCGACATCCAAGCCATTCATCCCGAACTCGAAGGGATCTCCTTGAGGGCTCCTGCTGTGCAAAAGGAGACTTTTACCGATTCCAGCACGGACAGCTCGAATGATCCCTCCGCCCATCCCTCGCCGCTCGACAATGGTAACGGCGACGGCGACGGCGACGGCGACGGGGATAGCAACGGTAGCGACGCGACAATGTCAAGGAGGAGGAGATCGTCGAAACGCCAGACCCTCGAAGTACTCTCCGTTCCCGAGCCGGCTAGGCTTGTGATGCATGCGGGCCACACCCCGAGCCACTCCCTGACGCACCTTCCGTCGGCCATCGTCTCCGATGCCGCCACCATCAACGGCGAGAGCGGCACCTCGACGCCCAGGGAAGACCCCGCCGCCAGAGGAGGCGCCATGGCGAAACTCGGCAGGACGCAGAAACGCCTCGCTCTCCCACGGCGGATTGAGGATACCCTGAGTTTCGAACTGGAGGCGTCGGCCGAAGACCACCCGGAGCCTCGGTTCGAACCCGACGAAGGCGACCGCGAATTGAAAGGTCCGCTGATGGTCAAAAACATCCCCGCCCAGGACGAGATTTTCTTCCGGCGGTTATCCGAGAAGCTCGAGGACGTGAGCCGCGGCCAGGACGCTACACCGAGTTGCATGCAGAATGGCGAGGAGGCGTACGAGGAGGATGGCGCGGCCGCCTCTTCAAAAGAGCCGGGGAATGGCGAGGAGGGGCTAAACGGTGCTCAAGAGCGTGGCAGCGGGTCCGATTCCCTCTCTGAGGATGAAGAGGGTGTTAAGGATGTCCCTCTCAAGCTCAAGAGGTCGAACAATTTCGGAGCGCCATTGGGAGCAATACACTAGAGGCAAAACATTCGGGGCACTTGTGGTATCGACCTTTTGAGGTACTCTCGTTTTACCTTTATTTTTCTTTTGTTTATGGGATGGGGGATGGTTTTGGGTTTCGGTCTTTTGGCATGTCTGGCGGGAATAACATGACCTGCGGGTGAACACTCTGGTTCAGGGAGGCTTTGGACTTTTTCCGTCACATCACAAGCAAGCGCAGATGCATACAATACAATACCCACCGTTGGTCAGTGAGAGGCTAGGGTTTCCACGAGCAGACCGTTTGCAGTCCGAGGGGGCATGCATGATGAAATGAGGTATGCCATTTTTGATACCTTTCATGATTATAACCATCGTATTATTTGGTTGGTCGTTTGCTTCATGAATATCATACTCGGCATGATGCTTGTAGTTCAGCTGACATCAGAGAGGGACTCTCGCCAAGGCCAGACGACGCAACCGACCCCGAAACGGACTTGGAGGTGGTATGTATTATATATAACAAAGGGGGAGAACGACTTCAGTTCGCCTCCACCTCGGTCCTCTTCCCGTCCATCAGCGCAGCCAACTCATCCAGCAACTCGACCGTCTCGGCAGGGCTCGCAATCCAAGCGGTGGTACCCACACTACGAGCCTTAAAGTCGTTGCTCCCGGCGCTGAGGAACTGGTCGCCGACGTGGAGGGTGTTCTTCCCCCCAATCATGCCGTCCGGGTCGCCATCGCGCATGGCGAACCATTTCTGGCACACCGTGACTCCCCACGACTTGTCCCCGATATCGACGAAGACGTCCCTCCCGCCGTTAAACGCGCAGAAGGGTATCTTCTTGTGCTTTTTGTGCATCTTTCCCCTGCTCCTCTTCCTCCTCTCCTCCTCCTCCTCCTCCTCTCCCTCTTCTTCCTCGTCCGCCTCTTGCACCGAACCGGGAGACCGCTCCGGGGGCGTGTCGGCCTGCTGGGGGTGCGGGACGGAACGCTCGGCGCGGAACCCCAGGGTCGAGAGTTCCAGGATGCGCTGCACAACGAGGACGGTCTCCTCGAGGGACTCCCGCGGGATGCGGATGGACGGGTCGGACGGGATGATACCGACGGCGCGGTCCTTGCGCACAATGACGGCCGGCAGGCGCATCGAGCGGATACAGTCACCGAGGGCCGCCTCGGCCACGTCTAGCAGGGCCGCGATGCCGGCCTCGGACCAGGCGGCCATCTCGGGCGTGAGCCACTCGGCACGCGGCACGGCGCGGAGGCGGGAGGGCCCGGCGTCCGGGTCGACCTCGAAGAGGTAGTTGGCCTCGCCGCCCATGACGACCACGTTGCGCTTCTGCCGGGGCGTCAGGTCCGGGCTCGCGGCCAGGGCATCCAGGAGGCCGTGCAGGCGCTCGTAGTAGCGGTCCGCCGTGGTGTAGCCCGCTGCCGTGACGATGCCGACCTTGACGTCGCGGCGGAGGAGGTCCAGGATGCGGGGCACCAAGGGACTGGAGGGTTCGAGGGACTGCCCGTCGTCGTAGAGCGTGACGTCACCGTCGAAGGTGGCGAGCTGGAGGGACCCCGCCGTCACGGCCATGGCCTGGGCCGAGTTGAGTGTGAGACGGACGTCGTTGAAGGAGGGGGAGACGTAGCGGCGTGACGAGATGTGGCGGCGGCTGTCTTGGTACTTGAAGGCGGCCTCGAGGGGAAGTCGCGTAAAGAAGGGCCCTGCTGTGGGGACAAGCATGTTGAGCTTGGAGGGGATGATGTCGTGAGTATTTTGACGAGAGACTGCGAGAAGTCAAGTCAGCTGTTTTGGTTGCGAAGAACGAAAGAGAGCAGCATGGGACGAACTGTGATCATCTATCATATGTTCCACGTCTCGGAGGATCTCTGCGTAGCGACGGTGTGCCTCGTTGGAATGTCGGGCAATCGACTCTACATCGGAACTCAGGATGCCAGTGGGCTGCGAATATAGCACGAAGGGAACGGCAAGGAGGCCTTTGATCCATTCTAAAGAGTTGTATCAGATCAGCCCTGTACATACCATACATACCCAGTGTCTCGGGGCATGATGAGTGTGGGCACACCGAAAGGGCCCTTTTTCTTTTCTTTTTAGTCTTTACCTATGAATTGATCTCGTCTGTGAGTCTTAAGAGCATCTGGCAATGGTGTCAGTCTCCAGACGTCGAGAGCCCAAGCGAGGGAGGACAGGCTGGGTCATGGATGAACTAACACTCGACTCGGTATCGGGTTGTCATCTTGAGGGACCGTCAAAGGGATTCTGATCAGCTAGATGTTGGTTCTGCAAGCTGAAATGAGTAAGGAAAGACGGAAGCTTGTGTTCTGATTTCGATAGTTGAAGTTGAACGTCGTCAGGCCCGAAAGGAGTAGAGGAATGAAATGGCCAAAGATGGTGAGACGGTGAGACGGTGAGACGGTGAGACGGTGAGATGAGGACTTGAGCGATACCTGCTAGGCTGGTACCTTTACCGCCTGTACCCGTTCTCCAAGGCAAGTATTGGCCTAGAATTCCAACCCGAAATACGGCCTATGCCTCCAAGAACGCACCTACCATAATTAGGTAGGTAGTTCCAGATACCCGTCCTTTGACCCATTACTTGATCGCTAAGGTACGTAATACGGATACTCAGTGTACCTTAGGTAGGTACCTAGGTACGGGTACGGAGTACAGATAGGTAATTCCCGTACCTAAGGTAGGTACGATAAGTACCTGAGGTACGTTACGGTAGTCTACGATTTCCTACGAAGTAAGGATACCTTAGGTACGTACCTATTAAGGTACCTTATTGACCTAACTTCCATTAGAGTAAGGTACCTTAGGTAACCTACGTACCTGCAGCCAACAAACTGCCTTCGTCTTATCATCGCTTCAGGGGGAACCTGGAATAGAATAGAGCTGGACCAACGTGGAGGTCCATCTGCGTGTGGCACGGCACAGACACGATAACTGATATCTTCGCGAGAGCGCCATCTCATTTCTTTTTTACTTCATTTGTTCGTATTGGCGCTTGGGGAAACTCTAGAGACCACTGACCAAAATCCGCCTCTGCCGCTCTGCAATATTCTCTCACGCTTCCCGAAAAACCAGGTTGCCCAGCATAAGGCGGCGACACCTGCTCCCAAAACAACGAATTCTGCGATGCTCGTGCTCGTATCCATGCTAAGCGATTCCATCACCCTGTACCGAACTCGGCCACCTGTAGCACAGGATATTTCTTCCCACAAACAAATCCAGACCGCTGTAGTCGTCACCCAACAGCAGCCCCACCCACTGTCTAGGAAGCTGCCGTCTTCCGCCAGCGACAGACACTGGCCGATGTATCATTCGCATATCCAGCTGCGTCTTCCTGCATCCTGTTGTGCCCTGCTGCACTCTGTTCGCCGCTGTCTAAAATCTGGTTCATACCGCCGGTGCACCGTTCCATTCGTTCTCCCCCCCTTTTCTCGCTCCTTGGTGTTTTTCTCTTCCTTGTGGTGGGATGTGACGGGGATTAAGGGATCTTTTAGGTAACTCGACGTGAAGGGGTTTTTTTTTTGGGGGGGGGGGGGGGGGGGGGGGGTGGTAAGGGCTGGGGAAGGGGGAATAATCGCACTGACGACTTCACTCTGCATCATGCCGGTCGCATCACCCATCTTCCTGCATCCGTAAGAGCTTACTCTCTCTGCTACACAAAGCAGATCAGGAGGCCGGGTCATGGCGATAACCTTTCTGCAATCCAGAGCCGGCCAGAGCCCTCAGATGTTCGCCATACCGCCTAGTAAGCCACGTTTTGTGCATCGCGCCGGGATTGGGCAGGACTTCGTCTCTTGGCCGGGACGGGACGAGAATCTTTTTATGCGCCTCCTCCGTTGGCAGCCACTGTCGCGGCTACTTGCTGCTGCGCGAGGAGCTGCGCCTGATGGATCTCGGCTGCCCTAGACATGATGCCTTGTAGAGTCGCCTGCTCCTCCGCCCCCAAGTGAGAAAGTAGAGAGGCATAGAACTGAGGCTGCTCAGACTCCATTTCTAAGCGAGAAGAGTCGAGAGTTAGCCAATGCTGTGAATTCATCCCTCCATATCTGCCTTGCGAAACAACTTACTCATCAGGGTAGCACTGAACAGCTGATATGGATCCACCTTGTCCAGCGGAGAATCCAACAACACGCTCTCCTCGCCCATGTCGTCATCGCTCGGTCCTTCGGGCACACTGCGACTGAACTTTTGCGCCTGCACGGGAGAACAAGGAGGTCTCGTCAGCAAGAAATATCCTCTCGACAAGAGAAGAACGAGAGGAAATGGACGAGATAAGAAAACCTACCTCCTCGTTGAGGAATTCCAGATACGCCGTGCTCTCGTCGCGAGTCTCCGGATTCTCCTCTTCCGCGTCGTCTTCGGCGTTCCAGTTTGCCTCGTCATCACCCCACTCGTCCTCCTCTCCGTAGTCATAGGTAGAATCGAAGTGGTAGTCGTCTCGCAGAGCCTCCTCCCGGTCTGGTAGACAACATGTTAGCACACCGACACCGAAAGAGCCTAGAAAAGGGAGAGGGGGGGGGGGAGAGAGAAGGCAGGAATGACACGCACTTTTAACGGCAGTCGGCAGCGTCTTGAATAGCTCCGTGATGCCCTGCAGCAACCGCGGCCATCCAACCGAGATGCTTTGCGGCACCTGCTCGGGATTGAGGCTCAGTAGCGCTGAGATGGCAACGATACACAGCTTCTTGTCGTGGACCCGAGTGAAGCTCGTCATGTTTCCGAACCAGAGGCTGAAGAACCGGTTGGTCCACCCCTTGGACTCGAGAAACTGCAGGACCAGAAGGGGGTTGTAATGGATGGCGTTAATAACCATTTCCATGAGGTGGATCTTGTACGACTTAATCTTGACCTCGCTCGCCGTCAGGACATTCATCGCAAACTCGATAAACCGAAGCACATAATTGTCGATATGACCGCGGAGGTTGAGCATCATGGCCTCCGTCAACTTGCAGGCGCAGATACGATCCACCCCGCCCACCTTGCTGTCTGTGAACATGTCGGAGATCATCGAGAACAGAGCCTCGACGTACTCGGGCTTCTGTATGAGGTGCGGCGCGCCGTACTGGACAAAGTTGTCCAACGCCGGAAGCATGTCCTCGAGGTACAGCTCGGCACCCGCTTTGAAGGTTGCATGAATGAGCTCGAAGGCTTGCCACATGGTGGGGGAGATGCCCTTGGCCGCGAACGTGCAGCTGTCGATGATCTCGAAAACCTCGTTGTACAGGTCGTACAGCTGATTCTGTAGCGTGATCTGGATGACCGGCATCAAGATCGCCTCGATGTGGAGCAAAACATCCGGAGTGCTTTCGAGAGTGAGAATGAGGGTTCCGATGGTCTGCAACACCCCCAAGGCCGTGATCGCCTTGTCGTCCAGGAGATCGCCATACTCGTCGTCGCCTTCTCCCTTGTTCCGGTCCAGGACCTCGCGGACGATCCGCATATACGTGTCCCGCAGCTGCTCGCTGAGAGCTACGGCAAAAGGCGTCAGCTCGGTGGCAAATACTTCCACGAAATCCTCCATAACGTTGGCGAGAGCGTCGATATCGGCCTCGTTGGCCAGCTTGAGGAGCTGCTGCATGATGGTGGGAATGCTCTGCTGCATGTTGGTGCGGATGATGTCGTGCCGGATGAGAGGCTGCAGAGCGAGAGCCGCGGTGACGCGCACGGGCAGCGCAGGGTCGGCCATGCAGTCCAGGATGTGGCGGTAGATGGTAAGCAGGTTGTTCTGGTCCTGGAAATTGAGCTGCTCGAACTTCTCGATGGTGTCGCAAGCCCTGGCGCGCAGATAGCCCTGCGAGCTGGTGAAATCGGGGAAGACATATCGGACAAGGAAATACTCGACCTGATCCGCAATGGGGCTCTTCTTACCGAGGATGACGGGCGCCAGAGTCCCAATCATCCTCAGAGCTCCCTCCTTCGCAATATGGTTCTTCTTGTCTTCGGGCACCTGCTCGTACTCGTTGACCACGGCGTTGACAAATTTGAGAATCTCAAACGTCTGCTTTCTTCGGTTTTTTGTGAGGCCGACGAGGAAGTTGGTGGCGGCGACATCAGGCGCCGAGGCCTCCTCGTAGAAGTTGAGCTTACGGTGCAGGTACTCGTCGGGCTCGTCCTCGAACTTCTCGATGTCCTCCTCGGAGAGACAGAGCACGGGGAAAACGAAATGGGTGACGAGGTTCTGCAAATGAGGTTTCAAGTGGTTCCACATTTCCTTGGGTCGTACCGACTCATCCAGGAAGACGAGCGTGTATGTGAGACATGGTCTGCTCAACCAGGCCGTCTTCGCCACCCACTTCTCAATCTCGGCGAGGTAGTGCTTCAGGATCTCCGGTGCGATGTTCTTCTCGAAATCTTTGGCGAACTGTATCTGTCCGTCGTCCTTCGAGCCCGCGATGCCCTGTGTGTTGCCATGTCTGCGACCAATCAAGTCAGCGGTGCGTTCTGAGAGACCGGAGACCAGGGACCAGGGCCCGATCCAACTCGACTCGGCTGCGAACTTACCGGATAAAGAGGCGGTTCAGGTTGAAGTACGCCCACTTCTTGGCCTTCCACCAGTGGTGCTTCTCTCGTTCCAGAGGATCATCGCCCATGGCGATGGCCGGAGTGGTCTTTGAGACAGTCTGCAAGAAAACGGTGCACCAGGCAATGTTGGTCTGATGATCCCGCAGGAGTCTCGACAGCTCAAGCTGTTCAGGAAAGACGACAATGTATGGTTAGCGAGATTCAGCGAACCCACAAAGGGCCAACGAAAAAAATCCGCGCGGGAAAGGATAATGCCACGTACCCACGTGGCATGCTTGTAGCACTTCAAGGCCAGATGCAACATCTCGCCTGCCTCGACGCTCTCCTGGTTGACGAGCTCATTGCAGATAGCCAGTAGGCGCGGGAAGCTGAGCTCGATCACCTTGTCGTAGTGGACCCTGTTCTCCTCGTTGGTGCGGAATCGCCAGGCGCGGCAGATGGCGAGGAGGCACTGGAGGCCGGCGAGTACGGAAGTAGGGTCGTTGGTATTGAGAAGCTGCATGGTGTAGTCCATGAAGTTCGGCCACTTGTTGGGGAAGTCGTAGTGAAGAATCTTCTGAAGGACGGGGATGATCTGCTGGCGTACAGGCCCTTGGGAGGTGGCCATGATGGGCAGCAAGCGCTCGCGGAACCGTACTTTCTCTTCTTCTGATATCGGGGCGTCTTCTGCATATTGCTCGCTCCGTTCCCATGCTCGATTGACCCGGTTCTTGATGTAGATGACGGCTAGGTGACGGAAAGACAGACAGAGGGTTAGGCATAGTTCCAGACACGCACTGATGCTCGATGCAGGTCAGACTGCTATGAGAAGAGGGTGCGAGGGGGGAGCTTACTTGACAGTCGCACGCTGTTGTCCTGGTCGGCCTCGAGAATATCGAGCAAGACATCCATAAACCCAGCATGTTGTTCGATCTGTAGCGTTGATCGCAAGGGGAACTTGTCAGCAGAGCCCACTGGTAATGACAGGAATGTAGGAGGCGCGAGAAGCCAAGGAGACGATGTGGAAGAAATAGGGGCAGCTTCCAAAATCCGCAAGACGCATGCACACGCGCAGCAACGAAGAGAAACAAGGAAGACCAGGCGTCACGGTAATCAGAGACTGTCACCAAGGGGCCCAGTTAGGCTCCGGAGCGATGGGGACAAGATGGACAGAGGGGCGGGGGGCGTGATGAATGATTGTGGGCAAAGACCGAGACGAGATTTGGCGGGGTGTCGCATGGACGTACCTGCTTCAACTGCAACTCGGCTCTCCTTCTGGTATCGGCATCTGGATCTAACGTGGCCAGAAGCAGGCCTCGAATCGCCGTGTTGTCCATCGTTGGCGAATTGGCGGAGGGGTGAGGGCTGTTGAGATAGGGGTGGGCGATGGAGCGGAGGGAAGAAGAGGATATTCTCCGTCGTGGTAGCTACCGCAAGGGACAAAATTTTGGGCGGCGAAGAGCCAGTGGGAACGGGCTGAAGGTACCTGGTGCACAGTTAGGTACGTTGTAGGTACCCTACCTTAGGTACCTTAGTTCAGGTTGGGTGCGAGTACAGCTACAGTACTAGTGTCGTAGGTAAGGTACTCTGTAATAAGTTGTGGGTGTAGGGCGACGACTGTTGGATGGTTCCTCGAGTAATATTTTGTACTTGTTTCGTAATAAATGGCGGGGCATTAAGCCAGAGTTACCTAAAAGGTAAGACTCGCTCGGACTGTTCGTCCCCCAAGATAAACGACCGCTGATGCTGGCTGAAGCAGCTGAGAAGGATGGTCAGGGCACACAACGGTCCATCATTCATTCCCACGCTCCTAAAAAAAGACACCACCACATGAAGCAATGATAACCTGGTACATCAGGGCTCGATCCATGGGCCCGTCGCGTCCGTACAGGAATATTTAACCGTACGACTCCTAAGACCAAGGCTGCAGACGAGATTATCCGCCTTGAGTGATGGGATGAAAAATAAAAGGCTCCAGGCTTTTCCAGGTCGTAATTTTATAATTCCATATCTCTATCTGACCTCAAAAGCAACCTAGCGTCGGAAGTAACAGCGAGTTCTCGAACTGACGCTGTAGCAGGATTCCTTTGTGATGACGAGCCAAAGCACCTTACTAATCGGCCTTAATAACGGGTTTCCGGCAATTGCGCGAACTGATTGACAGGTACCAGCCCAAAACGCTGCCCTCCCCTCGATAACACCCTCCGACACAACCTGAATCTAGCGAACAACCGGACCAAAATGTGCATGAGGGAGAACTTTAGAGCGATACTTCGTAGCGGCCCTTGTGGATACGCACGTGTACGTCGTATGCTTGCCCGAGACCGCCTAATCTCTTGATCGACGATGCGCATTGGGAACTGGGGGAACCTCTGCATGTCTCTTACTAATTAATACCAGGATATTCGACGACAACAAACAACTGCCGGTGGACATGCTGAACCTGGAACGTATGAACAATAAATCGCCACCTCAACACAATGGATCTATTACCCGTATCAAAGATATGAATATACGTAATATACTAATATACCCTTTACGGAGTACAGGCAGTCATCGGTGCCTGAGTTCATGTCGTAGATGGTGGTGTGTCTATGTGTGTGTGCGTGTGTGTTTTTGTGTGTTGTGCCCTGTCTTAATACCTCGCCAAGTACCAAAGTACCTCTCGTAATTATCCCCCGTCCTTGAGGGCAATGTCCCACCCCCTTCACCGCCTAACCATATTGTGAGACAAATGGGAGTCGTAGTAAGCAAACCAGAACCTCATTGCTCTGTCCCCCTTCTTCCCCAACCACAAACCGTACCGTAACTCGTAGGTATACCTACTACCGTATCCATTTCGAGACTCATCGCGTTCAACATAACATGATAATGATTGATCGTAAAATTTCGGCTCTGGTAAAGTGCGGCGGCAGAATAAGAGAGACGAGGGAAAGAGCGGCTGCTTCAGTTGGCCTGCCAGGTATTTTAATTCATCACCACGTGAACAGAATGTCTGAGGGATTCTGGCACTGTCAAGATGAGCAGCGAGGAGACTAATTCCGGTAACAATTGAAACGCAAACCGCCATCTGCCATTATTATACCAAAACATGCTTGTGATATTGAATTCATTCAACGGCGCCTCGCCACAACCTCATAGAAAGCTGCCACTCGATTCTTTACCCGCTCCTGTAGCTCCTGCCGAAACTAGCGGTGATGATAAAAAAAGTGTCTGATCCCTGGTACGCTCCAAAGTCAGCTATCACGAACCACGCACAAGTGACGGAGCTCAAGAGAATGATGCCAAGAATTTGAGCGGGAAATCCACAAAACTACACCAAATATGAAACGCACAAAATAACTGACTCGTATCATTCCAGTCAAGAAAATCCGGAAGTATCGTAGGCTGATCCGCGTTGCCATGTTGATTCAAGGCAAGGGTGAAGAGAACTGTGGGCCGTGGGTATATAATTCCGCCTCGCAAGTAAGAAAGTCCAGAGCCGAATGCAAGTCACAAATTGAGTAGGACATTCCATGGTCGACAAACAGTCGGTGCCATCGTTGACCTCTCTAACCACTCTATCAACCTGTTTTTGACAGAGCCAATGCAGTGTCTCGGTGACGTCTCCAGCAGGACACACTCATACGACATTGGCATAACACACCAACTCGATCGGGGATCCGAGCATAATCGGTTAGAGATGTGTAACCGAGAACTCATGGCGCCGGAACTCTGGGACCAGGTTGACTGCGCCTTTGCTAGCCAGGAACGAGCGCGAGTAGGCTCCCTTGAAAACCCACAGAACTGCAGCAACCAAGGTGTCCTATCTCGGACTGACATCTGGGCAGAGATGAAAATGAACGACCGACAAAGGAATCCGCCAATCAGATCAGTAACCAGGATAATTTCCAGTCACTGAAGCCGAATGGGATGAGAGAATAAAATCAAACCAGCCACGGGATGCTCATGGTGTCAAACCAAACCGGAAGCGTCGGGGGTGCCATCTGTTCAGTCCAAGTAGGTGCCCAGCCCAGTGTTCGGGCGAAAAGTGGCTAGAAATCTGCTGTGTCAGATGTCAAGGACGTTTGGGGAGAGATATGTCAATGGCATCAGGACTCCGATGAGGGAACATCGTTGAGAGAGGAGAAGAAAACACGAAACAAGTCCTTTGTGTGGTTCACAGATATATACAAGGCCCAGAGAGGGACTCACCTTGCTGTCTAGATGTGGACCTTGCCGCGGTATGTGAACGCTCAACGATGGTCCAGGAAAACTCCGGTAGGCCGAAAGACATGGAACGAAATGAAACCCCGGAGCACCAGAAACAATGGGAATAAGCGATTTCACGTCGCCACCCTTAGGCCAGAGAATCCAGACAGCAAGGTGATCTTGAAACAAGAAAGAAGTACCGGAAAATGCCGCCATCCTGATCACCCTTCCAGTCCAGAGTATGTCGTTTTTTTTCTCCATCCCGGGGTTCCCTCACCCGACGCAGAGAAAAAAAGTTGTATCGTGGGCAATCCCCTATCCGAGGGAGCATCCAGTTGAAACAAGCAGAAAATCGTGATCCCATGCATATATGCAAGTCGTTAAAGCGTCCAACCGTGTATGCGGCAAAGAGTCCAATCTTGGCGGGTCCAAATCCAGGGCATGAGAGTGAGGCATTTGCAATAGAGAGAAAAAAGAGAAGAAATGGCAATCCATTAGATCCGAATTATAGATGAGGAAAAGTTGATGTCGAGGTCCTGGCTGATGCAAGGGGGCATAGGCCCGCAAAACAAGGCACAGGGAGGAGCAAACTTGCTACCTCCCGAGAGGTGACGGCGCACCAGAGATCCCGGATTTTAATTCGAGCCAGAAGGACGATGAAGCCGACGCCGAAGGAAGTACAGATCCAATCCCAGGTCATGAAGGGTGAAATGCACACACAAGGGATCAGCCCCACGGGAGGGAGGGTATCTCATGCAGTTTAACGCGGCCATATGAAAGGTCCTGAGGAAAAGAAACCGAGGCGAAAAATCAACGACGCGGAGCACGATGCCGATCCGCAGGATGATGCCGGTCCACGGAATCTCTGTCACGACGCGGTCCACTGCCGGCCATTTGAGTATTGGAAGGCGTCGCTGAGGAACGGGGGTTAGGGGCTTGTTCATACTGTTGTTGTGGTGAGGCCGTGTTGAACCCGGGACCAGCGCCTCCAGGAGAGGCTACTAGATATTGGTCGAGTTAGACACAGCACGGAAACAGGAGGGAGACGAAGGGAGGGGCGGAACGCAAAAGCTAATACGCACCACGACCGTAACCGGATTCTTGGGGCGGAACAGGAGACGCCCCGTAGGCCGACGGTTGTGGAGGAGGCGGGTAGCCGTAACCGGACGAACCATAACCTGCAGGAGACTGTTGTGAGGAGTTCATGTAAGATTGACCCTGGGGAGGGGGCACGGTGGCTGGAACCCGAGAGGAACCTTGGGGAGCGCCGTAGGGATCAGTGTAGCCTCGCGGGATGGAATTGGCCGCAGTGGCAGTATATGGTTCTCCCCGGCCATATCCTTGGCCTTGAGATGCAGAGTACCCGGGGTCTCTAGGGTCCGGCTGCGCAGGATACGCGGGGGCACCACCTTGCGGAGGGTACGAATACCCACCACCAGATCCGTACTGAGGCTGCCCGGATGGGCCGGTCTGCCCGTAGGCATTCGTGCTGCCAGAATATCCCGGTGCGTGAGATCCTGGGTATTGGGGGGTATCATAGGGATCACGGCCATCAGAATAACTGGGCGAATCATTGGTCGGTCCATAGTGCTGTCGGGCATTGTGGGTGGCCGAGTCACGGTACCCTAAGATGGGCGAGTTAGAGCGTCTCGAGGGTAACCCGTTGGAACCCTTCGGACCAAATGTACCTGCTGCGTTGTTCCGAGCGGCCTGCTGCCGCCGCTCCGCTTCCCACCTGGCCGAATCGGCCTTCAAATCTTCGATCATGGCCTGTGATGGTCAGTCCGAAATGCCGGAGTTGGTGATAGGGGAGGGTCCGTCTCGGCTCACAGTCGTCAAATTCCTGTAGGCGGTTATGTAGTAACCCTGAACGACCTGGCCTGTCTGAGGGTTCTACCAAATCAATCAAGTCAGCGGGACCGGTCAAAAGTGAAGGGATAGCATAAAAGCAGGTAAGATGGCAAATTCCCCGGGCACGTACCTCGTAGTGGCCAGGTCGAACCAGAGCATCGTTCCCGAGGTAGCGACAGATGTCGGCCGTGATGACTTCTCTGTCGATGCCATCGCGGGGAACGAAATACTCATTTGAACGGCCGGTAGGGGCCGGTGCACCACCTCCGCTGGACTGCGGGGCACCGCTGCTTCTTATGGGTCTCGACATGGCTCCTGTAACGTTCTGTGAAAGAGGCCGAAGGGTTAGGAAGGGGAGAAGGAGGGCCTTCGTGAGATGGGTTTAGGAGATGAAGGTTAAAGGTGAGAGGGAACGAGAGGGACGAGAAGGGACAGCAGTGAAGAGGAGCAGGGGCGACGTGTGTGGAAATGCGAGGTACGGATACAAGAAAGAGGAAGAGAAGAAAAGTCGAACAGGGTCTGGGCGGGAAGGGGGGAAGAGAGGCGGGTGGTGGGAGAAGAAGAGGGCAGAGGGCAGGGGTAAGACCTGGGGGGGTTGTTGGCCACTGGGGTCTTGTATCCGTACAGGCATGGGCCAGCCTACCTAGGGACGGGGCTGGCAAGTCTGAGAGGGACGGACGTTGCTGTTGCGAGTGATAATGTGGGTCCAAAGAATACCTACCTCACCTTACACAAAAGGAAACGGATAAGGTACCTAATAAGGTACCTTACCTTAGGTACAGTTCCTCATATGTACTTTGTACCTGTGTTAATGTGTACAACGTACGGATATCAAGCGTGGCCTTCGGACAAAACGGTAAGGTAGGGTAAGGCAGGGATCAAATGCGAACAAATCCCGAGAATATTACGTGTAGCGACCATTGGGCTGCCTTCGCTCAGTTCTGGGTATACGTACCTAGGCACCTGGAAATCACTTCATCTCCTGCATCTTCTCTACCAATAAGGTACAGTGGTGTCTTTGGAGCCGCTGGTACCTACAGCATAGGTACTGGAGATGAAAGGAGGTTGGGTTCTTTTCCCTCCTAGATGTGGTTGTTGCCTGGCTGATCTCGGACCCATGGCGGGCAAGAGCATGTCAGTACGAAGTACGGGGTACTTTGTATTCCCCGAAAGATTGGGCTCCGATCCGGGGCTTGGGCTCGACTAAAAAAAAAAAGTGCTGGCTGGATCATTGGGCGGGGTTCACCGTTCAGAACCCAACCCAACGCAGGGAATGGAATCCGTCCTGTTCAACAATTGGTGCCGACACACGTCGACAAATAAGGTATGCAGTGACCTGACCGGTTGACCGTTTTTCACTGTGCTCCTGCATCTTTTCGTCACCGTTGTTTCCCGTCGGCGTTGCACAAGGTCGACGTTTGGGGAGCGTCAAGGAAAACCAGCTTTCGTCACCCACCGACTGTCTGCCCAGACGAGACCTCGCCCAGACATGATGCTAAGAAGCGGTGGCCTGGTATGAGCGTCAACAGATTGGCTTGCATGGTCCCGCTCCCGGTTTACATGGGTAGATCGCCAAAAGCTCTGCTGGACCAGGGTTAGGGCGGCCTAGAGAGGCTTTCCGGCCAGCCGGGCGGCAGTCGCCTCCTCCTCGATCGGGGGCGAGTACGCGGCGTAATTATATCCGGACCTATGCCATTGTGACCAAACAGGGGTTGTCATGGGACAAAACAACGGTAAATAAACAGGATCATTTTACTTCAAGGGAAGCAAGCACGCGCACTTGAGTCAGTAGAAGACAATAGCAACCGTGGATTGTTAAGTCTGGAAACCTGAAGTCCATGACGGTCTCGCCGGGGTATTCGGGATGGATGCCTGCCTTGGGTACCTTAGGTAAGGATAGGAATGAGGAATGTCAGCGCTGGTATGGTCAGGTCGCTCCTCCGGACGGATGGTTGGTTATTCGGCGAGCGAACCTGGCAATGTGGCTATCCAAGGAACGAAAGGGGCAGCTGCCTTGGGTTCGGTCAACCGTTCCGGACAGAACCACACAAACCGGGACCCGGATCATACGGAGCCTGACGAGATATACCGGACCAGGATACGGATATCGCGGGTAGCCTCCAGAAAGGGGCGGTAATAACTTTGTGTCGTGGACTGTCGAGGTCGCTCATCGCAAGAACTCGAGACAACTGTTGCCTCCGGTATATATATGTAGAATGAAAGAGGAATTTGTGGGTATCATCTTCTTTATGGTGGCTCTTCCTTCCCTCTGCGGACTTTCGACTCTTCTTGGGTTATCGTGCTAGATCATTCGTCTTCGTCGCGGAGATCGCGACTTGTCACCACGTACGTTGATGGTGGTTGACAATCATTGACACGCTGGTCTGCGTCTCCAGGGGCCGCTTTGCTCTGTTTCCCCTACCACTTCTCGGTATAACGCCGTCCCAAAAAAGCAGTGCAGAAGCGGCGAGGCTCACAGCTCGCGCGCTCCCCAGGCGAACGCCCTGTTGCGAACCATTTGCAAACCGAGACGTGGTCGCGCAGCGCTGCAAGCGAACCGTGTGGTTCTTAGCGCCGCTGTGAACTATGGAAGCAAGATGCCCACGTCTCAACGAGGCACGTCGAGGACCCTCCCATCCCATCGAACTCTTACGAATACGGTATACCTACGTTCTTTCATGAGGACTTCTCCCATGTCCTGCTGACCTTCAACCTGCCTGGTTCGAGGACGTGTCCCTTGGAGAGTCGTCGCTGTGAGGCCACTCACAAGTGGTTCCTGTGGAATGGATGGTGGTTGCCACCCGTTGGGTATCAATGCCTTGCGCCAATTGTGGCCCAACTCACATCCACGCCCCACAAGTTCTAACCAATCACCTTCTTGTTCTTTTCTCAGAGATCCTGTGGGGAGGCGACAAGTTTACTTTTGCCCTCGGATACTCGTACTCGCTATTTTTCTCACGTTTTCTCTCGGGACGGAAAAACGGTACGGCGCATCGCACCTCTCAGCGCTGCAACTACCTCTGCTCGGTCCCCGTCTTTGCTACACATGAGCCTTCGGACGATAGATATGTCTGGTACGAAGCGCAGACGAGCCGAAACTGTCCTTTCCCGGTCGCATTTGACGTGCGAGTTTCCGTCTCATCATGAGCTGTGGGTGCAAATGAAGCAGGCAGATGAGCCGGCCAGAGGAAGGAAGGATTGGACTCTGCTCTGCATTTCCAGGTTCCCAAATATTATTATAAGCCGACTGACCATTTTTCTGCGGGCTCTGTGCGGACATGCATGTGGTTGATTTGATGACCTGTCCATTCAACCTGCCGACTATCCCGCCGGTGTAAGTTTATTTCGATATGGGCGGGAGGAGGCAATGCAGCCGTGCGGGCCCATACGAAGACTTGCATCGAGATGGAGAAATCGGCAAAAATCATGCCCGCGGTCGCAACACACGCCTGCTATTCTACTGACCGCTGGATGAGGGGCGGCATCAACTGCATTCGGCGTCATGCCAAATTCATCCGACCACGCGTCTCAATTCGAGCTGAGGCATGCATCTTGCGTGGATTCGGTTGAACCAATCTTATCCAAGGTCTGTGTGATTCGCAGCGCTGATGCCATAATCGTCTGGCTGGATAGTATTTGTTCGTCGGATAAGTGTGCGAGACCGTTGGTGGCCTTGGGAAGGGCTGGCCCCAGGGGGACGTCAGGGCGCAAAAAGTGCCTTCGAACCTTCGCTCACAGCCGCTTCGTGTGTCATGAGCCACCAAACGTCAGTTTGCGTTGTCCATGTTCCATCTTACCGCCACGACCAGCCCGTTTAGACGAGGGTGCCGGGCCACTCGGTCCTTTCGAGCGAGCGGAAGCGGGAGGATGGATGGTGGCTCTGGACTGGCCACGTTCCTCATCGTGCAGGTCTTTGGCCAAGTGCCAATCTTGGTGACTCTGAAGGCTTTGTGGCCAGTCGAAACTGGCACCACAGCGAGAACACTCTGAACTCTCTGAAGAAGCGCCGTCTGCCTCGTTCTTCTCTTCGTTCCCGTTGCGCAGGCCCGTGACTGGGTCGCCAGGTACCAAGTCTTCGAGCCCTTTGGCGTTATCTTCCGTCTCAGAGGCGTTGTGGTCATTCGTGGTATTGTGTCTAATGAAGAACCGATGTATGCCTTCGCCTGCTCCATCTAGCCGACGTCTCTTCGCCGCCTGCCTGCCCGGAAGGATAGGGAACCCCGGATCTTTTGCACTCGACCTTAGGGCCTGGGCTTCTTCACCTTTGACAAGGAACCCGCCGATGCCCATGTTGCCAACCACGCTGTCTTCGAAGCCGCCAACGCTCAGACTAAGGTTCATGCAAGGCCACACGTTGCCCTCGCTCAATATCTGGTTTAGGAGGGTTCGGGAGAGGTCAAATAGGAGCTGCTCGTTCAGGGCCTTCCCCTGGGCTATGGGCGCCTGACGCGACTTCATCTGACCGTCATGTCTGTAATGCAGGTTAATCGTCCTTGGCCTGCGTCTGTTCTCCTCGCCCAACCGGGAGGAAATATCAGCAGCAAAAATCCTGAGCCACCGGGTAGCCTGCTCAACAGTGTGGATGGCGGGCCGGAAGGACTTAGCCGAGAGCATCGACTTGATTTGCGTCCTGGAGCTGACCTCGCTGTGGTCCACGCCCCGAATGGTATTGTAAACCCACGTTCCTGTGTCGTCTCCCAACTTGAGTTTCATCTGGTCCAGAGTGACGGGTAGAAGTTCCCGGACGGTGTCAACGCCAAAGGTGGACGTGACATTGTCCCCAAACTTGCCGCCAAAATTCCGGATTTTGGTGATCTTGAAATCCGATAGGAAGTGCTGAATAGCCCGGCTCCGGATGACGGTTTGTTGGTTGGGCTTCTTGTAAGCGGAGCCCAACTTGCTCAACAACTTATTATTGGCTATGCCCGCCGAGCAGGCGTAACGCAGCTCCTCTCGAATTTGTCCCCGCACGTCTCGGATGATTTCGGACCCGATCAATATGGCCACGTCGTCCCAGTCCGGATCTTGCGACTCAGCATGCTCATCCAGGTCGACGAGAGCGTCGGCCATCCAATTCAAGGCAACCACTGGAGGCCGAGGTAGCCTCCCCGTGAGGTCGCCATGAGGAGGCGGGCTCCTCAGCTCCGGGAAACGCTCCAGGAGAATGGAGTGGACTTGGGCGGAGAGGTCGCAGAATACTTCATCGATACTAGCCTTCTCGACCCTCTGCAGATTTGACGGAAGAGTCTCCTTGATAAGCTGGAGAATCTTCCTTGACTGCAGACGATAAGGATCGAGGGACACCTTGTCGCTTGCTACGTTGGCTGCGGCGTCTTCTCTATAAGCCCACTTGTCGTCACCTTCACGCCATGTAGCCACATGCTGGGCGACCAGGTTAGGACAGAGTTTCTTGGCGTCTGTGATGGTACAGTGTCTGCCAACGCCAAACCCACGAGCCGGGTAGTTGACGGCTATGAGATTTTGCCTAGGTTACAAAGTCAGCAGAGATGAAGTTCATCGAGGGCTCCGTCTTGGATGCATACCACTGTTGAACTGCCAGAGGCTGGTCCTCAGGGATGCCGAGCCGCACCATCTCACATTGCGCATAGAAGGCATCCAAATCAATATGCGCTACTACGCGCAGTGGGCAAGACGGGGCGAATGAGGCCAGTTGGCACAGATGCCTGTATGTGAACTGAGATTTGCGACTGGAAGTATCGGTGACTGGGGACGATTCTGGGAACTGTGGAGAAGACATGTTGGTTTTGGTGCCGACTAACGAGAGCTCAGTAGCTTTGCCACTTAAAAGTATCCGGCAACTTGTCGGCGAGAGCCGGATCTATCCCCTATTCACATGTTAACAAAAGGGTGAATGTTTCGCGTCGATGGTCACGTCGAGAACGGGTTGGCTTGAAGTTGCCGAGTTCTGGTGGGGTATTGAACCACGTGAATTGGGCGCGAAATCACGTGTTTTATTTACTTCACGTGTCCCCGTTGTTATCTTAATATTTCGTCCACGAGTACCTTCCTACGCCGTAATGATGTATTAGGGAGTAAATATCCGTGCCCAAGCTTAATACCAAAATGAATGCCATGCCTTGCCCGATATCTATATTATGATGCTGGACCGAGTCTCAAGCAGCAAATGAATTCAGAATAACCATACCGTTTGAGACCCATATGCATTACGGTATGTCGATTCCCCACCCAGTCGCTTTGCCCAATGTAAAACGTATGAACGCTTCGCCGTCCAAAACCACCTCACCTATGCGTAGATCAGGTAGACATTACCTCCCACTTTCGGTCCTTCTGACTTCCCCCATTTCCACGTCGGTCGCATGTCCCTCAATGAAGGTTTTGAGACCGTACCGCTCCGTCAACTTGCGCAGCATGCAGTCCATACGGTAGTCGCTGACCATATGGTCGTGCATGGCGCAGGGCGACATGCGTATGGGCAGAAGCCAATCCAGGGGGTTTGTTCCCATCACCTCCTTCCAGTTCTCCTTCCATCCGAGGTCCCAAGGGTTTTCATCGGCCTGAGTCCGTAATATGGCAAACGCGTTGGTTGCCATTCTATCCCTCGGCGATATTGGCTGTTCCCGGGCTCCAGGTTGTCCGTTTGAGGCAGGCGGCCCGGGTGGTGAAGGGTTCTGCAAGGGATATGTGACGATTCCGTATTGATTGGTCGGTGGCGTGCTCCGGGGAACTCGGACGGCTAGCTGATGCACCCATCTCTTTTTCATTGTGTCGATGTTTGTCAGGTTCAGCAAGATGAGGCGGATGGAAGTCGCAGACATTGTAAAGGTAAAGATGAGGAAAAAGGCAGACAAGACGGTTGCTGCGATGATGTTCCCGTTGAGTGTTCGGCCTTCGCGGCTTTGCATCGCAAGGGCGTACGCAGATGCCCCCAGTACAACAGCGCAGAGCAGCGCACAATATGCCATTGACTGGGTGAAGAACTTGAAAGCTGCGGAGGGGTGCAAGGTCAGCGTTGGCGCGGCCACAACAGAACCTCGCGGCGACAAGGGGTCCCCAGGGAACTCACAAGTCTCCGAGACCATACCTCCGACCCACGGACAGTAATGATCCATCTTGCGCACGCATCGTCCTAGCTCGCTCGAGTGGTGGGCACGATCCGGTTTCCAATTGCGACACACCGAGCACCACCTGGGGCGGCCATCGCTCTCGCAAATGAATGCGTCTTTGCTGTAGAAATTCTCGAGTCCCGGGCTGTCCAGATCTTGATCGGGTCCGGTGTAGTAGGGCTGTGACTCGGGATCTCCTTGTTTCCTCCTTCCGCCCCTGCCTCTCCCGCTAGAATGAGGCCGGGTTTCCACAGTTTGGGAGTGAGGCCCGAGAGGAACCAGACCCGTATTAGTCTTGATAATCCAGATTGTTCGAATATAAGAAAGAACCGTAGGAAAGAAGAATAGGAAATAGAGAATGAGAATCGCGATGACGGCACCCGGATCGTGGAGATCACGGTATAGGTAGTCGACTGGTAGGGCGTTGGTTGGCGTTACCGATTCCCATGTCAGCTTCTCTATCACCACTTCATCGAAGATGGGGCGAAGGACTTGCGAGGGAAGGAAATACTCACTGCATATCGGAGACACTATAACATACGTCGCATAGCCTAAGGCGCCGACGAGGACAATTGGGATGGCCCTACTAGTCCAACGGGCAACGGCATTCTGACTCGACTGCGCTTCGGGCATTGTTCGACAAGCGCATTGCTATCGAACCGCTGTCAAATCTGGGAACGCCTTTGGTAGTGCCAGATTTTCGAGCTAAAGTACCAGAACGGACAGCATATCAGCATGCGCAGTGCATTTGTACTGGGAGACTGGAGTGACCCAAATGATGCCCCCTGGTCGCTTGTTGTGAGGAGGTGATAGGAGTTTGGCAGATGACGTCCAAGCTTCGTGGACGCGACGACCCAAGGGGACCGAGTACTTTGTATACCTCGTCCGTGCGCATCTACACCAAGGGGCGGGCTGTCACATTTATAAGCCGCTGCAAATGGCTACCTACAAAATGCGCGCGAAACCCTTTAGCGTAGTGGTACAATTTTGCCTGTGCAATAATTAAGAGTCTCAGAGTCTCATTCTGCCCTGCGAGCAGCTGAATAATCATACCCACCTAAAGCTATGACTTCGAACCTTGAAGCAAGTAGGATACTAAAACACGATCCAGTGCCATCGAGTCAGGACGTGGATCCAGCTTGCTCGGGAACGACTCGGCTTAGATGACGAGTAAATGGATAAATCACTCGCAAAATATGTACGTAATACGTGTGGGATTCTTTTTTGGCGTAGTGGTAAAAAACATCAACACGGCGTGATGAGCATGCGGGGATAAAATCATTCTACTGGATCTGAATCCTCGGCCGCATCGGCAACTTTTTGTTCATGGTTCCTTCGTCTTCATTGGGGCATGCTCATGATAATTCGTGCCCGCAGCCCCGATATGCGCCCGCAAAGATGATCGGGTCGGGTCGCACCAGACATCGCTTAACCAGTCAGTGGATGGCGAACTGACAGAACACGCCGAGCCTCCATGTTGGATCTAGCCGCGTCAGATTCAACGACGTCTTTCAAAAGGCTCGAGGATCGTACGTTCAAGAGCCGGGGGAAGGCATGTCGCATGGTTCTGCGGTTCACCTTTGTTTGAACTCATCGACCAGGAACCAAGGTCATTAATCCATTGCATATCTGAGCCATCATCACTTGACCATCCAACACTCAAGCGCCGTTTGTGTCCTTCAGGTGAGACTGCGGCGAACTGGAACTCCCATCTATAGTGATAACATCTGCCCGGTCATCGTGGAACATATCACTAAAATCGTTGTTTATAGTCGCTGCTGTGTGGGATTCTCGCTGCCCAGATGGTGCCATGCTCGCCCATGTTCGGATCAGTTCGATTTTAATCCCGAGATACCAGAGTATAGGTTTCGTCAAGTCCTGGGCGTAGCTTTCTGGACGGGCAACCGTCACTATTCCACGGACTGCCCGATACCCGGCGCTCGGCATCGGCAGGAATCATGTTGTTCTGTTCAAAGATACTGGCTTCGGTCAGTGGCGAAAACAGAAAACAGCCATGAATTCAAAGCACAACGGGTGTGTCAAAGTTTGGCTGCGCGACCTGGAAATACAGATGTCTTCACAAAAGCCACTTGACGAGGCTCCATGGATCGGGCCGTAAGTTGGGCATGAAGAAGAGTCGGTGTGCGGCATCGTGGCTGTGCATCATCCCTAGTACGCGATATCCCGTGTGGCAGAGAATGAGGCGTCTTGATGAACGATTTCTCAGTCTTAGTCGCCAAGCCGGTCTCGCGAGCGTCATCCAGCATGATAGCATCTCCCGGCCTTCGGCAGCGAGATTTCTCCAGAGTCGCCAGCGACGCCAGCGTATCCCGCGGTTTTAGGCCTTCCAGTCACCCCTCCGACCCTCGTACACCGACTCACAACCAACAGAAAATGACAATCAACACAGAGCCCAGAGAGTTAGCTGCCTTCTCGACCTTGTACGGTCGCCAAGCATTGAGCAGGTCGTTGACCACGGACGACGGGGCGCCGACGACGACGAATGTCCATGGCCAGAGAGGCATGCCTCCTCCATCCGATGGTGCTTTCGGATGTCATCATCCCTAGGCCTCAATTCGAAGCGGCTTCGGTCAATTTCGGTCTGTTTCACGTTGATGTATCTACTAGTCTGCTTTGCCTCGATTGTTCAAAGTCCAATTTTTGGGCCCCGTCGGTGACCGCCCTATTTTTCAGAGACGACCGAGCCTCCGAAATAGGAGTAACGGCCATCGAGGCATTGAGTGTCTGCGTTTTAGCCTCTGGCCGCCTCGCAACGCCTACCGACTGAGCCTGTATTGGAATTCTTGTTTCGGTAGCTCAGTATTGACCTCAGTCGAACTACGATACGACACTCTGCTAGACTTCGAAATGGATATATATACCAATACCCAGGCCGATCCAAAGCAATCCCAATTTACTCCTGCTTTATCATCATCAGAATCAACGTCAGCTTCTTCAGTTTTGCAAAAGTCTCAGGTTTAGGATTCGCAAATTTCACATAACCCATCTCAACAAACGATCCTCGCACCTACCGCCCCGCGCAGCCAACCTCACCAAAATGAAGTGGGAATGCGTGAGTTCGACTCTGTCGATACGAAAGAGCAAGGGAGCTGCGAAACTGACACCACATAGCACTACTGCCTCAGGGGCGTCAACCTGACCATCGGCATCGACATGCACTGCTACGAGTGCCAGCACCAGCGCTGCGTTCAATGCAAAGTCGTCTGAGGAGGTGGCGAAGCTTTGCTTTGAAGCATTGAGACGAACCGTAAGTGTCCCGGGACCATCCTTCGGATCCTTTCCATGGCGAAAGCTCGCCGGTCCTGTCGGTACTCGGTCGCTAACCGACTCCAGGGCTCTCGCCATTCTTTTTCTTCCCGTAGTTGTATGTGTTTAGAAGATAGACCTCAAGAATAGACTTGTTTTCCTCGCAGCGGGACAGCTGTCAGCAGAGTCCCCTTCAAGCTTCGCCCCAATGGTGAAGAAAGGAGGCTCCAAAAAGCCCGTCGCGGTTCACACCGAGCGGCTTAGCCTCGAGACCCTTTTTTTGATGCCCGCCTCACTTAAGCCATCTGATCCGATCCCGGAATATGATTCTGACCAATCTTATGCTATGTGACAGAACGTGGGCCGCTCCTTGTTTGAACGAGCACGAAAGTACTCAGTTCATACTCCGTAATCGTGAAGACGTTGAACTTTGAAAGGTGTTGTGAAGTTGAAGTTGGAGGAATGTGATGACCAAGACATCTCACGCGGGAACCCCGTCCCTTTGAGATCCGGTGTATTGGAACGAACAGGGACTCGCTCTCTCCTACGGAGTAATTATTGTGACATCTCATGCATTTATTATTACATATAGATCACTGAGCCCGACTGCATACTTTTTTCTATTCCTCCTGAAATAGTCATCCATCCGGTTCTCAAGACCAACCACACGGCAAACCCATGCATCAGGTACAATGTGGACCTCTGATCTCTCATGACGTCACACTAGACGGATAGCGCACCATCACGCTGACTGTCCAATCCGCCCGGTCACCGATGGTCGGAGATGCGATTCGGTGGGAGGGCACAAGCCGATTGGACCGCCGGAGTCGCGTGGAAATGTGGTAGCCTCAATCATCATCCTTCGGCACAATTCCGCCGCAGACATCGTGATGGTGCACATGCCTCAAGGCGAAGCTACATCAGGACTGCGTTTATTACCCGTAACACCCGAGATATTGGGGCGAGATTCAGGTGAGATGCTACCAAAACATCCATGCTATTTCTTCCATCTCCTTCACCGCCAGTCTTTTCGACATCGACATGTATGATCGATCCTCTTGCGATGATGCATGCATCCTTGACGGAAAATTAATCGGTGATGCTATGAAGCCGGGGACGGCCAAATGCTCGTCACCAACCTGCACAGCAACAGAAGACTCCAATCACACGAGCTAATCCAAGTCTGGCTGGCGGCCGGCTGTTCCGTTGAAGCAAGAAGCGCGTCCCTAAGGCCCACCTGCCTGTCGCCTTCCCTCTAATGTGATAGCAACGATATCCCGTCGACTCCCAGTAAACTGAATTCCTAAAAGCCTTAACGAACCTGCTGGAAAGAAGCAACGCCGGAACTGAAATAACCAAGATGGAATTACAATGAGGCGCGAAGTGTTGTGCCTCACTCCACCGAGTTCCCTTTTTCGACAAAAAAATTGCATGGGAGAAAGAAGAAAAGAAAAAAAAAAAAGGGGGGGTGGATAGGGTGATCATGATTACGGCATCGGATCAAGCCGCCTGGCGAACGCCCTACTCGACTCGGGCTGTGATCGTCGGCTGCTCCTCAGGACTGACCATCCGAACTCGCGAACGACTCCGCGGTAACTCCAGAGCCTTACGAGGAGACTTGGTAATAGAACTTTTGGGCGTGCCGCTCGTCTTCTTCGATCTCTGCGGAGTGCCGTTCGAGGCTGCCTTGTTGGCTGGCCTGGTATTATCGTCATTGCTAGCTGCCGCAACAATGGTCATGGCGGGGTTGTGGGAGGACATGGTGCTCTGTTCGACAGACTCCCGTTTCTTGTTGCTCGCCTTGAGTACGCGACCCGAGCTCGACATGCGGACAGTCGTCACCTTGGATGATGTCGTCTTCCTGCCGATCGGAGCCGTCTTGGAGTTGACCCTGACCGTGACGGTGGAAACGCTCCTCTTCACTGTAGCTGCGCCCTTGGCCGCCATCTTCGACACTTTGGCACTGGTGCCCGAGTACTTTCGTTTTACGACCGTGCCCGTCGTCTTGTTAGGCGTCGGGTTCGACGTCTTTGACGTGGCAGTCGCCTTTGCCGCAGTAGCCGTCGCTTTCTTCCGAGTCTTTGCTGGGGTCGAGGTTTTACGCTTCTTGGATGCGCTCCCGTCGTCCCCGTTGTTCCTGTCACCCACCAGCTCTTCCAGCTTCCGTTTGCCAGCTTTGACCACCCCTTTCACAACCTCCTTCACCGCCTTGACCGCTACCGGCTGGGTTTTCGCCTTGCCATTGGTCTTGCCACTAACTTTGCCCGTCGCCTTGCCTTTGATTTTACCGGCGTCTTTGGCCGCCTTGGCCGCCTTCGCCTTCGAGTCCTTCTCCTTGGGCTTGGGACCAAGCACACCGCGACAGTTTTCTTCTCCACACAGGCAGGTCTGAACGTTCTTAGCGCTAAACGGGTCAAAGTTGTAGTCATATGTGAGCTCGTCTCCCGTCATGATGGGTTGGTCGCCGGCAAAAAGAGCCATCCTCGGCTGGCAACCGACGATCCATTTGACCATCTTGCAGTTGGGTTTGCACGAATGATTGACAAACCGAGCGATGCTACCGTTGGTTGCGTCAATAATCATGTTTTGGTCGAAACTCATAAGATAGTAGCACTGGAAACGCCCGGGTTAGTTTTCTACGATGGATATGTACGTGTTACCACGACTTTCTGGGAACCCGGGACTTACGTCGTTGTTCTTGTATTTGGTGTTCATCCTGTTCTCGCATTCCTCTTCGGTGATAATCTCGCCAGTGTACTCCATGATGATCTGGTTCGGCTCGAAACACCGGTTGGCGCGCACTCCGTATCCGCGGTCCGACGTCTTGATGACCTCGACACCGACGCGGTACTTGCCGCCAGCCGCCTTTCTCTCCTGAAGATCGGCGAATGCGCGGTTTGTGCACAGCTCCTTTCCGACGTTGCAGTTTTTATCGTCACACTCATAGAGCATGATGCGGTTCTGACAGTCATCGCCACAGCGATCTTCTGGCTTACAGACGCATTTGGATTCGGTGGCCCAGCTGTGCTGATTCTTCTTCCAAAACAGGCTGGATTCGCCCACGAAACGATCTAGAAGAGTGCGTGTAAAGATGCGATGGTCAGTCCTCCTAAACCAGAAGCAACGCTAAGATCGGCAGCGGGGGGCCAGGAGTGATGATGGTGGTGGTGGTGGTGGCGGCGGTTGTCTGTAGACTTACTTTTTGAAATCCTAGTCCAGTGCTCGGGCTTCGGCTGGCCAGGCGGTAGAGGGTTGCCGACGTCAAAGGGGAGTTTAAAATCCCGGCCTTGGATCAAAAGTCTCATGCCGTTAAAGATGGGCAGTGGTAGAGCCTTATTGATGCGCCCACTTGGCTTGAGATCGGGCATCTGGGCCATCTTCTTCTTCTCCGCCGGGGTGAGACCCTGGGAGGGGTCACTCGGTGTTTCCTGGCCCGCATAGAGGCCCTTGTCAAGCCAATGTTTGGTCCGGCGGCCCTTTCGCGTATGGACTTCCAAGCCGTCTTCCCCTTTTTGACTCCCCTCGTCCTTCTTCTTGACGTCCTTGCCGTTCGGTTCGGAATCTTTGCTCCAAGACGAACAAGACGCCTCCGTCTTTGCCTTCTTTTTCGCCGGAGCCTTCTCCGCTTCCTCGGGGGTGACGAGTTTTCCGTTGGCCCAAGTGGTGTGGATGACGGGTTGGGTGTCAACGTGGGCATATTCGTCGGTATCCTGCAGACGACGGAGCTCTCGGGACAAACTTGAGAGACCCTGCTCAAAAGCCCGACGGCTTCGCTTGCCGAGAGTGACTGCTTTGGCAACAATGCCGGGGGTCGATACGTCTCCACGCAAGCGCGCCGAAGCACGGGTTGTGCGGGGACTAGAGGCAGTGCTTGAATTCCGGGATCGGCTCACGGGCGTTTCAGGCTTCTTTGCAGATCGTTGTTGTCTCCGAGCGCTGGCAGTGGAGCTTGCAACAAGGTTGGCTTCTTCAGTGGCAGACTGGTCGGTCTCAGCGATAAATTCATAAGGATCAGCGACAGGGAGGAGGGAGGCATCCGAAACATTGCGCTTTTTTCGATCGGTAGGAGGGTCTCCGGTGACGCGTCGCTTTTTGTGGCTGGAAATGCCGGACAGGCGACCAAGATTATACGTAGGAGGGGTCCCGACACACGACCGCCGAGCGCGTCCAGCCACACTAGAGGGAGGTTCGGGAGCGGCCGCGGCCACGGCCACGGCGGCGGCGACGGCGACGGTCACGGTCGCGGTCGCGGTCCCAGTCGCAGTCGCGTCATTACCACCTTCGCATGGAGGATTTATACTAGCTTGGACTTCAGGAGCAGGCGTCAACTCGATCTTCGAGGTCTCCGAGGCGACAGAGATGTTGTCAGAAGAGAAGGCGGTGGGTGGTGTTGAGGTGAGGGACGGGACGTGGGACGAAGCGCTGTCGAGAGGCGCGACCGACGAACTGCTTTGGGTCGGAGAGAGAGACATGACGGGGCAAAAGGAAGGAAGTTGACACTGAAGTCTCCAAGTTAAAGCTCTCTCCAAGAGCGGGAAGACCTCCGTAGAGGACTTTGACGCGTGGAAAGAGGCGCTGTTTGGGTTGTAACGATTGTTTGGCTCTGTCCAAGGCAAATCCAGAGCCGGAGACACGTAAGAAGCAAAGGAAGACGCGACTAACAAGGATGGGGAGGAAGTGCTGGAGGGAGGTGAGATTTGGGGGGTGTGGGGAGCTGGGACCCAGCTGGCGGGTGCTGATGGACGGGGTGGGTGGGTAACCTGTAAACTGGATTGGTAGGTGGCCCCTGCGATAGATGATTAGCGGCGGATGCACCTTTTACCTTAGCAAGGGGTACATGAGGTAAATTGACCCCCCCTAAAGGCATCAAAGGTCTGTTCCGAGGGTGAGATGGTGTAGGTACCTACAACGTACCTACCTTACTGAGTACGGATAGTATCTTCCGTGCGTTGTACTCCGTACTCCGTCCTTCGTGTCCTAACTGCGAAAGTAACTTATGCAGAAGTATGGGCTGAACGAAGACACACAAGGCTGGAATGAAGGAAATTATGATGATCCTGGTCCCGGTTCAGAAAGATTTTCGACCATTTAAACACTCAGATTGGCTGTACACAGCAGGGCGCGCAACGTGAATGTTCTGATTTGGTCGATTGTCGATGGAGAGAGATCGAAATAGATTGAAAAAAGAAGAAGGTCAAAAAAAGTAAGCCTCTTTAACCGATAAAGATAACCGCGCAGGGCAGAATCCTGCTGTCAATGATGCTGCTGAGGCCACCGACACAGGTACCTAAGGGGAAGTGTTAGTGAAGACGGACGGAGGACAAACCAGTACACTCAGCCGTTTTGCTGGGGAGCGATGCAGTTATGTAGTAGAGTGCGTGCGTGCGAATAGATGCAAAGTAGATGAAGTGGGGTGAGTTGGCATGTTTGTGTCGGCGCATACATATACATACCTCCACGCGATACAGCTGTCGTCGTGACTTACTTGGCTAACGTTTTGGTACGTTGCTGAAAGGTTTGGTCGATTGGGGGGGGGGGTTGGTGTTGCAGCACGTAACCGTAAGGTATAGAAGGGAGTCGGCTGTTGTGGTTTGCAAATGGCAGTGTCTGTCCCCGTTGGACGACTTTCTCTTTTTCTTCTTGGTCAGGGGAGGCGAAAGATTCAAAGTTTGGCTGGGCCAGTGATGGATGTATGGGTGCAGGAGTAGGGACTAGGAAGCCCGAGAGAACTATCACCCTTGAGGCTTGGGCAATATAGGTCGGAAATTTCGCGTCAAAAGAAGACACGAATTCTTTCGTGCAGGGGGGTTGCCAAAGAGTAGAGTGAGAGGAAGAAGTGACGGCCCGAGCTGGGAGCTGGGGAGGGGGGACGCGAATATACGCTGGACGGGACGAGAAGAGTTCGGCCTCGTCCAGTCTCCGCCGTGTCCTAGCGTTCGCGGCACCCACAAAAGCAGGGTCGGTTAAGAAGGGAAAAAAGGGAGGCGTTTTGGTCGACGTTTGGATCGGGAGTTTCTGAAGATGGCGAGAAAAGGAAGAAGAAAAGAAAACGAGGGGAGTTGGGAAGGGGGAAGATTTTGAGTTGAAGAAGCGTGGAAAACGAAGCGTGGAAAAAGAAGCGTGGAAAAAGAAGCGTGGAAAAAGAAGCGTGGAAGAAAGACTAACGACGAGGGATCGAAGAAGTGTGGAGGTCACAGGTGGAAATTAAACAGAAGGGGTCCAAGGCTCAAAGCCAGTCCAGGCGGCACAACGCTATCACTCGTACTCGTCGATAGTGGCCCTGTGCCGCGTCCTGGAGGGACCTGATAAAACCTCCCTGAGGTGGCTTTTCACCTTCAAATCGCATGCGGCATTGGTATCATCTTCAGTCATCAATCAACGCGAGTCATTAATCCGCAACCTGTTTGCTCCGTGCAACTTCCCCCGACATCCAGGCAGCTGAGTGCAGGCCCCAAGGCCCCGGCCCCCAAGTTGACATTGGCCCCTTTTTCTTGACAATCGCCGCAATAAGTCGATGAGGATTACGAGACACCCATGACTCTCATGATCTGTGTGGTTCTCAGGCAAGCCATAAAGTCGCACCACACAGAGTAACCTTGTTGCGATATGAGACAGAAAACTCGGAATCACCGTAAACCGATGTGACTGTCCCATGGCTTGCTTTTCCTTGAATTTTAACAGTAGATTCCTATCTCCGTATTTCTTACCGAGTACTAGGAAACCGCCGCTAACTTCCCCCCCTCGTCGTCATTGCGCGCCCCGGTATAGATTATAGCAACTGTGTGTCATCACTCCCTTCTATACGGTGTTAAAACTGAAGGAGACGCACCAAGATCGCTATTCGAAGTTCATGTTCCTTTTGGTATGTGCTCTGCCCGCCATGAATCCCGCCCTAAGGATCGTCGAGATACTCCACCGACGGTTATCTTCCAGTTTCAGGGTTTCAGGTTCATGGCAAGGCGAGTTCTTACCCAGTAACTATTGGGTATGCCGGCTTCATCAACGCGAGGTGGAACCAGAGTTTTTGTGATTCCACCACCGCCGGCCCCGATTCATAGCAAACCTAGTGGTGAGGGTATCGCTACGGACTACCTTTCCGCAGACTAACTCCCCGCGTCAGAGATTCAGAGTGCCTTGGAGACAAGCTCACGAGGCTCGTCGGCCACACAGGTGACAGGGCAGGTGCCTTACAATCCTTACTCCACGAAGATACCCCCCGCCCGCGACCTACCTCTTAGGTAGGTAATTAAGACCCCCTTCCAGGGAAGTTCACCAAGCTTCAATCACTACCCGCCACCAGATCGGGCTCCCTCCGGCTGATCAGTCTCCAGCCGACTGACGGTCCGCTAAGTCTATGCGATAAGCCAGGTGTTTCCCAGTAACAGGCCACCATATAATGAAATGCAACTTTTATTCCCACTGCTCTAGACGATACCTTGGTCCTGTCCCCCCGCTCTGTGCTATTCGATACCTTGGTCTTGCCCCCCTCCGCTCTGTACGGACTGTACTATTCGATAGGTACCTTAATTTTGTGCCAGCCTCCAGCCCAAACCTTGTCGTACCGCTATACATCATCTCCAGCAACGCCAACACCCTCCACGAGTCCAGCCCCCCTCCTACTGCCCCAAAGCGCAATACACCTGACCTTGTAGCTTTGCTTCCCAGCAGACTTCTCAGGACACCCACGCGATACCTTCATCAACCGGATGCGGCACCGTGGCCTTGAGGCGGAACGTTAAGGAGCACCTGGTTGTCTTGCTGTACCGGACTTCGAGCTTTTCGAAACATGTTCCGGAAAATGGCCAGTGCCTTGTTCTCTTGTGGGTTTGAGCCTGGGGGATCCTGAGGTTGATCTTGATTTTGCTCCGCGTTTTGCTGTTCCTGCCCCTGCCCCTGCCCGCCCTGTGTCTGATTCCCAACGGCCGAGAGCAAAACCGTGCGCGCTGTTCCGACTGAATCGGCATCCCCGCCGAACTCGACAGGAATAGATCGACGAAGAATAAGATACCCCGCTTCTGACTCCGGGAAAATATCTTTTGCTACCTGTTCACGTTTCCGTGTGATTTTGAAATGGCCAATGCGATAGCCGAGAGACCCGCGTATGGCCGAATCTAGTAACCACCCGGCGTTCATCCCGACGGTGTCGTTCCAGCCAAGCTCGACGAAGTGGTGATACTTCAAAAGATCGGGATACATCTCTTGGAAGAGGTTGGCAAAATTCCATAGTCCTTTTCTGACCTTCCGGAAGACACGGGCTGGATTGGTGCCGGCGCAATCGTGGACCTGGATGATCTTGTATTGGTCCTTCCACCCCACCCGAGTATAACCACGGGCCTGACTGATTCCAAGTTCGTCGATGGCAAGCTCCATCAAAGCGATTCGAAACTCCTGATAGCTGTATGCGTGAGGAGTTAGAACGAGTACGTGCCAGTGGTGGGCCAACGAGGCGTGCTACTATTCTGCGTCTAGAAAGGGAGAAGGGAGAGGACATGTCAGGTGGAAACATACCTGGCATCATCCCGAAACAAACCGTCAAGGTCCTTGACACGGTTATAGAGATTCCACGTAATTACCATGGGGTTAGCCTGGATGTTACCACGGAGACTCGTGACGTAGCCAATGCCTTCAAACTTGTTCCGTTCGTAGACCTGTGCGAGGCTCGAGGCTCGAGGATTATGTTGCCTACGCCAACGAAGAACCGTGCGAAACTGGGCAGCAGCCTTGACGACGTTGAATTTATTGGCCCGGAGGAACTTCTGGAGGACAATGCTGCGGGGTGCGGAACGGTTCTCGTCATCGGCGTTGGTGAAGTCGATACCCCACATCTCGTAGTGCTGGGCCTCCTCTAGGAGGCCAGGGAGCATCGCGTACAGCAGGTCAAGAGCTGCTTCGCTAGTTTTCTCGTCAAATTGGGTTAGACGGACAATTTCGGGGGGCATGTTGAGTCCCGCCATGGCCGCGACTCTCTGGAGACGGTCCTGGAATATGTGTGCGTGACTCTACTGGAGCTGAAATCTGGATGTTTCGAGAAGTAATCGAAAAAGGGAAAAAGAATTATGAGAGGAAAACCAAAGAGGAGATCGAGGGTTGAAAGAAAAGAAAAATCAGAGATACTGACGGAATCGCGCATGGGAAGAAGAAGAAGAGAAGAGTAGAAGACGCTTGGAAGGCGGGAATGCTGCATTTCTCTGATGTATATTAGCGCACTATTTCTTGGGATGTCCCCTTCCTCATGTCGATTGTCAAGGGCCGGTTGTTTCACGACCAAGCTGAGGTGAGTGCCTTCCACACTTAAGGTTTGTTCGAGAGTTGTTCGAAGGGACGGTGGTGGAGTGCGTGCCCAGAAAGAACTACGACGTCGAACTCGGCCGCATCGCACTCTCCGAAGCTGAGAACACGACATCCAGCCTCACAGGAGCTCTCGTACTGCGACAGTGCGAAATGACCGCCGGTAGCAGGAGATACCTTCACCTTGGCATCACACTCCCGACAACCCGGAAGGGGGCAGTAGATGATGCCTGTTATTTGGGAAAGAATGATGGAGTCGCTGCAAAAGAAAGCAGTTTTCGGAACCTAGTAGAGGGTGTGCTTTGGTACAGTCCTCTTTCTCATCCGTCACTGGTCAGGACTTCGGGGGAGGCGGGCGGGCCACGGGTGCCTGTTTCTCTCGAAAAAGAGCGGGCGAGGTGCTGAATATATATAAGATGCGCTTGTTTCCTTTGGAGGCTGTATATTGGCTGAACGCTTGGACTGGCCCTTCTCGAGCTGGAGGAACAGCAGTGGTCGTGACATGTTGCCTGCCCATCGATTGTCCCGGCAGTCCTAAACGTGTGGGAAGATGTAAGTAACCTCGCATCAGTTTATCCCAAACACTGTTTGGTTGAACGTGGGCGCAGGAGACGCCCAGAGTGCCACGGAGACAATATCATTGACTCGAGAGTTCGGATATCCTCGTGACCGCTTGCCAAGTCGTCGGTCGTGTTTGTTGTTGTTGTCTGTGAGAGATATTTTTAATTACTTCGTAGTTACTAATTTAGGTAGGTACCTGCTTTGTTGAGACGTGGTTCGTGCACGCTATCAATGGTCACCACTACCTTAGTAATTCCCCGATCAGACCTCGGGTACCTGACGACCCACAGACAACAACCCCACCTGCCATGCATCGATCGAATGGTCTCGAGCTTGGGGTCGATCCCAAGGGGCGGGTGACCCTTCCGTCGTCTCGCAGTAGCGCCCGAGCTGGCGGGGCTGAAGAACGATTGCCAAGCCACAGGTACCTAGGTACCTACACAACACACCCCTCCCCCCGGCCTAATCCCCCCCGGGCGCCCCCCCCCAAAACTTCAGCCGCACCTCACCTCCACCGAGTCCACTCCATGTAAACTTCGAAAGAGTCGGCATAAATTTCAGCGTGCTGGGTCAGCATCAAGTCATAAACAGCCCGATCTGGATCCCTTTTGGATCGAGTACGCGAAACAAAAACTACTGACTGAAATGGGGCAACTTCTTCCGGCATTGGCCTGTACCTATTTTCGTAGGTCCATCTCTGCGTGATTGAAGCGAGTGAATTGATCGCCTCTTTCGAGAGATGACAGAGTAAGCTTAGGCTAAGGTAGCAAGAGCTTGAGGAGAGTACGAGAGATGTAGGTAATTAATAAGGTATTGGTAGTTTTTGTCCCTTTTATTACGGGTGGAGAGTGGATCGTAAGTGGCACGGTGCAGCATAGACTATAGTATATCACGTGCGACGATTATGATATTTCCTGTTTTCCACCATGTCCTATTCCCTCAATTGAGAAAATGCCTTTCCTCCGCCATCACGTTTCCTCGCCAGATTTGCAGCCAATTTCTCCTTGTCCCTGACTTACGTCGCCCTGATTCCCAGGGAAGCAATTCATGAAAAGCAATCGTCATCCAGTCGTGCATCAGGCTCGTACCAACCTCCTGACAGTCCCCCAAAGTTGGAACAAGATGCTCTGGATTCATCTCCAGACCCTTGCTCTCCGTCAGTGCGAAAGACAAGGGGATTATCCGTCTACGCAAAACTGAGGGCAGCCAGTTATTACGGTCGAAGATAACCCTGATGGCCTATCAGGGCGCGGCGGAGAATTTTCTCGATGACGTGCATCTCTTGGCCCGCAGCTTCCTTCAGGGTCATATTGTCGAACGATCGACCGAATTGACGATACTCGAGAAGCTCGAACCAGAGAAAGCCGAAATAGCCGTCTGTGTCTCCCGCGGAATTTTCCACCTCCGATCGCGCCTGTAGTGGGAGCATCGAGACCCGCCTGCGCGTCTCATCACGGATCACAGCAATATACCACTATGGGTTTAAAAACCGTTAGCATTTCTGTACTGCAAACTTTCGGATCATTCACACACTGTTTTGATTCACTTGCCTCGATGACATCCAGCGGGATTCCTGGCTTGGGTCCCAGGGCAAGGAGGTGTCGCCACGAACTAGCGAAGCGAGGCTGGCCGTAAGACCGTTCTTCGAGCTCGTCCATGCCCATGAGGTAGGCAATACTGTCCTTCTGCAGCGTAGAGAAGCCAGGGCAAGTCATGGCGGCCGTCACGAGGCGACGTAGCAATTGCTTGTTCAGGTTGACTTCGTCCCGGCCGTCCCGGACCAGGTACCACAGGTGACGCGTGAGATCGACCGTGGCCTGATGGATCGCGTTTCGCTGGCCTATAGTAATGTATTTGTGTTGCGACCAGGGTAATTTCTTGAGTGTACTGATTAGGCACTCGAACGGGCGTTGAGGACAGTCCTTGGCATAGGGAGACTGCAGCAAGGTCAGCAATTCCCTCTAGTTCCATCTCCAAGGGAAAGAAAAAGATGACCGAGAATCCAAAATTCCAAATTCCCCGTTGCCCCGAATCCGCGGTTCAAGAAATTACGCATTGAAGGAATACTTCCAAGGAGATCCACTTACGCGATTGGGAACTTCAACGTGCTTGACGAGCATGACCATCTCTTCCTCTGAGATGAATCCCTTGAACCAGCCAAATGTCTGAGTGGCCTTCGGCGGGTCCATCTGCGCCTCATTCCCGTTCCAGACAATGCCCGTGGCAATCGGAAACAGATCCTTCATGAGTGACGCTTGACTCGAAAGCTCCAGCTGGACAGGTCGATCTCCAAGGCGGGGAGTCTTGCCCTTGGCTATATACTGTTCGTGTCGCTCAACGGCCCTGATGGCGTCATCCATGGTCTGGAACTCGACGTACGCATCCTGCGTCTTGCTGGTTACGCGCTCCATGATTATATGCACCGGTTCGTCTGCATCGTTGAGAATTCGCGAGTTGCGACCCAAGAAGGCAATGACCTCTGTGCGTCGAGTAGTGAAAGGTATCTGGAGAACGGGGTTAGTGTATGCTATATCAAGCTTCTAAAACGTCGACTGCCCAATACGTACATTCTTGAGCTTAACGACTCCATGGCCAGAGGGGCGGGCTTGACAGGCCGTGACGATGAAGGGGAAGTTGTCATTGCTCATCGCATCATCGAAAGACGGAAGTCCAGAGGGATGCCAAGTCAAGCGATTCAACATGTCTGATCGTTGGCGACGCACCCACTCATTGGCAGGCTGTGACGTTAGGGGCGAACGCCCAACGCACGCCGTATTTGGATGAAACGGACCGGTGGTGACGAAGGGATCATGATCTTCCCTAAATGCGACGGCACCGAGATCCGGGGTCATGCTCATACGTGGCTCAGCGGGAAAACCCACTGCATTAGAAGGGGCAGCAGCCGCCGTTCCCAGTTGGCTAGAAGCAGGAACGTCCAGTGCACGAGCGCAAAACGGATCGGGAGCTCCCATGCCTTGAGCTGGATGACCCGCAAATTGTCCGACCATCATACCATGGGCTGCAGGAGGCGAGGGGGGCTCAAATGATCCAAACATAACAGGACGTTGGCCAAATTGGGGAGGAGGATACAGAGCCGGAGTCATCGGGATCAAGCTAGGGGAGAAAACAGGCCCAGTGACAGACGGCCGAGCTGCATGGCCGTTAGTAGAGGAAGAGGCGACGGGATGCTGCAAGTTGATGGGATAGCGACGGAAATCGACAGGGTTGGAAGAAGGAGCAGTATGAGTGGCACTAGCAGTCTTGACAGTGTCGGGCCTGTCGGCTGCAGAGTTGCAGATGTCTTCGTAGTCTTGGCCACCGCCCGACTGGAAGTCGTGGGTATAGCGTTGGTTGCCCTGACCCATGGCTGACTTTCTGCTGGGAGACTCTAATTCCAATATCTGACGCTTCAAATGTTCTTTGATGAGATCGGCAACAGAAGCGATACTCTCAACCTAGAGTTCATCTGTCAATATATATGATCATCCAGTGGACCAGTGTCGATTTTTTTTTTAACGTTCAAGGCAGAAACGCCATCCTTCCAAAGGTGGAGGCTGAGCCAATCTCAAGAACGCCAATATTTACCTTCGACTTGTGGCCACGGTGGTGTTGTGGAACCCAAGGAGACGAAGCAGGGTTGAGAGCATGCGCACTGTTGGTTAGACCGGTTGACGAAGCATCTTCGTGGAAGAGAGCACCAGCTTGGGCTTCTCCATGATGCACCATCTTGTTCGCGTTCTTCTCAGAAGCCATGGCGTAGCGTTTCAATTCCAGTCTAGCCTGCAATGATTGGAAAAATAAGGTTAGTCGCCCGTAAGCTTATAAGAAAATGAGGATTGTGTGGCCAAAAGATGAGGTTTATTGCCGGATGGAAGAACACTAACAACTGGACGTGACTGGGGTGGTTGAGAAGTGAAGCTATTTTTGCATGTTTTTGCCCCTTGCCTTTTGGTATTTCAGTGCCCAGGTTGCGATGCGAACAAGGCCCGGCAGCTGCTGAATTCAAGCGCGGCAAACCAGGACTTGTACCTGCGATAGAACAAACCTCAAGGCCAGCGGAGGTTATTGAGAGGCAAGATGCGAGTAAATTCTGTACAGCTGCAGTAATAAGAGAGTGGGAGTGGGTAAGAGAGAAGCCTATAGGCACGCGGCTTGATGAGGAAGTAGCGGTATAAAGAGCTCTTGAAAAAAGTTTTGATATATTGGCAAGGAAGGAACGGAAGTGGCGGAATAGGCAGGTAGCGAGAGAGAGGTGAGGCTCGCTTGAGATGAACCTGAGCCACAGGCTAGCCATATACGTTCGGTATTGACGCTGAACAATCATTCAAGGAGGTAAGTAAGATTCGACTGACCTTGTAAGTTGGCTGGTCTAGCAAACATCAGGGACATGCTATGGCAACAACAAATAGCCATCTCCTCGTACAGATAGATGGTGGCAGTAATCCAGTCGATGCGGGAAAGGACAAGATCGTTCTCATCAAAACACTCAACCACATTACAGACTGCTTGAGATCCGCATCGATGCATACATGGAGATCCTGTAGCCTGTAGGGTTCCTGGAACATGGGATTCATTATACTCTACTGGGTAAGCCATTGTCAATGAATAAATCTAGATGCCTAGAGCCATAGGCTCTGCAGAGTCAGATAGATATGCGGTACGAATGGCGACACACCTTAATTTAACCATTGGGCTCTTGTTGAGAGAGATATTCTGGATGTCAGAACAAAACTAGTCACTTACATTCAACCATGCATAGTCAAACAGCCTCAGGGAAGTTCCGTCAATGCTTGACACTTAAAACCGCTCTCATAAATGCGTAAACTGGATCTCTATGCGGTAGAAAAAGACCGCCAAAGATTGGGCAGCCTCAATAAGCATGTAATGCAACCCAGGGAGTTCCCGCTCCTCTGTCAATCCTGCTTTTTGGTGTCGAATTTCAACTCCCCATCCAAGACGTGGAACAGAAAACGCGCGCTGGCAAGCAATTATATTGACATAAACCTCCAAGGTCAAGCCAAAAAGCATAACGATTAGTCGAACTAAGCGCGCATCTAATGTTAGCTTTCTTCGGACGTAGAAGACTACAGTGGGGCAGAGATTGACGTACCGGAGTGAGGAAAGACTCGGCCACGAATCTCGCCCGAGCATTCAGCTGAAGCTCCATGTCAGAATAAGAGCCCAGATATTCCATTGGTAGACAGGGTAATGGGAGTAGAGAGAGAGCACGTACGAAGAGCTTCATTTCTGAGATCTCTTTATCAACCTCCTCCATAAATTGAATAATAAAGTCCACTAGCTTGTGCTTGAGCATTTCTTCGGTATGGAAATTGGTAATCAAGAAGGAAATATCGTAGCCCTGAAATGTCGTGTCAGTAGGAGTAATTGGGGAAGGGGGAGGGGGGGTTCCAGGCCCAATGGGTCGGGCTCTCCCTCAGTCCCTCTCCGTCAGGCATTCCGTTGTGTCGCCTAGCCAGATGCTACTGACCTTGATAGGCTTCCTCCTGAGAATGAAAAACGACTCGGCCCTTTGTGTCAGGAAGCGAGTGAACTTGTGGACCAGAATGTGCTCAATCTCGTCGGCCTGCTTGATCTTAATAGATATCCGAACCGAGTTTATGCTGGGTTCGATCAGGACGCGCTCATTTTCGTTGCGGGAAATGGTCAGAGGCGTCAGGAGGACCTCGGGCGATGTCTGGGCCTCGACCTCGGGGACATTATGACGCTCAGCAGTTTGGGAAGCAAAGTTGGATAGCGTAAGGGCGGCGGTCAGGCTGGTCCGGACGGCCTGGAGATAGGGGCGTAGAGATTGGGACTGTGGGAGAGTGTATTAGCTCGGCGTTGACGCAAGTTAAAGCATTCGGCTCCTAGTATACCTACCATGATTGTAACGAATAGGTGTCCTTCCAATATTCGAGGACTGGCGGAAGTTGAGACGGTGAGATGTGAGATCGTGGGGTTGGTATGAAGCAGGAAGTTGGATCGCAGCTCGAACGACTGACGTCTCTGGTGGGGCCCAGGGCGGGAGCATCGCCACAAACATCGTGTAATTCAGTGGCTCAGTAGTGGCGTGGCGTACGGGACTTAGTCACGTGCTATTCCGGGAAGTGTTACGTATGCCGTAGGAGGCCATATAAGGAAAGGCGGTGTGACCGTACGCCGTTGCAAGTGGAGGGAGGGGAGAGCTCTCGGCCTCTGGGCTTTTGGCCAATGAGAGTAGGCACTGTGGTCTGTTCAACGTGAATTTAAGGGTACACGACGGCTCTACCAAGATTCACTCAAGGACTTGTACACTATCGCACTGGGACCCACACGTGCCCCGCCAAGTATGTTCTTCTAGTAGGTACCTTATTAGGTAAGGTAGTTGACGCCACCTGAAGCTGCCTACAGGCTACCTTACCCTATTACATGCAGTACGGAAGTTATTATCGACTTCCTCTGCCTTTCCCACCTTCCACCTTTTGCCCCTCAGTGCATGTATCTTTTTGACGGGAACACCGCCATTCTCTTCAAATAAAACTCTCAACCTTTTCAGTCAATTTTCTGTCTACTGCGTACAGATCGGTCTGCACCGAAGAGACGAGGCAGAAACCGCGGCAGCCATGGCGTCCATACCAGGTAAATCAGCTCGTCTGACTAGGTACGCTCCCGCGAATGCTCTGCTAACGTTTCTAGTCATTGTCAAACACCAGGGCAAGAAGCTCGAAGTCGAAGTCGATCCCGCGTCCAATGGCGAAACATTTAAGTACCAGCTCTTCAGCCTGACGGGCGTCGAACCGGAGAGACAGAAGATCTTGGTCAAGGGTGGCCAGCTCAAGGACGACGCCGACATGGGCAAGCTCGGCCTGAAGCCAAACCAGGTGCTTATGATGATGGGCACGCCCTCCGGAGACAACGCAGGCTTGGCGAGGCCAACGGAGGCTGTTAAGTTTGTCGAGGACATGACCGAAGCGGAAGCTGCCCAGCAGGCCGGAGCTACGCCGGCTGGGCTGGCCAACCTTGGCAACACCTGCTATCTCAACTCCACCTTGCAAACTCTTCGGTCCATCCCCGAACTCCAGATTGCTTTGACCAAATACAAAACGGAAGGACGGGGTGGTCAGTCGCTCCAGAGCAGTCTAGGCCTGCAGGGTGGGGATTTGGTCGGCCCACTGGTGGACCTGTACACGAACATGTCGAAGACGCAGGACAGCGTGGCACCTTATAATTTCCTCGCCGTGCTGAGGTCGATTTTCCCGCAGTTTGCCGAGAAGTCCAAAACCGGCCATGGTTACGCTCAGCAGGATGCCGAGGAGGCATGGTCGCAGATCATTAGTCAACTGAAGCAGCGCCTCGGCGACACAGCGGACGCATCTTTCATCGACAGGTACATGTCGGGACAACTCAAGTCGACGCTCGAAGTCGACGAGCAAGCCGCCAAGGATGCCGGCGAGGAGGCGGTCACATCGACCGAGACGTTCTTCAAGCTCAACTGCCACATCGACAGCACGATCAACCACCTGCGGGATGGCATTCTGGCCGGCCTCACGGAGAAGCTGGAGAAGAGATCGCCGGTCCTGGACAGGGACACGACCTACACGAAGAAGTCCCGGATCTCCCGTTTGCCCAAGTACCTCACGGTTCACTTTGTCCGCTTCTTCTGGCGACGAGACACGCAGAAGAAAGCCAAGATCATGCGCAAGGTCACATTCCCGCACGAACTGGACGTGGTCGAGTTTTGCGACGACGAGCTCAAATCTCTGCTGGTCCCGGTAAGGGATAAGGTGCGGGAAATTCGCAAGGATGAGGAGGACATCGAGCGGGCCCGGAAGCGGCGCAAGGTGAACCCGGTTGATCGCGGAGACGTCACGGGCTCGTCGAGTGGGGTGGTTGAAAAGACGGCTCTGGAGAAGGCCAACGAGAAGAAGCGCGGCGCAATCTCCGCCGATGGGGATACGGACATGACGGAGACGTACAAGACGGACGCCGAAGTCGAGGCCGAGCGGAACGCTGCTCTGTTGGCGCTCAAGAAGGAACTGGATGCGCTGGTCAACAAAGACCTCGCCAAGGACGACGGCGCCAATCAGTCCGGCCTGTACGAGCTGCGGGGTGTTGTGACGCACCAGGGCTCCAGTGCCGACAGTGGCCATTACACGGCGTACATTAAGAAGGAAGGTTCCGTGGATCCTAAGACGGGCAAGAAAGGCGAGGAGGACGGAAAGTGGTGGTGGTTCAACGACGACAAGGTCAGCGAGGTCACGTCCGACAAGATCGATGCGCTCTGCGGTGGCGGCGAGACGCACTCGGCCCTCATCCTGCTGTACAGGGCCATCCCTCTCCCCACAGCGGAAGGCGAGCAGTCTGATTAAAACGGAATGGGGTAATGCTGAGCGCAATATCTAACTCGAAGCGAATCTGGTCAGCAAACACGGGCTGTATTCTGAGACCGGCGATAGTTTTCCTGGACGTGGTCAAGCTATGGCTGGCGGCAGTCGCATATAGTAGGTATAGGCCCATGAATGAAGAACTGACAGCAGTATGGGGACTTGGGAATTCTCTGGTGTTTGGCGCGGATCGTATGTGATTGACGTGCTACACATTACCAGCTCTATCAATTAAACCAGCTAGCATCCTCTTGATTCAAAATGGGGTATCTCCGTAAATATTGTACATGATCATGTTACAACAAGGGGTAAAGTAAAGTAAAGTAAAGTAAAGGTATGAGTAAGTTCTGTTTTCCATCCGGAGGCTCGGTATATGGTCAACTACCTCGCGGTGCCGGACGTTTCAGAAGCCTGCTTCTGGGCATTCCGCTCCTTCACGCGCTGCTCGAAGACTTTGAGTTTATCTTCGAGACCCTGCCGTTGGGCGACGAGGTTGTGACGCTGGGACTCCAGGATGGCGATCTGGTCCTCGATGGGAGCCTCGCGGAACTTGGAGCGTTCCTGAAGAGACGAAGAGTGAGACGATGTCAATCATGGCTCAGTGGAAGACATTGTGGAAAAGGAGCTTTGGACGAGAGAAATAGCTCGCTAGAAGAAAAGAGGGAAGGGGGAGTAGATAGAGTAGGTATATGTGGACATGGACATTTTGTGTGTGCATATATATGTGTGCAAGACAGAAGGGATGCCATACCTCATTCCACTCCTGCAGGGTCTTTAAACCTGCACCGTAGGCGGCACCTGTGAAGACGGCGGCGGCGAAGCAGGTCGCTATGACGGCGGCGCGGACCTTGCGGGAGCCGGGGGCGGCGCGCAGAGGAGGGGCCATTTGCTGGTGGTGACTTTTGACGTTGGCTCGGCCTCCTCTTTCGCATCCAATGCTTTCCAAAAAAAAAATATATATCTCCCAAATCCTGATACTTCTTTGCCCAGAGGTTTCAAAGAGACTCGTCTGAAAGTGCCTCGCCAGATCTCTTTTGGGTTTTCCGTGTCTTTCAAGGAATTTTGACGGTGGGATCGGTTCGGTTCGGATCGGTTGGGTTCGGTTCGGCTTCTTCAAACGGGTTCGTTAGTGTGACGGTTTGGTGTAGGATTTCTTCGGATGGAAAGATTGCGATGGAGAGGGACGTCTAGGAAGAGGGACAGCGCGTAGGGAGAAACGGAGGAAGATTTGCGTTAGATTCGAAGTCGTGGAGATGTCTTCGTGGTTTGCAGTCGAGATGTAGTCGGAAGTCGCGGCGATTGTTGCTGTTGAACCCCGTCACGATGTGCTGCGGGACAGTGGAGCTACTCCGTCGCATCCTCACCAAATGTGCGCTGACTAAGCGACGCCACTGTCGCATTTCACCAATCATCTCCACTTGCTTCGTACCTTAGGTATTTTCCCTTTCTTCAGACACACCAAGACAGAGGAATGCGGGGCGATCTCTACTTCTCTGAGAAAGAGACGGGGCATTGGCGCATTCAACAAATCGTGATGGATGCCGAATCTGAAGATGACGTTGCCAAGTGAGTTTTCAAGAATTCTTGCCGATAGGCTTGCTAAGAATATCACGAAAAAATCGGGAAACTTTTTTATTCTAGCCGTGAAGTCCAAGATCATCCAGTTTCGGGTAATTCAACATGAACTTTGGGTAAACCCACGTGTACACGCTACTTCCAGTTTACATCCATCTCCGGGCTTCCCGCTACCCCTCATTTCGTCGTACAGAAGTGCTTTCGTCTTTCTGAGTGACCTCCTGAATATAGCCCCTTTTTCTTATACCTTATTTATTAAATATCGGATCTACTACAGGTTACAGAGTAATTCTCGCCCAGTTCAGCAAAGACTTACTGAAGCGGTTCTTGAAGACCATCGGTCCTTTCACCCTCGCGACACTAAGCATTCGGGTGAGTTATTTTCGGCCTATCTCCAGGGGCTAGCCATGGCCCATGGCTAGCCTAAACAGACGCCTTGAGAACAGGAGAGGACCTGCAAGTGATAGTTGATACTCCCGAGTCCTGACTAACCTCTCTCAGGCTGATCCTATCAAACAATCCAAGATGGCTCCTCGTGTCTTCCTTGTTCGCCACGGCGAGACGGAGTGGTCCCTCAATGGCCGCCACACCGGCAGCACTGACATTCCCCTCACTGCAAACGGCGAGAAACGCGTCAAAGCCACTGGAAACGCTCTCGTGGGCAAGGACAGACTCATCGTCCCTTCTAAGCTTGCCCATATGTACGGCCCCTGTTTGAGCTGGTTTCCCTTCATCCTTTTTTCATTTTCTTTTTTTCCTTTTTACTAAAAAACTTGGAAGAATACTCCTCATTGACGCACTTTCCCCCCCAACAGCTACGTTTCTCCCCGGAAACGCGCTCAGCGTACCTTCGAGCTCCTGAACCTGGGCATCAAGGGCATCCCCTGGGAACCCCACGGAAAGACCGAGATACCCGGAATTCCCTGCAGTGCCCACGTCGAAGTCACAGAGGACATTCGCGAGTGGGACTACGGTGACTATGAGGGTATCACAAGCCCCGAAATCCGCCGCATCCGAAAGGAGCAAGGCCTGGGAGAAGGTTGGGACATTTGGCGGGACGGGTGTCCCGGCGGCGAGTGAGTCAAAACTAGCTCTCCCTTGGTAGAGCAAGAAGGGGAGGTGGAGGACATGCACTGACCAGTGACTTGGGTCTGCCCACCTCTCACCAGGAGCCCCAAAGACATAGACGAACGACTAGACCGCCTGATCACGGACATCCGCGATAGGTGGCATCGTTCAGTGATGGAAGGTCAGGGGAAGGACGGCCACGGCCACCCTGCTGGGTCCAACGGCGACGTCCTCATCGTCGCCCACGGTCATATCCTTCGTGCTCTGGCGCTGCGATGGACCGGACAAGAGCTCCACGCCGGTCCCGCATTCTTGTTGGAAGCAGGAGGCGTGGGAATCCTGAGGTGAGTACGCTGCGCTGAGTGTGTCAGATGTCTTTTCCTCAGCTATGTTTCCCTCCTCAAATCCTGGTGTTGTTTCGTCTACCTCTTAGTAACTGACCAAACTTGACTGGACACAGCTACGAACATAACAGCATTGACGAACCCGCGATTCTCCTTGGTGGCGCTTTCGTAGTGGATGTCGATGATCCTCCTAGTGGCAAGTAAAAATACCCGACAGACCGTTTTGGCAGCATTGCATATTCAGACAAAGTACGACCAGCGAGTGCCCCTGATTTCTAGATGTCTGTTTACATCTAAAACGGATCCCTTGTTGGATACATATCGACCTACAGACAAAGGGCAATATCCTCGCGACAGAATAGATCTGCCAGCGCTTCCTGGAACAATACCCAGTTGTCTAGACAATACCTTAGTCAATTCCATGCCATACTTATCCACATACTCGTCGCCCACCGTGGAACACAAGCTAGTGCAAGTTCGGAGAAGCAAAAAAAGGCAAGGGAGGACAAAAAGATACTAGGGCAAATAAAAAGACATGCAACACTGGGCATTCGCCAGTCGTCACCGACCTGACTACTACTCCAGCCCTCACCGGTTTATCTATGAGAGAGCGGACGGGATCTCGAGTTTTCCAGTGGGTATGGTCGCATGTGCTGAGGTGAGCACGCGAAATGGTTCAAGTACGACTGCGTTGGAGAGACAAAGAGACAAGACCTCATAACAAACCCTCTTGCAAACTTCAAAGAATGTCAATTCAGTCCCTAAATCTATGGATTGGTTTCCTTCCGAGCTGAAAACTCTCAGGCCTCCTTTCCGCGCCATTTCTATCCTTTCTCATGCCTTGGTACCTCTGGCCAAGAAAACCCTCCTCTTCATCGGTTCACCTCCTTCCCCGCGAGTGCCGTGGAACACGACACCGCTGCCGAGCTCCATAAACATAAAGCATTGGCCCGCCCCGGCGGCTTCGAATATGGCCCGAACCCTCTCCTCCGAAAAGCCGTGATGCTTGATGGCGTCGGCGGCCTCGTGTTCTTGTCCGGCCCCCTGTTCATGACCGTGCCCGTGACCGTGACCGTGACCGTGGCGATGCCCCTGACCACCCACAGGTGCGTGCGGCAAAAAGTCAACGACGAAGAACACGCCACCGGGCCGCAAGCGCGCGACAAGTTGGCGCGCGGCGTACTCCGGGTCGTCCAGGTGATGAAACCCCAAGCCCACGCCCGCGACGTCGAAGTCTCGGAATCGAGAACCCTCAAAGGCGGCAGGCGCTGGGTCCGCCGGGTCGACCAGATTGCCATGATAGGCACGCATCTCGTCCTCAGATAGGCCCTGTGGAATTTGTAAGTGGAGGACAAAAGCTAATGCGAGCTGGTGAATCAAGGAGGCTTCGTCGCCGGCGTTTGTCTTAGGGCAGCTGGAGATGGCGTGGACAACGCCGGGCGTGCGGGGTCGTGTAGCTCCTGTAAAAGAAAGGCGAAAGAAAGGGGGGACGATCCAAGACCCCACGAGAGAAAAGACGAGGGATACAGGGCGCGGAGTGGGTGGGACTGGCATGGAAGGACACCGAAGCCACTGCCAAATTCCGGTCTCGGCTCTCGAAACGTACCTGGTTTTCAGCTCTTGTGTTGTAAACCGCTACCATGTTCTCGGAGATGTCTATCCCTGTACATTGCGTCGTGTATTGGGCAAGGGCCTAGAGTGAAGGCAAGACAAATATGAGTTGGCGGTCAGCGAGGGTGATGCAGGTAGAAGACACGGGCGGCACGGGCGGCGCGGGCGGCGCGGGAGGAGCGGGAGGGACGGGAATGCCCGGGAGACTGAAATGGAAGATAGGAAGGATGCCGATAGGAAAGACGAAGACACCGTTGACACGCACCCTGGAGATCAGACCGGTTCCACAGGCATAATCGAGCAGCTTGACCTGCTTCCGGCCGGTCCTTGGGCCATCGTCGTCATCGCTATCGTCGTCATCGCCCGCAGAGTCGACGCCAAGTAAATCCTTCCGTCTCTGAATCTCTCGGACGAGTTGCTCGATGGTTTTCTCGAATCTCGAATCATAATCGGCCGCCAGCTTGCTAGAGCACAGAGTCAATCAGAAACGATCCATTTCCACGAGATCACATGGTTCACGTCGTCCAGGATATTCCGCGTCGCGTGACGCTGAGCGGGAGGATGATAATCTAATGATAGGTGCGCCCGCCTGCAGGATCCCGGTTTCAGGCCAGCAAGGCTAGTTGCTGCCGCTAATTCCAAAAGAGAAGAAAAAGAAAATGGGGACCCGATCTCAATCAGGGATAGAGGCGTACGTACTCGAAGTAAGCCTTGTTGGCACTTGTGGTGTCCGTCATCGTCGCTCGTTGTGGGACTTGTTGATGGTATGGGTAAGGTATGGTGAGGTAGGTATGTGCGGCTGAGATGACAAATGTCAAGTCGGTAAAGTGGGTGACTGGATTGGATTGGGTGGTGTCGAAGTGATTTTATTTCTTTTTTTCTTTTTTCCTTTTTTTCTTTTTTTCTTTTTTCCTTTTTTCCTTTTTTCCTTTTTTTCCTTTTCTTCTCTTGTTTTTCTTGTCTCACTTATGTATCTAAGCGTCCACAAGACCAACTCATTTGATCTTGGTATTGAGTTCCTACTGACGTTGATGACTCAATTCGCGCCAGAAATTGGCGGTATTTATACACATATGTAGCTGGAAGAATACATCAAGAAGTCCTGTACCAGCCGGACACTTTTCGGACACTTCAACGGGGACTTTTCACGGGGCCAAAATATCGGCGAGTCAGCGCCTCCCGGGCCCGTAACCGGTGCTAGTGGGGTAACCCGTCACCGGACTTCTCGGTCTCGTCGGTCAACTCGATAGTGTACATACCTGTATACTTCATACCGGCCGTTCACCGAGAATGGGCACATGAGCCCTCACGTGCGCTTCGGGCCATGTACGCAATACTTGCCGCGTCGTGAGTGGTGAAAAGTCGTGACAAGCCTTCTGCTGTTTACCGCATCGGTTTACCCCTCTGTTGTCTCAGCCGCCAGTCGTCTACGCTACGTCCACCCGCTTTTCACCCCTATTCTGGTCGGGAGCAGGGGCCTTTTTTTTCCCTTTTTTTCCCTTCCCGCTTACTCCCAAGCGAAGCATAATTTTCTTCTGGCGTGACATGCCTATACAGGGTCTTTGACAGCTCGTGTAGACCATAGACACGGCTCATAAGAGTCTTGTGTATTAGGGGGGTGGGAAGGAGCCGGAAAGAACCGCGGGCGGGGCCGGAAACCCGCACCAGCAAGAGAGGCAAGGAAAGGGAAGGGATGGGGAGCCAAACCCCTTGCTGTTCGGGCAAGTTGGCAACAGGGTAAAGTGCGCCCCATAGCATAGGCCCCAAGAGTTGCCACGTCTCATGCCTTTTACTTCTCCACGTCATCAGATATCTATATAAACCGGGTGCAACGGTCCCAGTTCCCCGTTGACGGGCGGGTAGTTGAATGACGGACGAAGAGAAGGGTTGTGTGTGGGGGGGACGAAGCCCTCGGGACGGGCCACTGCTGCACCCGCAGGATTGTTAGTGGTGCCAAGGGAGTGGTGGAATGGGGCACACAAAGGGAAAGAGAATAAAAAAACCGGGAAGGGGATGTCGTGATTGGGGAGCTAGGGAGTGTTCCTTGTTGGAATGCACAGCGAGAGCACACAGCCTTCGGCAGGTCATCGGTCGTGTGGGCATTCGCTTTCCTTCCCTGCAAGCTTCATCTCATGAATCTCTCTTCTCTCTTCTCTCTCACTCTCTCTCTTTTTTTTTTTTCTTTTTCTTTTCCTCCACGTTCTTCTTCTTTTCTTCATTTTTTTTTTGCGCATCTCGTGTATTACCAAGGCATGGACGGGGTGAGTGAGCCTTTATGGCTATAGCGCCCCGTTCCGCGCCCGTCCCCCTGTCCATTAGGGGAATAGATGGAATAGTAACCTGGACGCTGGTTGGCATATTGCTTCGTACACGTATCACAGATACACCGCAGCACAGCCTTTGCTAGCCCCCACCAGAAACCTGTTCTCATGGTTGGACATATGCAAGCAAGTGGCCCGGGCTTGCATATCATGTAGATGACAGAACATGTCTCTCGACAGATTGACAATTCACACTTTGGATGCAGGCAGGGAGCACGCTCCTGAGTTTGGGTCTCTAGTCACGAGACAACCAAGAGATGCTGCTCCAGCAAATTGACAGAAAGAGAACGGATCGGTCGCGATCCTGCCGCAGCCCGCATGGTCGCATCGGACCGACCTGTGACCTGTAGGCCAAGATGGCTTCTAAGAGGCCTATAGACTATCGTCGTCTCGAATACCATGCACGCCATTCTCGGGTTTTGTAACTTTTGTGCCGTTTGCTGCTCGTCTCCCACCTGGCATATTTCAGAGCTTGGCCTGCCTCTCTTTGTGGCGCCTCTGCCAACGGCTTTTTCTGATGTCCGCAGTTGCTCAGACGATTTCCCCCCCCTCTTATCCTTCTCTCTCCCCTCTCTTTCTCGTGAAACTTGTTTTTCGTTTCTGGTTTCCCCCTTTCTCCTGCATCGTTATCAGAGCTCAGCAGTAAGGTACTATCGCCGTCATCAATAGGAGGTATGGCAGGGACTGAGGGAAGAATGTAGGATATTATCAGTGGATCGAAACCGATACAACCCCGGAGGCCAAAAAGGGGTTCACATGTGACGCTGCTTGGGTCGCCAAGCGGAGAGGGAAAAAATGAACTGCACACCATTATCCGTCACCGCAAGACAAGAAGGGGAGAGAGATAACATAGGTTATTCCTATCAACGGTGAAAATAGAACGAAGTACACTCCCCTCTCGTCCGGCAGGGGCCGCTGACTTCGCTTTTCCCCAGGCATTACGTACTCTCCGATTAAGCACAGCGGTGTGTTGCGTCCCCGGGGGAGTGTGCCCCGGTTGCCTTCTGCCCTGGTTATTCAGTCAGTGTCCAAGACGGTCGAGACCTGCATGATACAGTACTTCGTAGAATGAGGTAGCATCGGCGCTTCCCTTCGGATGACAGGACCTAGGAAGCGGCAACGGCCGAGCCGAGTGATGGCGGGACCGGCTTCGGTCGACGCCGTGTGGGTGGTTCATCCATTACCGGGAGGATTGGTGAACCGTATATGACATGATCAAAAGATCACCAGACCTCGGAAAGCTGGGTCTCTGATGACGGAGACCCCATGACTGCAGCGAGCCAACGTCTTGATGATGACTCGACTCCAAATAAAAATTGGAGCTGATGACCGACTATTACAGAGTGCAGTCTGTGCAGACACCGTAGGGGAAGCAGCAGCCACTCGCATGCGGTATGCTTGCTCCAAATGCAGCCAGGTTTTCCCGGATTATTCTTGTAGCTCAGCCGTGATGCGGAGTTGAATTAGTTCGTTCTCGATAATAATACGACACGTTGTTTCCTCGCTCTAGCCAAGTAGGTGGAAAGTGGACCATCTGCGAAGCGAGCGTGAGAACTTGGGAAGCTTGGGTCAGAGCCCGCTCGGCAAAAGCGGTTCGAGTACTTGTGTATAGCGAGAAAGGCAAGCTGCAGGCAAGACAATTCCTACCTTATGTAGAGGAAGAGGACCCAGTACTCCGGGCATGCTGCGGCGCAGTCGAAAAACTAGGTGCAATTTTCGCGAACGGCTCACCGCTGCTTTGCCGCCTCTCTTGGCCCGCATGCGCGTCCACTGCCCACAGGCACTGAGGGAGTGTGGGATGGTTGGTTGTCACTTTTTGAACAAGCCGTTGTTAGCGCGTCGGCCGAGGAACCTACGGTAAGGTACCGAGTACGGAGTACATATATGTACCCCCCCACCCCACCGAACACCCCAACCCCCTCTTAAACCAGGATCAAGGACGGAAAAGGGAGAGGGGGAAAAGAAGGAAAGGAAAAAGAAAGAGAAAAAAAAGAGGAGCCTGCAGTACTGCGCGCATGTGGCCGTGGTCTCGTGGAGAGGTGACTGATAGGGTCCACCGTCCACCACCGAGTGACACGTATCAGATTTGTGTGCTGAAGCACAGGGATAGAAACCGAGAAAACGCTCCGGCAACTTGCATCTGCAGGCCCTGGCCAAGCAGCCGTTTTTCTCAGATACCCATCTCAAGGCTCTTTCGACGTAAAGGAAAGTATTTTGCGCCTCCTCTGTCCGAAGAGTCGAAATTGCTGACGTTCGGTCATGTCGGGTCGATCGATGCCCACGCCCTCCTGAACATCGACGATTCGACGTCAGCGAAATGCAGTCAAGAGAGTGGCCCCACGATGATTGGCCTTTCATAATCAATATCGCAGCGAGCTCAAGTCAATCAATCCGTGGGTCCCCCGTGTTTGCTGTTAGCTTATTAGGTAACCTCCTTTGGTCAAAATCAATCAGTTCCTGGGTAGGTAGATTGGAAATCTTCGACCACCCAAATTGCCCACTGGCTCATGCCGACCCGACGGGGGGGAGCCACTCGTCTGCGAGCTACGACGAGATAAGACTTCCCCCGTACTCAGTAATACCATCCGAATATATGGGTGGAGTTCATGCGTCGGTGACGCTACTCCTTGCGGGCTAGCCCATCAGGGGTATGTATGTACGTTGTACAACGTACATATGTGTGATGAGTCTTGGTAGGATGCATGTCGGGGGTTTCGTGCGAATTTTTCTCGACCGCACTGTTGACCGCAGTCACGATTGTCTTGTCTTTTCTTGTTTCCTCTTTCTTCCCACCTCAAGGGACAACATGGCAACATGGACCGGGGCGCACAGGAAGCGGTACTTATGAGGGGTATGGGGATGTCTGGGAAACCGCCACGCGAAATCCCTCGCTCGGTCTGCCTCGGTCTTCGTCTTGTTTGCTTGCCCCGCCTCCCCCCCCCCCGGGTCTCTCTCTCTCTCTCTCTTTTTTTTTGTTTTTTTTGTAATCAACCTCTCGGTATCCGTATAAGGGTAGAGCAGGGGGGTACTTTATGTGTGTGGAGAGCCAGAACCGGGTAAGAACATCGCTCGTCCTCTTCATTTGTCCGCAAACTGGTTCCAGAATATTTCAGCTCCCCAAACTCTCTTCCTTTCCTCGCCAACAGTCGCTTTGCCTCCATATCTCAGCTCTCCCTTCCCATGCATTCTTTCCTTGTTTGAGAGACGATGGCGGGCCCGGGGGTCGGGGACATCCGCGGACCGGCAATTCCAGGTGTGACCGTGTGATTGCTTACCAATTGCCCAGGTCCCTCGCCACTACGATGTGCATCGTATGTACGTCGTAATGTCTCGCGAATAATTGCCCATTGAGATCCAACAACCGACGACTCCTGACCTGAGCCAAGACACCCAGGGAGTTGAAGTAGGTACCTTAGCCAGCGTCACCACCCACCACCACCAGCCCCTCTCTTCCTCGCCGAAACCCCACAGAACGGCTTCTACGAATAAAACAGCTCGGTTTATCGATCGAACGCACGGTGGCCCGCGCAACACAAGACCCTCGTCGCGGTCTTGACGCTTGGCCTGGGGGCTAAGACGAGTTTCGAGTGGCTCGCGGACCAGTTGTAAGGGGTGAAATTTGGAGTCCTCGCGGGAACGACGGGAGGTGACGGCTAGATGCAGGCATCTGCTATCACGTGATCTATTCCCACGCGCCGCTCCCCCACCCACCCCCCCCCTTCTTCGTCCAATCAATGGAGACCACGAGACATCCAAGCCATCCAAGCTCGTCAGCTCGTCTTCGGCTCACCGAATGCCCATTCATCAGGATCAGGGGGGCCCAGCACCGAGAGCATGATGGCATGTTCTAAATATGCCCTGTGTTCACTGTTGGGGCCCGTACACTTTTTGGGTATTGAGGCATCACCATGTAAATCCCCCACTGGCCAACCGCAACTCCTGCATTGTCTGCTCACCTCACTTGGAGACATCAGTTCGAGACAGCGGGGCGATGGGGTACCAGCGCCTTGATGTTCGCGTTCTTCTGTTGACATGGTCGACTCCCCCGGGCGCAATCCATTCCATCCGTCGAGCCTTACCCACTTTCAGCAAGGAAATAATATCGGTTCATAACAAGATAATTTCCCTCTCGGTCTACTGATTCGTTTAGCATAACTGTTGATCCCACCATCGGACGTGCTGTCGTAACGAGGAAAGATCAAAGTTGACTGCGTCGAAATTGAGGTTTTATCTGCCATGGAGCTTTTAAGGTCGTGCAAAAAGTGCAAGTGGAATTGATTTAGATGCCTGTGGAGCAAGCCGCGGTCACTAAACTAATGTAATTAGGTGGTTCTTCCTTCCAATTTAAACCAACATCGGGGTTGCTCTACAACGCGGATCCTTCCGTCACAGGCTCCTCACGGCTGACAAGGAATTGCCCGTCCTCTTCCTTAACCCATAATTATGCCGCATGCATCAACTCCCTTAATTAATCCTGGCTGTCAAGGCCGCGCAGGATGGCTGGAATTCTTAACACCTGACCACGGGAAGGGAGGAGGGTCAGCCATCTTCTCAGCGAAAATCCACAAAGACTATCACTGTCTATGTCCTGAAGCGTCGACAACTTAGCGAACTATTTCTTGGCTACGTCGCTTCTCGTGCGCTAAGCTGCTTCTCGGGGTGAGGATCGGCAGAGCCTTGGGATACTGAGTGTTCACGTTATGTTCACCCCGGTCGATGACTCGATAACATTGGGATATTCATATTTCTCGTCAAGAGGGCCAACTATCCGTAGGTACTTTGGGATTTTCCCGTCGCAGATGTCTCAGCGCGCGCGCTTGAGACTGCAGGGCCCTACGGAGTAGTGGTACCTGACAACAACGGCATGGGAACCAGTGAGGATAAGCGTGGGGGAGCCTGGTTTACATACTTACCGTGGTCGTAATAAAAAGTCGTGGACACGCATCTCCACTATCCGCGACGTGGCCAGGTGATTGTGCGATGTTTGTTGAGCCGGAAAGTTAAAACTCGGCTTGCGTGGTGGATACTCTCGTTCCGGTCTTCGTGGTACGGATACTTTTAGATCCCAACCCGCAGCCATCACCCACACTGACGACTCGTCGTTGTCGTTGAGCCCATTTTACAGCAACCCTTTCTCGAAGTCAAATGGTTAGGGAATTCTTAATCTTAGCTGCTCTGGCATTGAGAACATCCACAGGTGTGGGAGGTCGTATGATCTATGGCTTGGTGTACAACAACTTCCATGTCATAATTGTTGGTAGGACGAGTACATGGGATCCTTGGAAAATGCAGTTAACAGTTGCTTAATTAATGGATTGCGAGATTCTTGTGCTGCGTCTCGGTTAAAGTCTTTTTTTATTTTGTAAAAAAGTAGAAGAAAAAAGGAGGGGGGGAAATGGAGCATTAAGACGTAATTAAGGACGGGTCTCCCTGGTTGCACTGCACCAAAGAGAAGATCTCTGTTCTCAAAGTCAAAGTTATAAGCTCTCTGACTGAAATTCAAACAACGTTAGTCGGGACATTAGCAGTAAGGTATAAAGAAACAAACTGATAAGCTATGCGTCCCGGAGACTGACAAAAGACGCTCCTATAGTTACGTATCTGACGTCGGTCAAAATCCTCCAGTCAATCCAAGGCGAGTCGAGGGAGTGTTGCATATTCGTTGACGATATCAGCCGTTTATGGTTATTGTCCAACAGCCGCTTTGTACCAAAGGAATGAGGTTGGTGAACGTGCCCTGGCTTATTAGCATAGTGGCGGAAGGACTATCTGTGAGTTGCAGAGGCTCAACTGTAGGTAGTCTTGTAGAAAGGAGAAAATTTAATGTGTTCAGAACGCCGGCAATACAACAGAAGGCGGTACCGAAGAATCCAGATGAATTGACTCGATCTTACCTGCACGCCGCCCTGTGCCGCGCGCGACCCAGCCGCCAGAATCAAGAGACGCAGCAAGTTGATGACATATTTAAACGAGGCATTGGAGAGTCTGAATGTGCCATTGGTTACCGGAATGAAGGTAGTGGCGGGACTTTTGATGCTCATGTAGTATGTACTTTGTCTGTGGCACTGCATCCGGCAATGTATCACAGTGGTATCTGAGACCTTTGGAACAGCATCGAGCGGCGAGGGCGATGAGATTATTAAGGTCATTGTTCTCAGTCTGTTGAGTCAGAGGTACCAGGTGCATTCCGTAGCCTACAGCGAATAACGTAGCATGGACTGCATTTAATACAGTCAATGTCCTAAGCAAGGCGTGGGTGGTTAGCAGTTAACGCGGAGCATCCTGAGGGAAGAAGGCGGCCCGTTGGCGGTCGCTCCGTCGACCCATGCTTGCCGCTTCCGGTGCAAACCCCTGGTCGACGTGACCCTGTAGCACTCTAATCCATCCCACAGGGAGTGCGATAGTGGATACAGTACGAATAATCTAGGAATCTCATAATCTATGCCAAAACAACGAAGACACCGGCCCTAACTGCAACAAGAAGAGAAAGGCGAAGCAAGAATCTTACCTCTTCCCACTCCGAATGAATCTCTAGATAGGTTACTCAAAGATAGAGCTACTGGCCTCGTCTAGCTGAGTTGTATGTACTCGGATCGTGATAGGCGACAGGTCAGTTCTTGAAAGGGTGTCTATCCCAGACCCTGGCCCATGTCAGAGAGCAGACCAGACCTCCAAGAGCGGAAGGAAGGCAAGGAAAGAGTCGGGTCGAGGGGCGTTGAATCGGTATTTTAGCCACCTTGATCCTTGACTGACATGTCGCCAACTTCTTCCGGACCTTATCGAGGCTCAAGGGGGGGCGTTAGTTTGGCAGCCTTTCCACAAATCCTCTTATTCTTCGTATTCATAGTGGCTGGATGATTGCTTGGTGCTAGATGACATGCATGAGGGTGTAGGAGCCGAGAACAAAAATACTATGATAACTACTGAGTAGTAATACGCCAGGAGGAAGACGGCGGAAGAAACCGCCTGGGGCGTTCCAGGCTGCATTCATCAACGCCGTTCTGGGACCACATCCGGTCCTCCGCGTTTGGACAATGGAGAATACGATCGGTCGTATATCGAACGTAAAGATATTCGATCATCTGTGTTTTGTAAAACAGTATACTCTGGAGGGGCTCGGTTTCGGTAATTGATTTAGGATTTGAGGATCCTCGAGGATCCAAAGCGATGAGAGACATCGTACACGTTTTATACTAGGTAGACAAGGGAACGCCTTAAGGTAGGCGTTCTCGTTGAGCGTTGAGGGCGAAGGATGGATCGCTCCGCAATTGTCGCCTCGCAACACGAAGGCGCTTTGTACCCCAGGTACCAGGTATCTACGTAGGTACAGTAAGTACTTGTACTTCATAGCTAGGCTTGTCTATTCGGTATTGTAGGTACTCTGTACAAACGTGTTTCCGGAGCACTGTTCGCTGAATCCGACCTTTAATGGCGAGTGGGGATCTAGCCCGTTCCCTTTCGCACCCCTGCCTCACTAGGTACGCGGCCTTTCCCGTCATTCTGGGTATGCCTTCACTCCATAAGCGAAGTGTGTGAGACAGGATTACATCGTACATATGTATGTACTCCGTACTAGCGATTACTCCGTACTTAGTTCACGAACGGTAACACATATAGTAGAACCAATAAAGGCACCTACGAAGCTGGTACGCTAGGGTCGCAGAACTAAGGGGATAATGGGATTGCAAGGGGAAGTGCTGGTATCTTGTGGCGTTCCATTCGTCTCATGGCAAGCAAGTTGTCCACCGCTGACCAGAGGGGAGTGCCCCGCCGTTCCAAGCTGGTGGGAAGTCCAAGCTGGTGGTAAGGGATGACGGGATCACATGGAACATCCCTTGTGGCTTGCCGTCGACTGCAGTAGTGTCGTACGGAGTAGTGTGACCAAAGGGAGAGTGTGGTTGGAAAGGAAATAGTTCGTACCTACCATGCGACATGATCATCCCCTGAATGGCAGCGGGTAAATATCGCCAGCGACCGGACCGATAAACCACTTAGATCCGACGATTCGTATCGAATCATCTGTAACCAAACCGATTCCCCGTTTCTTCTTTCTGATCCTTGGGGCCAGTAAGATTTCAACCCAAAAGAACGTCACCGTCCCACTCACGCACACCCCTTCGACCCAAGCGGCCAAGCCCACCCTTTTGTGATACGAATGAAAACAGACCTCTGATCTAGAGTCCTATTCTTCCTCCTCAACAGCTAGCTGATGCTTGATGCCGCTGTATCTCCGGACGGGACCGAGGAACGAACGATCACCAATTCACCGAAACCTGGACCTACTCCTTCCGAGTTGGCGCATACTTTCCTGAACTGCGGGATTTTGAGGTCAAGGTCTGGCTTTGCGTCCACAGGGTGGCATTCTGCGGCTACAGCCCCAAGACGCAAAGGCGGCATGCGGACAATGCCCTGCAGGGAACCAACCAGCCGTTGTTGTGAAGGCGGAGGAGGAAGCGGCCGAATGTACGAGGTAAAGGGAAGGCGGGAAACGGTGGAGTAATGTGGGGGAGGACCCGGAGGGGCGAAGAGCGGTCAGGACGGTATGGTAATTTATGTGAGTGGTTTTCACACCGTGCAGGTCTGGTAAGCCTACGTACGATTCACGATGTTCGAGAGACTCTCATAACCACCAGAAGGAAGGCCATGTCACTACAGAGTAGGAAAGCGCTTTTGGACACCGCACCGAAACCGCTTTTCCAATACGGCCTCTCGCGAGTTCTTCGCTTGTTGCGTCGTCTGAACTCTGCGGATGATAAAAACGTTGGCTTAGACCGCATTTGGCCGCACACACCTGGTCCTGGGGTTCTAAGCTACATATGTACAGCTGGTCTGACTAACCCCCGGGACTTCCGTTCATCACGATAGCCTATTCCGGCCTATTGGGCCTTCGGGGTCATCTACAAACATAATGCTCAGAAGGTGGAAACGTATATAATAAGTAAAACGATATAGGTAAATCTATGGGTAATATTGGTAGATATATGGGGGTACCTATACGTAGCCGTGATGTGTTGTGCACTAAACACCGCGAGGGTAGTGGCGGCCGAATTCACCATCCCGTCGCCGGGCTTGCCTGCGTCACAACTGTTTTTTTGCATGTACGAAAACGGTTGCCACAGAGTTGAGGGAACTCCCTTCGCCTCTCCTCTTATTGTTTGCAAATTCCCAACGAATAAGGTCGAACGCCCTATCTACTGCCCGCGGTGTGCGAAAACGTCGACCGATAAAGGCGACCTAAGTACGGATAGAAACACGCACGGGCCTTGCGATAATTCGCCTAAAGAACTCTTGTGATGTAGGTACCTTAAGGTACAAGGTAAATTAGTACTTCGCACAAAGTAAGGTACTTCGTAAACGGGAATCGATACTGGAAAGCCAAGAAACATCTGTCTCGTACCGACCCGTGAGGGAGCGGGGACGACAGGGTATTTTCCCTTCCCGCCGGCCAATCTACATTTCAAAAGCAATGTTCCTGGTAAAGCTTTTCATTGGCTGAATGTACGGGCATGCCTACCGAATAAGGGAGAACCGCGTGATTCGCGCCGTCCTAGTCATGATCTGCTGGGGTACGATCAGACAGGCCCCGGAAACTGTCTGTACCTGATGTAATTACCTTCACACGGAATCATTACGTAGTGTCTGAACAATTATCGGAAAACGGTTAGTGGTCCTCGGAGTGTATAAAATCTTATAATTAATGATATAATGCCACCAAGCCAGTTTTTCTTCTTCGAAAATCCCCCCCTCCCCTGTTTCCGGGTTGCCCGGACTGGCGGTTTTCGTCTTGAACGAAACCAGCGGCAGGATCAGATCCTTCATTACGACCCCCCACGACGAGTCTGCTTCTATCATTTCCGACGGGCCGCCGCCATGTCTTACTTAGCAATACCCCACAGAAACGTCGCACTGATATTGGTTCTATTCCATTCGCCCTACCTACGAGTACCCAGTACACCGTACAAAGCAGGTAGGCGGCGAAGCCTAAAAGGTCCAAGGAACCCAAGGACGGTTGAATTGTGTACCTACCTTAAGGCATTGAGACAAATCGTCGTAGTGGCCTGCGGCGTGGACCACACGACTGGGATCATGTGCAGGATACCCCGGTCAGTGGCAGACCAAGGGTTTACGAAGTACTTCATATGTACATATACCTATGTGCAGTGCCTAGATACCTTACAGAATGCGTGTTGTTGGCTGGTACGGTAGGTACCTCCTGTCCTTTCTCCTTCCTCGTCGTATGTAGCACGACGTTAGGTAGGGTGAAGCAACTGGCTGCGTCGCTGCACAGGTCAAGCAGCATGTGGGCGGTCTTCAGTACAACGCACACCAGCAGCAAATCCGGCTTCATTCTGTTCATAGACACACACGGCGAAAGTTCCGGACTATGATAGTAGCATAATTATATGCTCCTATATTACGGACAAATATGCTACTTTGTCCTATCCTAGGTATCCTTTAAATATTAGTGGACGGATAAGATCCCCGTGTCGTTCCCTTGGCTCACACACATTTTTTTCTTCATATTTGTTTTTGAGTATTTCGTAACACATTAGTTTGACCGGATGCAAACTGCAGAAAGCGATCGACTTGTACCTTTCCGGCCTCCGGACACCCAGCAGGTCAAAATGTCACTCAAGTTGATTTAATTTCATAGTGCGAATAATTACCCTCCCCCGCTATGGAGAGGGTTGCACAAGTCGGGAAGTACTCTCCGATTGCCATTTCCGTCCAGCCGTTGGAATTTGTCGATGCTCGATGAACTGTATCACATCTTCGGCCCGCCCCCACCTCCCGGGTAGTCCTACGTGTAGCCCTGCTGTCTACCCTTCCCTATCTCGGCCCGTCCTGCATGATCTTCGGATGCTTTGCGGTCCCCGATACACAGAGTCTAATCACTGAAACCATATTAATCTCTCATGTACAATGCCTGTGGGGTTGATGAGAGCTGGTAGCGGTTTTGCTATGGGTTGTAGTAGGATAAACGGAACTTGGAGACAACAAGCCACAGGGGCCCTGTTTTGGGACCGAGGACACTTGGCCACGTGCCTCAGTTCGGGCCACCAACTGCCTCCCCTTTGGCCCGTGAGTCCGGTTTTCGTTCTGCGCATAGTTCATCGGTGAGCCCGACCCGTTAGTTGGTTGGTCACCGACTCGGTAGACGCGACTCGTCCTGCCACCTAACAAGGTAGCTGATGCCTCGGCACATCCAAATCCAGCTAATCTCGGCTCGTCTTATACTGCCCGGGCTAATGTAACGTGCTTGCCCAAAGCATTAATACCTACGCATGCCTTTTCCCGGGTAGGAGCTTTTTGCCACTCACTGTACGTTGTACGAATAATGAAATATCCCAGTTGAGGGCGTTTATGCAAGAAGCGACAGCGATATGCCCCTCGGGACTGAAAATTGAGCGTATTCTCCATGATCACGGGCCATTGGACTCTCTGCTTAAGGAATTGATGCCAGAAAGTCAGCAGGTCGTCCCTGTCCCGTCAGCCTGCGTTATGCCGTCACGGGTGTGCTCGGTACATACCGTAAGGACGATTAAGGAGATGTTGATCGCGATTTCGTAGTTCCCCCTGTTGGCCAACCAGCCGATCATAGTCCCTGTAACGCCTGCGGCCACTTCTGCGACCGATCAGAATGCGAAAAGCGGGTCCCAGACCCGTTAGAACTTCAAGGTCCGCTATCCATGGCTTTCCAAAGAGGTACCTGTAGTCAGCCTCCAGTGTATCTCAACCCGACAACATGACGAATTCCGGTCCCATGCTCTCTGTGTTGTCGGGAGTGGGAATACAAGGTGATAGGGACACTTTGAGCCCGCCACATTAATTGAACGTCTCTAGCCTTCTCTATGTACACTACAGAAGGCCTGAATTGGGGCGGCTTCATGAAGAACTGGCCACACAACAGGACCAATGGGGATTGAATGCAAGGTTTCTTTGTCATTGTTGATGCCACGAATGGACGGTTACGGACCCGTCTCGTTGTAGCTGATCATGTCATCTGTCGATGGTCGTTCTCGGCATAGCGTATCTCACCGATCTACAGAGTGCGGACAGTCCGGTCCCTATGGGTACAGATAAAAACTGACCTTATAATGGGAGGTGTACGAGAACAAAGAAGCTCGAAGTTCGAGGACGCGAGCTTTCGGGGTCTCATCACCCAATAGTGCCGAGGCTAAACGCTTTTTGTCTTGGAATGGTACATGGAGAAGGTATATATATAATGTACTACGCGATGAGCGCTTCTTGCCACCACAGGTTTCTTTAAACTCGGTAGTCGGAAGAAACGGGGTTCTATGTCGAGCTTCTGAGTGAAGGTAAAAGTGAGATGTTTCAACATCAATTGCGCTTCGGGTTTTTTTTTTCCTGCCAAGTCTCTCATCGGTTCAATTGTTTCGGGATCGATTCTGACAACATATCGCAGTCCGCCTGTTTTGTAACAATCCAGTGAAACAAGGACATGGACGAATAGAATTGCAGGTCGTCGTCATCAACGCATAATGGAAGTCTTCTCGATTCCTTGGTTGCTGACAAGGGAGGCACAGGCACAAACATTTGGTTGGTCAATCGGGCACCGAGCGTGTGGTTCAGGGTAACGACTCGACTTGGAACACCTGTCATTGTCTGCCCTGTACGGTACTTCCCCGTTATGTTTGGTCCGGGTGGCTGCTGATGAGGACGGAAGCTTTTACATTCCGAAAATTTGAGTGGTCACTGAGTTGGCCGCACGCGCGAGTGGGTGATCGAGTTGCAGCGGTCAGCCCCGACAAATACCTACAGCTACCTTATAGTCGCGGAAGAAACCATGCTACATACCCACTATACATTGTACCAGCACCCACCAGGCAAGAGCTTCTTGGTCGCCATGTCATACGTACGTGTACCTTGTGGGGTGAGGGACGCAACGACTAGTTCGGTACTTTATAAGGTACTTTCATGTGTACGTTGTACCTAAGGTAATTAGGTAACCATGGCTAAAAAGCCCCCAGTCTCGCGAGGTAGGCAGAGTATAAGGTAGGTAGGTGTATACCTATGTACGGCGTTTCTGCAACCGAATTCGTACCCAATGTCGAAGCCCTGCCCTGTCAATACGCAGGAAGGGGTAATCCCGCGGATTGCAACACAATGCAGCCATTAAGCGGGGCAGCCTCTGCCCGCTCTTTCGTGTTCCCATCCTCACGGGCCTCCCCGCTCACGCATCCGTCTGAGCGTACCATGACCCAGACTGGTCACACACACAGCCAAGGGGGAGACAAGAAGAGAGGGGAGGACGTCAGCAAGACAAAGACGACGTTGCGAGGTTGTGCTTGAAGAGTGACTTGGGGGGTAGGGCGTCGTTACTTATTGCCCCAGGTTAGAGGGAAGCGATTGATCGGGAAGTAAGAATGGGGGGACGGACTAAAGGGCGCCGCCGCCAAAAAAAAAAAAAAAAAAAAAAAAAAGGAAAAAGAGGAAATGAAAATGAAAATGAAGAGATAAGACGACGTAACTGCGAACTGTGAACGCGCTTGCCTCTCTTTATCTTTTGCCCTTATGTTCTCATCAAGTGTCGCTGGATCCCCGACGCAGAACTGGGCGGCTAGACTCAAATCCTTATATATTCCTCGCGTACTCTGCATTGTGAGCTAAGAATCGCTGGTGATTACGTGCCAAAGTAATCGGTGAAAAGCCTGCATATTCCGGGCTGTTCTCCCCCATGGCAGCAGACCCTTGCGCTGGGCCGGGAGAGGGTGCAACCGTTGAGTGGATGTCAGCCGGCGCGGTGGCGGCGGACCACGACTGCAGTCCAAACGGCCAGGGCCTGGTACTAAAAGACACCATCTACTGGGTCCCTGCACTGCCCAACGAATTACCACTAGAGGTACGCCGCCGCCGCCGCGTACGGTACGGTACGCAACGGTACCTACCGTCTCCTGCTGGCTACCGAGCCCCCGAGGGTGCATGCAGTAAATAATAGTGCCTACCTATTCCTTGGGTTGCGAGGCCCATCTTCTCTCCCTCCACCCCAGCCAACCAAATCACACACCCTCCCCACCCCCCCTTCCTTCTATGCATCATTTATTAGGTAGCCTTCGCTCTTTCTAATGCTTCCTGCTTCCACCCCCTTTCCTCCTTCCCGACCACGAACGAATGCACCCGACAACGGGGGACCCCACTCCCCACTCGCACCGCACCAGACTTGCGCAGTCTTCCACGTCCACATGAGGTGCGGGCGCAGAGCCTTCTCCTCTCTTTTTCCCTGATTACTTCTTCGGCACCATCCCTCTCTTTTCCAGTGTCGCACCGACAACTACTCGACATTTCCCTCCCCTAAAAGACCCGTCCTATTTTCCCCTCACACTGCGAATACATACGCTTCAAATCAATCGTACAACAACCACTGTTCCAGTCATCCCGCCACCTACGCCTGCGCGGCACGCCCACGCCCACGCCTACGGCCATTATTATTAGCAGCGGGTTCCAGTCCCTGGCCCTAGCCAAGCTCGACCAACCCTGCTGGCTTACTTACACCCACGTTCACCCAGATACTAAGGTACTGACTTGACACTTGACGGTCAGGTGCCATTTCCCGGCCGTTCACACCTTGGTCTGGGCTGGGGTTCGTTTCATGCCAATATTGCCCTTTTCACCTGAACACCCTCCGTCACCCAACTTGCTACCTTCACAACCTTTTTTTTTTTTTTTTTGCCTCTCACTCTCACCGTCTATCCAACATCCTCCCTACCTTCACTCGCCATAATCACAACTGTGTGGCCGCGTATCTTTTTCCTCTGCATTATCATCCCCATTCCTTTTTTTCTTCCCTTTTTTCACCCACTGCAAGTGTTGGGCGAACAGAAGCGAAAGACGAAAGTTTGGAAGCCTGCACATCGGAATCCTGGAACTTGGCGAGGTCGCTCAAATTCCAGCCTCAGCTCGTCGCCTCTTATCTCAACATTCAATCTCCCGCATTCCAGTGGACTTTCGTGCCAACGACGGCTAGTCAGCTTATTGTGCGGGCCGTGTTACCTTTGATCCCACGCTCATCGAGCCTCACATACCACTTGACATCAGTCGCTCCAGGTCCTATATAGTCGCCTTGCCATTTGTCTAAAGGTCACGGACCCGAGTGCGAAGCACACGCCGATTTTGGGTTTGAAGTCTGTCGACTTGCTTTTGCGCGCTGGGGCATCGTCTGGGTGCTCGGCAAACAGATTGTCACCTCGCGCCAACACAGCGACGATCACGCTGCGGGTATATGCCTTTGCAACACTCGCCTTTTGCCCACAAGCCATATTTCCAATCCACCGTTCACCTAGCTAGGATCCGATCGTAGCCGTCGTTTTCTGAGGGAAAAGGTATCTCGTACCGTGTCATTGCTCCCCTCGCCGTCTCCAGAGCATGGCAGAGGAGTTGGGACGAGGACCACCACCGCGCAGAAACCACGAGCCCTCCACCATTCAGGACGATCAAGCCGGCAAGAGACTACCCCCTTTGGGTCCTCCAGCCACAGCGACGGTAGCAGTCAACGACCAAACGAGGCAAGCCATGGCAGCGCCAGTGACATTGCCCGCAATGCAAGATCATTATAGTCAACATCAGTACCAGCGAGGCACACAGCCGCCTCCGGACCCACGGGTCGACCCTCGCGTTGAGTCTCGCCCCGGCAATTATGCCGCTTCACCAAATTCCGCGAATGGGTATCCCCCGCCGCCTCCGTCGGCCGGTCCCCCGACCCAGCTACCTCCACTACAGCCCCCCGGTCCAAGGTCCCCATCGTACTCTACCCCCGACCCAAGGGACAATTATTACCAGGGCCGTCAACCAGCCACTCACTATTCTGAAGCCTATCCGCCAGATTATCATCGTCAGGCTGGTCCCCCTCCCCCGCCACCAGCACGCTATCCCGAGTATGGCCAGCCAGCACCTACCCCGGGTCCGAGGTACGACTACCCGCCCCACGCTCCGCCTCCTCGGTGGGAATATGCCCAGAATCCGGTTCCGATGCCGCAAGCTGCCCCAAGGCAGCGGACGTCCATTGCCTGCAGATATTGCCGGAAAAGAAAGGTATGGGAGCAGGAAGCTCCGCATGGTTCGCAGAGATGGTCCTTTACTAATCGCAGAGAATTTCCAGATCCGCTGCAGTGGGTACCAAAGCGCGCCCGGCGGGAAGTGCGTGAATTGCAGTAGGATGAATCAAGAGTGCATTTTTCAACCGGTATCGTCATCCAGCTCAACGGCTTTTATTCCGGTGTCGGCCGTTCCTGGTGGCGTACCGCCAGGCACGCCTTTATATGGGGCATATGGCCAGCCACTCCATCCTGGTTCTCTTCCACCCGCTGGACCCCAAGCCCAGCCGCCGCAGCCGCCGCCACAGCAACCGCCTCAACCGCAAGCTCAACCCCAGCCCTATTCTCAAGGAGGAAACGGCTATTATCAACAGATTTCTCCGTCTCCAACGAACGCCTACCCTCCTTACGATGCTCAGCGAGGTGTGGCTAGGCGTCGGCCTAGGGAACCTGAGGAGGGTGGCGACGATCTTCGCTTACCTCCACCCGATCCCACTGGGGATGATCCGCGACGAAGATCACCAGCCGCGTCTAGTTCAAATCACAGCAGCCCTGGGGGGTATATGTCCTATCCTCCTGGCCAGCCTGTGCCGTACGGAGGCCATGCGCGGCACAGCCCGGGACAGACTCCGCTAGCTCCTTTGTCAGCCACGAGTGATGACCGCCACGCCCCGTCGGCTCAGCGCCACAGCAACTCGTCGACGCCTGTTGCTCCCTCTACGAGCTCGGTCATGAGCCTCAACAACCTTGTCGACAACCCATCCGACATTGACAAGAACATGCTCGGCCGACTCAATCGGGGTCCAGCGTCTGGGGCTCGGCGCTGATTTCTTTCTCTGTCCATAACTTGTACGGACAGAAGAAGAATGCAGAACAGCTGGACTGGACTGGTTGCACTCTGGGGGTTTTTTTTTCATTTCCTCTGGTTAATTTGACGAGAAATCGACTTTATCGGGCCAGGCGCCTCCTTCTGTTCCCCAAACCCCGGTTTACCCTGGTATTATTCACCGTTATTCGCCACCAGAGCAGCACTTTTCGGTTCGGTTCCGGCGTTGTAAAAGATACGGGACTCGTGGCACTGGCAACGGGTGGGCGGCAGCATCTGATTTCGGCATGGGGAGCGACAACGAACCACGGCATGCTCTCGCTTAGCGTGTCAACTCGAGGTTTCAAAAACATAATACGTCGGCAGACAAACGACATTTGACGGAAAGTGGGACGAATCTCGCGAGATGTTGAAGTGTGGGAGTCGGAATACTTATTTCTGTGCCAAACTTTGGTCAATTCCGGACGTTGGAGGATATTTCTCATGGTCATACTTTTCTGCTCTTTCCTGGGGGAGGTTTCTTCTCTTACTTTTCTTTTAGCTTTGTTTTCAATGCTTTCTCGCAACACTGTTTCTTTTTTTTTTTGTCTTTGATTTTTTCCTTCTCTGTCGTATCTGTTGATCTCTTCAGTCGCGATCGTTTCCCCTTCCTCTGAATCTTAATGATGGATGGGTCAAAGATTGGCTGCCTCACGGCAAAACACTCACACTAGTTATGTTTTACTGCGCTATGCGTTTCTTCTTCTTTTCCTTTTTCTTCTTTTTCGTTTTTTTCTTGTGTTTCCTTGGTTGCCGTCTCGGAGGATTCACATCTCCGAAAGCGGCAAGATGGGAGAACACTTTGTACGCAACGAGTTAAAGTTTTCTGGCTCTGTCGGACAGTTCAGAGATTTATCAGCGCCGCAAGGCTATACTACAGCAATATAACAGAACAGGTCTCTTTTAAAAACTTTACAACTCCTCGGATAGCGACTGACAAGAATCATTAACCAACCAATGTTTGCCGTGAAATTTTATTCGAACCATCTCCACAATGGGGCTCTTCGACCCCTTAAGTAGGTATTGAACTCAGAGTAGGTACTGGAGGAACGAACCAATCTTCGTCTCTATTAAATCACCAGGCGAGGTTTTCTATTCTATCCGACCTTTGGGAACAACTCGAATTACTCCACCTCCGTGCTCTCACAAACAGTAAAGGTACATTACAGAGAAAGTTCTTCGAGGGGTAAAAAGGAACGGATAAGTAGCTATCCCAGTTGCTACTGTCCAATAATTCTGCGGGTGCCTGGCATAGTGGCATCCCACAGCAGAATACAATATACGAAAAAGAAGAAAAAATACAAAGAGAATACGAAGAGGCGGGTGAATCAGTGGGGGTGAAGAGAAGCAACGTGGCATGGGGTTCGTTCCCGTTCTGGAGACACTTCCCCCCTTTTTTTTTTCCGCCCAAGGAAGCGCCGGGGCGGTTATACCGATACGTGGCAGGGCAAGGCACCACTTTCTGCTCTTGCTGTCTCCTACCTTTTCGTTCCCCTGAGAGATAGATGTTCAGGGGATCAGGGACAGGGAGGTGGGCTGTTCATTCGCGAATTTGGCGCATCGGGTCCCGGAATGTCGATTCTTGTCCGGGCGTAGCACTGGTGCAAGTGGTGCCAAGGATGCTAAGAAGAACAAGGAGTTGCAAGTCGGCAAACACTGTAGAGAGAGGTACCTCCTAGTCAAAGAGAGTGGGAGGAGAACCGGAAAATTTGAGCGTGCCCCCGTGTCCAACGACGTTGACCCCGATTAGCTAGCTAAAAGTTGACCAGGATGTTTCCCTGTCCCACGAGCAGAGACATGCCTAGCCGCGTCCTATCTCGGGTGGGCAGGCACTTCAGTCGATATCGTGCTTCGTAGGGAAAAGCCTCATGTTGGCCAGGGGGAGGGGAGGGGGGGCAAAGAGTCATGGGTCGGCCTTAATCCCCTCTGGCCCTCTGGACTCCTGGAGTCGTTCACACCGCCTAAACGACAGCATCCTTGTCGACGGCGATATTTGGGTTACCCCCGCCACCAGATAGCCAATTACTCACATGCGTGTCCATACTATTGACCCGCACCTGGGTATGATCGTTCGTGCGAGGAGAGGGGAAAAGGAGAGGGGTCGGAGAGAGGGGGTTCTGCCTGTGTCGCATCAGGAGTCTCCTAGCTTCGTTCCTGTCTTGGGTAGAGCAGCAGAACTTGGGAAAAAAAAAAGAAAAAAAGGGGGGGGGGGGCGTGAGGGGCGTGAGACGTGAGGCGTAAGGATAAAGTGGTTGCATGCCGAGGGTCGAGAGTCGGGACCAACAGGACTAATGCAACGCGATCTAGTACCGTTGTCGGTCGTTGGAACCGGTAATTACGGAATGCAACACTACAAAGTTATGCTAGTCAGGACTCAGATGCACCACCGGCGCGACTCTGGTGACTTAACACGGGACAACTCGGTGTAGACCAGCTTATAGCGTGAGTTGTCATGAAGTCTTTCAAGGCAACGATTGGAGGACGATCTATTGAGGCTATTGATCGGTTTGAGGGGATTAATTTTCTTCTTCATGTTCTTCTTCACACTCTAGCCCATTGGTGTTTTGACTGAAGAAGACGGCGTCCAAGCGAGTCGTAGAAACGCGGTTGACGCCAACTAAATTGCTGGGCCCCCTTAGACCACGATTCGACTCATACTTTTCTTTAGTTCGGAATGTTGAAGCCGTGCCTGCTTATTGTTTTTCTTTTTTTTTTGCCCCTTCCCTCAGAAGCAAACCCGAAGGGAGTGAGAGACACCATCGGGGGGGGTGTAGGAGTCGGTCAGTCGGACACCAGGAACGATCAAAGATAAAAAAGGATTCAGAGCTTGTTCTCTTTGGGCAAGGTTCATTATGGGAGGGACAAAGAAACCCACAACCACGGGACCATAGGACGCCACTGGTTTACGCTTCATGACGACCACCGGTTGTTGCCGAAGCCCGTGCCAAGCGAATGAGGCTATGAGCGCACATCAAGGGTTAGAAGTTGTTACGCTTACGCGGGGGGAGGACTCCCGAAGAGATGGAGAAACTGGCGCGAACCTGGGCAGTTCAGCCAGGCTAGGAAGCTCCCACGAGGATGCCGCGCTTGTAAGATGATCTTACCTGAAGACCCTAGCTCCCCTTTCCAAAATGCGGGACTGGTGGGTTGAGGGAGGGGAAACTACCTGCCCACGGACGATGCCGAAGAGTAGCGGTGTTAAGAAAGACGAGTATCTTGGCAAGTCAAGCGCACCACACGCACAGGAAGTGTATACTACCTTAGCTAGGGACAGTTCGGGTCTATGGGGGCAGATTGGAAGGATAGATAATCTTGCGAGAGAGCTTCGTTTGTGTAGGTAGTGAAACCTAATGGGGATTTCGGGGGCCGGAAGGCAGGGCAGCGGGCTCAGGAGTCAGGAGTAGGGCGGTTTGACATGAGCACGTAAGCCATGGGCGCCGAGAAGAAAGAGGGGTACGGGCAGCAGGCTGCAGCACCTCGAGGCCGTCTCGCCCTAATGGTCCAAGACGCTGACAGTCCGTCGCATCGTTTAGCTGTACACTACGGGGTCTACGGTGTGCCCGTGGCTCGGAGCGCCAGTGCCTGGACAAGTACGTGTGCGGGAGGAGCGCGGCCCCCGGAAGCCAGCCATCAGAGCTTGCTGGCCATTCGACATTAGCGGGATCACCCATGCGATATTGCATCGCACGCAGAACGCAGAACTAGGGGAAGGCCGTACGACGGTACGACCAACAGCATGCAAGGGGGGCAGGACGGGAAGGGGCAGAAAGACGCGAGGAGGGGGCGGGTGGAGGGGTGGAAGAGCCCGAGGACTGGCCGGGGACCGTTGCGACTTTTCCCTGGCCGCATAGCCGTGTCATCACGAGTAGTGCTGAACTGGGGCGGCACCGTCACTTGGCTCTGCGCATAAAAAATACACAATATTCCAGTATTGGTCCGAATTCTCGTTTTGCGGGCGGGATATCCCTTCCCCCTCTAGGAGTCTAGGGAGGAGGGAGTTCCTAAGTCTATGGGGTGAGTCCTGTAAAGGGAGGGGTGGAGTCATTAGACGGTGAAAACAGGGATGTGGAGCCGGCTACAGTAGAGCCACAACGTGTTCTCCCTTGAATGACTCCTACGGAATGCACAGTATAGTATTCGTTGTCTAACGTCTTCCGGTGAACTGACGTTGTAGATGTCACTGGTCAGGCCAGGCCGCCAGGCGGCGTTGGGCGGGATCAGGAAATCTAGTATCTACCCGCCGAAAGGGGAAGGGCCCAAAGCCTGAAGGGGGGGTGGCTTGTGGGCTGACAAACACGGGGGGCAGAAGGAGGTACGGATATCCGGAGAGACCCGAGTCAGCTTGTCGTGTCAATTCCGTCTCCAGTCAGGTCAGCTCGAACTTCGAGGCCATACTGGGGACGGGATCGGAGCCTGGAGGGAGTCGACCTCATCGAGCATGACGTCCGTATGCCGTGAACAGTTTCGTTGTTGCGCCGGGTTTGGCTGAACTGGGGACCATCCGAATCGAAGCTGTGTGTCATGTGTATGGACTCTGGACTCTGGAGGACTGACAAGAACGAAATGCTGTCGTATACTACTACTTCGACGAACGGGTTTCATGGAAATGGCCCAACTTGCAGGCGTTGCATTTGTTCTGAACTCAGAACCGTAAGGTGAGAATCTTTAATAACATTCTCTTCAGCTTGGGGATGCATTGGAAGCCAGAAACAACGTCGGATATATGTAAAAGGAAGGAGGGAAGGGGACAGAGTGTCTGAGACAGAGAGACGCGCACTACATTACCTTACCTACCTTACATGCCTAAGGTACCTTAATAAGAATACCGTACTCAACAAGATACCTTCCTACCTTACCCATCAGGTAAAAGGGAAAGAACTACCTATACCTTGCCTTACTGATATCCGTAGCCCACAGTACAGAGTACTGAAGCCGCCTACCTAATCCGCCTCACATATGCCTATTTGACTTTACTTACCAAGTAGAGGGTACCTCTGGGAGAAAGAGAGTTTGGTTACAAAGGATAATGTAAATGCGTCATCTGTGATCTGTCCAGTGTCTGGTAATCAAGACCATAAGAGTGTCCTACCTAAGGTACCTTAGGTACCTGGTAGTGTCACTGTGTCTCACAAAATGGTCCCTTGGTACTTTATGTTCTGGGGGGTAATCCGAGACGCCGCGATGAAGGAGGACGACTAGATTACTCAAACTTGCTCCGAGTGGTTTGCCTTTCCTTTAGACATCTTCCAGACAACCTGCCTTCGTACCGACGTCCTCTGCTTTTTTCAGAGCCTAATCGAATTGCCGACTCTCCTTTTTGTTTCTAAATTACAACGATGCAATCCGGATACTTCTGGAGGCGCGGGAGGAACATTCCAGTAACTCTTCCTGCTTACGGACACAAGCGCCGACGGATTAACGTAAAACACAGCCCTTAACATGCCTCGGGCTGGCTGTTGGCACCCGGGCTGACTCGTGGTAACTGGTAAGTCCAGCCCCGAAAGGCGTTGTACAATGCTCCTCAGCTCCTCCATGCTCCTCCTACGGTTACATGTATGTCTACGGCTTGGTTGACTTGGTTTACGGGAATGCCGCATGCTCGTGCAGCTGTGCTGTGCTCGCCACGTTTCTCCTTTGTCAATTTGTCTCCGGTGAGTCCAGTGACTCCAGTCCAGAACTCCCACGACGCGGTCCTGCGGTCGCTCTCTCGCATTCTCCGTCAGAGTCCTATCGAGCACTGTCTGAAGAGGTCGAAACTGACGATAACGAACTGTTAGAAAGTTGTCCAACCTCGCCGTGACCCGTTGCTCGTCTTGATAAACAAACCCCTGAATTTCCCCCCAAGCACAATTTGCTGCACGGCGGTTCCCGATCTGGCGGCTTTCGACGTCCTCTTCCGAGTCTTCCCAGAGAACATCAGGTGGACTCGCAAGCCATGGACTGCTTTTTGAGAATCGAAAGAAGCCCCCGAGCGTCCCCAACTTTGCCTAGGAACCTTTCAACGAGCTTCGTTCCCGCAACTTGCTCGTTAGAGGCTCCCAGCCTAACGAGCATAGCTCTTGTCGATAGTACGACGGTAGTATGACGGTGACGATGTTTGAACTCGGATAACCAAGTACAAAAGATATTGCAGACTTCAGTCCGTTTGGAAGTCTCGAACGGAGACAGCTGTTCCTTTTGCCCCCCGATTGGCTGTGTCTAGGGCCCCTTTTGTCAAGACCGATCGACGCTGCAGTCTTGAGAAAAAGGGGCTGTCGGGTACTTTGTTGGTGCAATAAATAAACAAGGAGGTGCCGTCAACATTGGCCTAATGGCCAGTCAGCGGACTGTCCAACATCTTTCGACATTGCTCTTTAAGGCAGGAAGAACAACTCGAGAAGTCGAGTATTCAGATCACTACTGCGGTGAGTCACCCAGCAACTAACGTGCTTGAACACTGTGTCTCGGACAGTCTCTAAGATACCCAATCCCTTACTGCTTCTTTGGACTGACTTTATGTGTGCAAAAGGGTATCCCTGAATTGCGGGCTGATCACGCTTGACAACTCAGTCCACCTTCACTCGTCGGTATTCGGTAGTCGCGAGATACCCGAAACTCCCCTTTAGCCCAATGTCCCTCGAGAACGGATAGGATAGGAGGAAAGAGGAATAGAAGCAAAAATATCTTGCACACTGCAGGGGTTAGGGTTGCACTACACGGTCCGCGCGGGAGAGCCAGGGGGAATTAAGGTATGCAAGGGACGCATCGAGCGGCACTGTCCGAGATCCACAGTCTGGAACCCAGGAATGGGAATATTGGATCATCTGGCTGCAGTTGCCTTAGCCGATATCTATTGGGCTACGTATATGTATCCCTTGCAGAGCCGGGACAGTCGGGACGACCCGAGGTCCGGAGGTTGTGGCGAGTTCTAAGTCCACATTCTTCCCCCTCCAGCCCCTTCCAGCTTCTGAGACCACAACTTGTGTCTATCTTTCCTACTGGAAAAAGAAAGTAATGAAACAGGCCCTAGCTGTCACTGGAGCGTACCTGTCCAGTGCATGGTCTCTTGGAAGTTGACGCAGACTTGGCAATTTTGTCCGTCATGTAAGACAGGGTTGCGAAGCTAATCATGGTCCACGACTCCACGGCCCTCATAACGCGTCTGTCGTATTGGGATTACGTGAATGTCTTGGACTAAACAACAGGACTATGTAACTCAGCAGATGGAAGTGATGTCAGATATTACTTCTCTAGGGAGAATCAACTTCCTTGCAACACGAATCAGTATTTGACTGCGCCAACGATGTGATCCAACCCTGGCTTGAGATGGATTCTGGCAACACCATGGTCTAATGTAAAGCTCGTGGGATATTCGAGACTGACGACTAGTCCTGTTGTAAGCTCCATGTCTCGAAGAGTAGGAATATGTTTACAAGCGGAAGAGCACCAGGCTACCAACACCGGCATCCAGAGAAGGCAACACTACCAGAGCTTGGAATGGAAGATATCGTAGGTTTCAGGTATAACAACGTCTCTTCAACATCCAAGAGACAAAAGTATCATCAAGGAAACGAATTATATATCTATACTGCGCGTAATATGCTCTGCACCAGGAGAGTCAGTACGCCACCCCCGATACAAGAGCAGCGAAAAGAACCAGATCGTCTATCTTAATAGGTCCGGTCGAGTGTTCCGGGGGCAAAAAAAACCGAACATTATTATTTATGATCAGGGGCCTCACCGAACTTGACGGACGTCATGGACTTGAGACTCACCGATACTCACCGAAGTCCATCCCTTGCAATGCCGGTGAGAAACGGCGGCGTATGGAGGGGAGTTGTGGGAGTTGTTAATAATAATTACGACTTGAAATGCCTGAACCGACTGACCCGACGAGGTTATCGGACCACTGTGTGGGGCATTCCTTGTGATCGTGAGACTTGGCGCAAAGGGCTCGCCATGTGGCCAACCGGGTTCCCCGACGCTAGACTCTCTCCCTGCCCCCAACAAAAGAAAGGGACGAAAGGGAGCCAGAATGAGATCTGTGCGAAGTACATGTAGGTACCTACCTACAACGTACACCTAAGGTAGCGGGGAAACTACTACACGTGTACGGATAAGGTGTTGAATTAGTGTCGGTAGCGCATTAGGAGTTTTGGAGAGTGTAGTCCTGAAACGAGAAATGAAAATCATGCATTGCAGCGATGTTGGCATGGCTGAGAGAGTACGGATACTGAGGAATCTACACCGAAATGCGAACTAAGGTTGGCCCTAATTACTTTGATCCCTTTATATGTCTAATAGGTCAACTACGACTAGGGCGACCACGTCATGCGCCAAGAACGCCATCTTTTGTGCCGTTAATGCAGAGAATCCCGTTCCAATGGTAAACAAGAGGTTGCGGGATACATGGTCTGACCGCCTGTCATGCAAAGGGGATGAAATGGGGAACATGAATGATGAAAAGGGCTTAGTATAGACCCTCGGGCCTCGCTAGTCATCGACATTCCTGATGGACCCTTCTGGAGATGACGACGCCGATTGCATTTCGATATGCCCCTGCTCCTTGAGCCTCATGGGTCTGCCCTCCTCGCATCGTTCCGCGACGAAGCAGCGCTCCGCGAAGATGCCCTTCTGATTCTGCTCGCGCCAGGCGGTGCTGAAACGGCGCGCCATGACGCGGCGCCAGCCGCCCACGGTAATGGTGATGCGGGACCAGGGCGCTACAGGCGATAGGCCCTTTCTCGCCTGCGTCGGGACGCGAGCCCACTCCTCGGCCGCTTGCTTCTTGCAGTGGTGGAGGAAGAACAGCGTCTGGACGACGGCGTCGTAGTCGGGGTCCGCTTCCGGCTCGACATCCTCGAGCGGGTTGATGACGGTCTGGACGTGGAGAGTGAGGTCGCGGAGGCTGCGGAAGGTGCAGACGGCACGGAGGAAGGCCGACGGTTCGCAGAGGGCCGCGTCCATGTCGAGCTCGAGAGTGTGCACGTAGGGGAGGCGTCGACCGAGAGATGCGACGTCAACAGGAGAGAGCGTCGGGCAGCGGTAGTCCTCGTCCCTAAAGCCCACGTGGTCTCGAAAGCGGAGGGCGCGCAGGGATGGGGAATGAGCGAGGATTGCGTCGATGGGAAACGAGCGGATGTGGCAGGTGATGCTCAGAGTGTGAAGAGCCCGTATGTAATGCTTCACGAGAAGGTAGAGACCTCTCGTCGCTTCCTGACGATTATCGACCCGAAGATGGGCGCTATAGTCCTCGCAATGTAGGCGTAGCAGGTTGGCCAGATCTAGCGGGTTGATCGAGGACAGGAACTCGAAAATGGGGACGAGATCCAGGTCCAGGGATCTGATATTAGAGAAGTCCCAATGCATCGCCGTCTCGTCTTTCGAGTGGTTCCAGTCGTAAGACCTCAACGCGAGCTCCTTGAAGGGGGGCAGCCGCTCGCCCGGCCGAAAGTTGAAGCTGGTTCCCTGACCCCTCCCTTCGTAGTGGAAAGTCTCCAGACGCCTTGCCAACAGGAGAAGACTCTTGAGAGAGTGGAGGTTTGTAATGAGAGGCGGCGCTGGACTGGCCATCTTCAACGTCACGAGGAGATGGGCCGGAATGGCTCGGACGTACGTATCCTGCTGTTGACGGTCAAACTCGCGGAGCGGCAGGTTTTCGACATGTAGTTTGATTCCCCGCAGGCGCTCATGGTAAAAATCGAGAAGCTCAAACGGGAGCCAGGGTCTGCCGTGCTCCAACTCGGCGTCGCTGTACCGCCATTCGAGAGAGGGAGGCGTGATATGGAGATTTTGTAAATCGGAGACAGCGAAGCGGCTCCCTGCATCATAGCGCACAGAGACCAGATTTTGGGCCGTGTACAACACCTTGTTGATACCTGAGGGGTCAAGATAGATGCCGACGACGACGTGGCGGGTGTGAGCGGCGATATTAGCAAAAACCCCGGGGTAGCGTGACTCGGCGTCGGGCGATACGATGTTCTTGTTCAAGTGCAGAACACGGAACAGAATGGGAGTCGCGATAGCATCTAGCCTCGCACAAAGGATTCGAGCTTCGGCTACCGATCTAGCATCGATATCGTGAAGCTGCGGAGGGGGTGGGGAGGGGGGTTGTCAGCTAAGGGGCCCAGTTGGTCATAAGAGTGTAATTACGTTTCTTGGCCACTGGCTACTCACATGTTCGATGACGAGAGCAAGGAGCTCAGGGCTCAGGTCGTTCAGCGACCATCTTGGCGAAGCAGCTCGAAGAGAGGAGGAGGTTGCCATTCGCCAAGGCGGTGGTCCCAGGTCAAGGTAGAAGGGACAAGAGGGGAGAAGGCCAAAAGGCAAGGAGACGTGACCACGACGGTTCCTTCATAGAGGAATTGGAAGGAAGAAGGGTGAAAAAGCTTGGAGGCTGATTGACAGCCGACAGCACAGCTGAAAAGAGCTAGAGCCACTGTATCATATGGTCGGTGGGGGTTGCTCATTATATATATAGGAGGACAGTGACATAGTGGCATATAGCGGAACCATTGATGAGGCTGGCAAGGTAGACGCTAAGCTAATTAAGGCGAATGTCACGAGAGAATTCAGAAAGGGACAGGAAGGCACTGATAGGACCGAAGAAGGCGAGCTGGGGCTGTGGTGGAAAGATATTCATACCTCGCTGTAGCCTGTAGTGGACCCATGAGGGGGGAATTAGTCGGGAGGAGACATCCTGTGCATACAGCGTAAGAAAAAAGGGGGGCCACCGTTGTACTGGGGAAGAAAGACATGATGTGGATAGATGCAGTGAGATAGATGATCAGCAAGCAGCGGTGGAGGAGGGCCGAGGCGGTCCGGCGGACAGAGCGCAGGGGCTGATGGGAAATAAGGTTAATCATATGGGAGATGCTATGGTCGTACGTAACAGAGGGCGGCGGCAAAGGGCGCATCCGCATCCGGTATCTTATGCATGAAGCGAGCAAAGCCCATTATGCCACGAGTGTAGCCTCGGACGAGAAATCGCAATTCGGCCGATCGAGGTATATAGCAGAATGAGAGTAAGATCACGAGTCACAAATGTAACGGTAAAGATGAGGCAACTTCGTACCAAGACGATCGAACAGTAAGGAGAGATGATCCGGGGGATTAATTAGAATATCGGATGAACTGGTGATCAGAGGCGGAGTTTGTCAGATGAAACCAGCCAGGTAGAGGTGGAACGACGAGAGGATGGGTACACTGAGTTATCCGTCCAGAGCAGATGAGGGTTGACTCTTGAGGCAACGTCGTTCGCAAAGATGTCCAAATCCGGAAATAGCTCCAGACACCACGCGAGAAGAAAGCGCAGACTTTTATCAGCCAATCGGCTTTAGCGGGACAGCTATGAATCGATGTATCGGGACGTCAATAGTCGCGATATGCAATTCCCCAGCCAGCCCCCCCTTCTCCTTCCCAAGATGCAGACAGACCCCACTCAAACAGAAAATTCAATAAAAGCGCATATCTCGATGTACATAAAACCGTCATTCTCTCTGTCTATTGCTTCCTCGTCCCGTCCCGCGTTCGCTCTGGTTGCTAATACTTACGGATAGCCAATCGCTAAGCGATCACAAATCACCACCGCAGGCTGGTCCCAGCAATTAGGAACCGCGCCCTTCAACTGGTCTCGGATTAATAAGTCCGTATAGACGAGACCAGATTGTACTTCGTACACTCACGCCGATCCTATCCACCGGATATCGTCCCTCGGTTCCCTCCTCATCCCCATCCCACCTCAAGTCTGTACGAAGCATCGAAGCATTGGCTACCATATTCTTATAGTAACCGAGGGGATATTGTCTAAATCCCTCCAAGAGGCGCAGTATGTCAAAGTGCAACTCGCCCAAATTATGATTTGCTGGGACAGTCGTCGGAGCCTTTTCCGGATTTCGGCTCCGTGGACGCGGAATACATCTGCGGGGAACTTGAGTCGTCGCCCTTGCTCGGCGTATCCTCGCAGATGTTTCCTATTTCATGAATTACGAATATATCCCGACAGCATGCACCCATCCACGCTAGGCAGGTGTTGCGTGAATACTCGCAATCTTGATGCCAGCGAGACGCATCCCCTCGTTGATATCAGCCACATCTCTTCCCAGGAGAGATCACATCACGCTAGTGCTGTCGTCGCCGCTATTTAATTACATACCTATCTCTGTAGTCTAACCGATAACAGGAGACATCCCGTTGGCTTGATATTCCTGGTCTGCGCCTTGGCCCAAGATCGTCTGGAATCCCCTCCCCCCTTTCCCGCCGCATGGCCCAACCGGGCGGCACGATGGCGACGCGATTGGCGGAAGGCCGACCGACCTTTTTATCCTTGTCGTTTTAGCCCAAGAAATCGGGGCGCCAACGCCGTAAATGCATTCAGGGGGCTATTTAAAGTACGAAGTTACGGGTAGGTATGCCGAGTAAGTAAACCAGTTAGGCGTGTAGTGAAAGTGAAATGCAAGAATCTTCATGATAGATAAGGTACCTTATCCAGTTGGACCAGTATTGCTTTGTCCCATATTGCACGTGAATTTACCTCCTGAACTGACGGCTGTCGGTTGCTCTGCGGTCGCTGCTATGCCCAGTGTCGAAATGTCCAAACATCAAGTTGTACATGTCCAAAATACCCGGGAAAAATCGCGTATCCCATATCCAACATGAAAGGGTCGTGAGCAGAGAGAGAGAGAGAGAGAGAGAGAGAGAGAGAGAGAGAGGAAAAAAAAAACCAAAATAAACAAGCAAAATAGGCGCAACCACCCAAGTCTATGGCTATGCCATTCGAGAACAGCCGAAACGACCTGATAACCCATGCCTGGCCAGTGAGATGGCAAGTCTCTACCGCCTGGGGTTCGATCTAGGCAAGTCGTCGGCCTCGTAAAGATCGTCATCATCGTTTCGAACACTGCGACTTGTGCCCCGCTGACCTTGGCTCACACCTGCGCCGTGCATGACCACATTGTTCATTGCACTATCCTGGCGGGCGCCGTAGCTCGCCGTTCTGTCGCCAAAACGAGGATGAAACGACTCATCGGCGAGTCGTCGCGGGCCGGAAGATCCGTCCTCGGAAGAGGAAGAGGACGTAGCCCTCGGAGGCAACCCTGTATTCTCTGGCGGGTAGTGGGTCGTCGACTGCGATTGCGGGTCCCGGAATGGGTCGTCAGCGGCCGCGCCCTCCCCGGAGGACCTCTCATTGGGATTGGAAGAAGAAGCTCCGGTCGGTGGAGGGCCTGTCGGGGATGCGGACTGCTCGACCTCCTTGCCCTTGGATTTTGGGGGCGGCTTACGGCTGCGGGGAGGTTCTGTTGGTGGCCCGCGGGAGGAGGATGAGGACGACGGATAGGTCTGGAGCTGGGGTGGACTGTTGCTGCTGCTAGGAGCTAGAGGCGGGGCCTGTTGGTTGGACAATTGAGGGGAAGAGGGGTTCGAGTGGCTGTTCGTGTGGAGGCCGAGATGCTTACGCGCCGCGAGCACAGCCCGTTGATGTTGGTTGAGGGCGGTCTGGAGTTGTTCGTTGACGTCGATGAGGCTTTCCATGGTGTCGTTGTCAGGAGCCGGGTTCTCGGCTTTCATGTACATCTCCACGCTTCTAGAGGCGCTCTGGCACCTGTCGGCGAATTCCCTGACGAGAGCGTTTTGAAGCAAGTCGGAAGGAGGAGTGTTGTTGACGAACTGGATCAGCAGCTTGGCCGAGTTTCGTGCCTCTTCCAGGCGACTCGCGAGCTCAACGGGGTTGGGCAGCGTCCTGCTTGTGTGATGACGGGCGAAGTAGTTTTGAGCGGGGGCGGGATCATGGTTCGGCAGGGGTTGGGCCTGGCGTTGCGGTAGAGGCGATCCCTGCTGATTCTGTCAAAGGTCATATGAGTATGGGTTTGAGCCGGGCGATAGAGCAATAGAATAGACAGAGACAGGCGGGACAGATGGGTAGGGCAGGTGCTTACTTACCCCTTGGTATGTCAAGCCGCGAGCCTTCTCCTTCTGCCACATCGCAACAAGACCACGCATACCCTCGTGATTCATCTTGGTGGACTCGAAGTTCTCCAACGTCTCCATCAACATATGGCGGACGTTGTTGTTCCGACCCAGCCTAAGCAGATCCTTGACAGTGTCGACGAACTTCTTGTCAAAGTTCCGAGTAAAATCACGGCCAGGGTGATCGGACAGAATGCGAAGGAGCATGATGGCATTGTATTGGTAGCCGGGCTTCGAATTATAGTCTTTCGAGAGGTACTTGCGGATATATCGAGCACATTCGGCGGCGGCAGCTGGCGCGGACTCGGCAGCGTCGACGATAAGAGGGAGAAACAGAACCTCATCGTCCTAATGTCACCCATCGTCAGTCTAATACTAATTATCCGCTTGGCGAAGGATAATCTGTTTCCGTTTGTTCTTTTTTTTTTTTTTTTTTTGCTCGCTTTGGAGCAATTATGGAAATAGAATATGTCGAGAGCGAGAGGAACCGAATGAGGTAAAGAATCCAAGAACTCGATAGAGGGAGCGAGAGCAGGGAGCGTACCTGTTGGTTCGTAGCTTCCGATTCGCAAAATGCTTTCTAGAAGTGCGTCTCGTCATCAGCAAGCGGCCTCTTTGACACTCGAAACTGCGACCTGCGACCAGACTCCCCAACTATTGCACTACTCACCACGTTCCGAACCGCAGTGGCTTCGGGGGTTTCATCCTGCGATGAAGCTGCGTCGTTCGCATTCTGCCCTGCCGCCAGGCATCGCCCGTCATCAGCACCCGCCTGTCAAAGGCTTGAAGTCTTCTAGTGCAATCAGGCGATGTAGGGATAGGGGATGGGGAATAGGGACAAAGATGATAAAGACTTGGTGACGTACCGAATCCAGTCCCTGTCCTCTTCTTGATGGTCCCCAGGACACGATTCATGCCAAATCCCTTCATCGTTCTCAACCGGGTCAGCGTTGCGGAGTTGGGTGTTTCCAAGGACCGGGGCGGACCAACGGAGAGTCGGGAGGGTAGTACGGAGTAGGTATATACGGACGAGTACGTTGTATGCGACGAGGAGGAGTTGAGAGACAACCTGGAAAACGTGGGGGCGAAAATGTGGAGTCCCGCGAAGTACGGATGTACCTAGGTAGTTATTTGGCGGACAAGGCGGACGGGCAAGAGACCGGGGTCGAACGTTCGGTCCTCCGCTCTGGAAGAAGATCTACTCTGTATACTCTGTACAAGCCAGGTCGCAACGCAACGAACACGACGAATCAAACGATCAAATTGGCAAGATTGGCTCCGAAGACCGTAGGTGGGATGCCTCGCGCGGCTTCAACGCTGCAACGAAGAAGAGACTGGGGTGGTTCCAACAGGCTGAAGATGCAGTACGCATACGAGTCTCAGGGAGGCGACGAGGTGGTATCCGTACTGAGTACGGATGCAGAGTAGGGTAGGATTGGAGCACTTCGTTAAATCCGCAGCAGCCTCGTTCTCTGTTCTTCTCCAGCTCCTTTCTTTCGAATGGTTCTGTTTCGTGCCGATTGGTGTTTCTGGGCCACAAAGCCAGGTTTCGAGACTGAGGTCGAAGCGCGGGTAGGGGATCCGGAGGTTTATGGGAGGTCTAATGATGTTTGTAGTCGTAAATGCGACGCGACCAAACTTCCGAGAATGAATGAATGCCCTGGCAGGACGGCGAGTCGCGTATATGTATAAGGTAGTGATAAGGGCCGATGAATGACTGGCGTCTGGCGTGGCCTGGTCCTACAATGGTGGTCACTTGAGTTGTTGGCCTTGGATGCCTGTGGGTGTGACGAGGTTTGCTGGTGTGCCGCCGTGAGCCTTGTTCAGTTCAATCGCGGTGTCGGCACTCGTCTGTGATACCGTGCACGTACGTACGATGGCACCTCTCCTGTCCGAGGTTTTGATTAGTCCTGTGTCCACAGTGGGGTGTGTTCCTTGGCGGTTTCACTCTCTCAAGAAGTCATCTGCAAGTTAAGGGTACCTACTAGAGAGGATGGAGTTATGAACCAAGGTACCCCCAGAATACGACGGTACCTCATGCAGCACTTCATCAAGACCGGAAGATTTGGGAAGAGTTGGGGGCCAAGAAGAAAAATTCTTGACCAAAGCGATACGCATACATAACTGAGTAAGGTACTGAGGTAGACAGTAACATCAAGGTAAGTCAGGGCTTTCCTGCTGGGATACTGATACGCATCTCAATGTCCGAATACGGATACATTAGCGGAGTATTCTGTACTCAGTACCTACCTGTGCATGCATCCAACATCGTCGCGACGCGTCAGACATTGCGTCGCGACCCAAGGACCCCGACTTACTTACGGAGTACTTATCCTCGTAGTCCATACCTTAAGGTAGGTAGGTACCTACGGTACCTAAGTGGGTGATCTTCATGGTATCTGACGAATCATTTGCCACCGCCATCCCTCAACTTATTAGGTACACGTAGTTGCAGCTGAGGTTGCAGCTTCGCGGTCGACAATCGACATGTTTTTATTAAGGGCCAGTGTCAGTGTCGCCCCCATGTAGTCTCGGCATTGCCTGGATGTGGTAACTCTGCGTGACTGCACCGCCTCCTGGCACCACGCAAGCCTAAGCTCTGCGGGCCAGGGCGCGTGTGATGCTATTCTTGCTTTCCCAGAGTCATCACAGTAGCGGGCTCCCATGCCTCCTCCTCTGAGGTACGGACAGATGTTGCCCTTATCGTTCAAGACGTCCCTTGGACATGGCATGGCACCAGCTGATCGAAACGCCGTAGGGGAATAAATCCACCACGACTATTGTTTGCATTTGTGCTTCGTTGTAACACTACCCCCACGACAATTAATCGCCTCGTAGCGAACTGCAGTCCCTCGTCTCTCGCTCCTCTGATATCTCATGTTGAACAAGCCCTAGCACGTCCAATAGTCATCGTCAACCAAAGCTACCTTCATGTCGCTTCAGCCTCATCCAAATCCGACTCTTCATTTGACACAATCTCCTCCACGATAAGGTTGCCCGATCTTCCAATCGCCTCTCCGATGGTTTGCTCCTCCCTGGGCTCGTAGACAGTCCGCGGCATGACCGACGCGATTTGAAACCGGTATTCGTGCTTGTAGTCCGAAGGCGGACGTTTCTGTGCCGAATCTTGCCCGGCCGCCTCCCCGAGCATATCGTAGCATTCGACGAAGGCATACAGCGACTCCAAAGTTGCCGAGTTGCGAAACCGCCGAACGATCCTCCCTGCGCCGGACGATTCGGGCATCTTGAGCGCGAGTCGTGACACTTCCTTGTCCGTTGCCGGCGGCTCCGCCTCAATCGTCGTTGCTCTCCACCGCTTCCAGTCCGTGCGATGCTGTTCTAGCCGCTCTGCCGCCGCCGCCGCTTCTTCGGCTCGTCTGGCTGCTTCCGCCGCCGCTTTCTCAGCCTCGCGCCGCTGTCGTGCTCGTTCCCGATCTTTGGCGAGTGACCTCTCGTATGCCGAGTCCTGTTGGTTCCTCAGGTTCCGAGACACCTCCTGCGCGACCCGTTCTGCCCGGACACCCGCTAGGTCCCCAGCGTATTTGTTGATCGCCGTCTGGGCCTCCGAGAGATACGTCGACGGGGGCATCGGCCCCGCCAACCGCTTGACGATGCTCATCCGCGTACTACCTTCCTTGGGCGTCAGGCAGACCAGCGCCGAAAACGGATACTTAGTGCAGTTGTACTCCTGCGCTACCTGGTACGCCTCAGAATCGAGAACATTGCCTCCCCACAGGATGATATTATTCGCCGGGTCTCTGATGAAGTTGACCACGTCTGGTGCCAGGAGAGTGTCTCGTGTGAAAGAAGCGGTTTCGTCGTGCTCGGGCGACATGAGCACAACCCATAGGAACTTGAGATCCTTCTTCGCTAGATCCTGCGCCTGGGCAATGCCACCTTCAAACCATGGCAGTTCGTCGCTGCCATACTCCTCTTCGAATTCCCGTTTGAACCTCGCCGCCGTGTCTTGCGGCATCAGCATACGGCGGCCGGTGGTGTTGCGCAGTCCTCTCGCCGCCCCGTTCGTCAGCGCCCTTGGTCGGATTGGCGCTGGGAGGAACGACAGCAGATACCACACCGTGCGGAAGATTCGGGAGGCCACGTTGTATCCGATGCTGAAGGGTGCCAGTAGCAGGCCGATCAGGAACGGTGGTCTGTGGAGCATGGGCGGCTGCGGGACAATTCGTGGAGCGGGGTCGGGGACGTTCGGTCTCGATCGTCGAGGTTGCGGAGTAGAATGGTACAGGCTTTCTTGCAGGTTCTCGTGTCTCGCCGTCATACGGGGTAGGTCTTGTTGTTGGGCCATGGCTTCGGCAACGGGATCGGGGCCCTCGCCATCGAAGAACTTGGCGATGGCGATCTACGTGATGGCAGGTTAAGTCTTGCTTACCGACATCGGCTAGGCGGAGGAACGAGATTGGGATGGAAAGAAGAGGGAGAAAAAGGATGACCACCGACCTGTACATTCCATTGCGATCGCTGTAATAGGGGAATCGCGTCCTTCACTTCCTGGTTTGTCACCTGCGTGTACTGTTGCAGAGCTTCCTGTTGACTTGAGGACAGCTGTCCAATATCGAAATCTCCTTGACCCGCCATAGTTGTTCGTAGAGGCAGGAAATAGGTTATAATCACTAAAAGCGAGGACTTGCAAGTCTGAGAGTTGATTCGGGTTGTCAGACAGGCTGGTCGTCTTGAGAAATAGTTCGCACTCGTAGCTTGGAGATGTTTGAGATAAGGTGTTAGAGGGAATGTAGCCTCTTTGAAGCCCGCTGACGGCTGTTGGAAGTCGGGAAAAGAGGGAGGAGAGGGGAGAGTTAAAGAAAATCAGATGTCAGATAGTAGTCTAAGACATTGACAAAGAAAATATTTACTCAGCGCATAGGAAGAGCTTTCACGAAACCAAAACAAGGTAAAAAGGGCAGTATAGAATCAAAGTTGACACGGCTGCTTGCACACGAAATGGATTCACGAAGTATTTATGGATTAATAACTGGATGACATTGGATGGAATCGAGGTGCTATATCCCCACAAGGTATCCCCACAAGGTATCCCCACAAGGTACCTTACTCTTGGCACAAGTGACGACATAAGGTACCTACCTACCTTACTCATAGGTACCTTGAGGTAGGGGACTAAGACATGCACTTACGTACCTTACGGATATGGAGTACGGATACCTACTCCGAACTCTTATCAGTCAAAGGTGTGGCCCAGGTACCCTAGCAGGGACGCTACGTACCTTAGCTGGTCACTTTGTTCAGCCTGACTTTTGTACTTCATGCACGCTTAGGTGCCCTGGGTCGGTCTTTATCATGCAATAAAGCTAGAGCATTATGAGCTTTTAAGCGTATTCCCTTATACCAAGGTTGCGACTCCCCTTTGACAAGCCAACATATTCAACCCCACCAAAATATGTTCTCGCATAAGGGAATATTTGACCCATGCTGTTTCCCTTTTGTGGGGAAGCCCAGAAAGTGGGCATTTAGCGCGTCTCTTGCTCTCCCAACTTCAACCTCGCTCCTCTCCACCCCTTGTCTGGCTTCCTCCGTCAGCGCTCACGCCGGACACTTGCTGCATTGACTCTTTCTTTTACCTATACGACACCGCGCAGTTATTAGCGCGTGGTCGTGGCTCTCCCCAAGGCTCATTAACGCATCCTGCCTCTTCGGTACTGAGCCCATGGGCGATTATTTGAACTTCTTCGAACCATGGGCAGAGTCAGTGAGGTTCAAGTGCGTACCCGTCCGTCCTCTCTCCTCTGCAGTCTGTGCTTTGCCCCCACCCCAGACCCGCCAGTGGTCCCCCCTCCTCTACCCGACAGTGTCTCGGACGCGGAGACAGAGCGCGAACCTCGACAGCATGTGTTGGAAGACTGGCTTCGCGAAACTCTTATATCGTTTTCGGCAGAGAGCTAACCATGGGCTTGTAAACGTTGTAGAGCCGACTATAGGGGGAGTCATTTCTAGTCATCGCCATCACCATGGCGGCATCGCGCTACAACTCGCCCGATCTTCGTCGCCAGGTCGGCACATCGCCTAAGCCCAAGACCAGAGGCGAGTTCTCTATTCTTTTTGGGGTTTTCAACGGGTAGCTGACTATCGGCCATTGGCTCTGCAGATACCAAAGACACTCTCTGCCGAAACGTCCTGATATATGGCCATTGCCGCTATGAGAACAGTGGTTGCGCATTCAACCATGACCAGAACCGAAACAACTCCAGTCAGAACAGCCATAGTACCCAAACCTCTTCGGAAAAGTAGGTTCTTATTTTGTTTCTTTGTTGTGATAATTTTTGCGCCTGGACTCGACATACTTCCAACAACATCACGTCAATTCATTCGCCATTCGACGTATTATTGGAGATTGGTCTGAGGTTGTGTGGTGGGGGGTGTGAATGGTCAAAGCCGAATGCACAGTCGACGCCATTGAGCAGAAAGAACACTTAACACCCTGAATAACGATGGGCTGCCGGTTATTGCGTTCCCGGAGCCATCGTTTCTAAGACTTGAATATCTCCAATGAACGGCAGCTCGGCACCCATAGCACAACAGAGAAGCCGCAAAACCCAACATTGATCGAACTCCGCGCGCAGCCGGCCTTCAGCTGTCAGGGCATGTGCTTCAGTCCAGGCCATGCCAGTCAGTTAACGCAATGTTCAGACTGTTGGTTCTCAGTATATCCTGCGAACCACTCTCGAGACAGCCTCGTCGAAACCATTCCCAGCTCTTTCTATTCGGCAAAAGTCGTTCGCCGGAAATACAGCCATAGCAATAACTTTCGAATCGGTTGTTTGGATCGCTCTATGCCCAAAAGGGCTGTATGGGCTCTCAAGCTGAGCGCGACAACTGGATGGATGTCTTGAACTCAATCTGGATCTTCTCTGCTTTGCGCATATCCATTAGTTGGTATTGATCTTCAGAGCTAACGTTGTCATTTCAAGTGGTACAAAGAAGTTGAACGTCGACTCGCCGTCTTTTACACCGACCGGTTTGCAATCTACAACTACAAATCCATCCACGCCAACATCATCATCTAAGAGGCCTACCTTTTCTACTCAGGCTGCGAGTGCGGCATCTTTCGTCCCTCGAGGCGCTGGCTGTTAGTTCCTACCCCTCACTCTCCGTTGCGATTCTGAGCTAAGAGTTTTCCTCGTACAGTATCCAAAGATGAGTCCACAACGTCTGTCTTCAACCCGGCAAAGTTCCAGGAATTTAAACCCCAAAACTATGACTTGGCTTCCAATGTATTCCAAACCCTTCTGATGTTGCAGCACTCGTAAACTAACTCCACGCAGATCAACGCCAACGGAACTTCCCCTGAACCGACAGGCCTTGCGTACGATCCATTCTCTCTGTCGTCCATAGGCCAAACCCTGCCAACCCCCCAGTACAACCCCTACGCTGAGGATCCAACGGCTTTGGGCGGAACTACCGCATTCTTCCAGCAACAAAATACGTTTGTTCCTCCCATGCAACCTGCAAGTGCCCATGCCCACCCTTAGGTGCCGTCCAGGTTGCTGACAGATCCAAGCTACAATATCACCTTTATGCGCCCCTCGGGCAACCTAGAGACGGGCTTCTACCCTATCAGCGGCAAACCCACGACTTCTTTTTGCCAGAGAAGTTGCGCGAGGACGCTCAGCGAAAGTTGGAGGCCGCTCATCAGGTTCTGGCGAGTGAGTAATGATGCGTCCGGATTTGGATCATGGCACATTTCCTGACCGGAACAGACTCGGCCCTGCCAAATGTCGACCACTTCACATCCCTCGTGCCGCTAGACACAAACAATAGGGAAAGCTCGACAATTTTCGGATATACAAGCTGGGTGTATAAGGCGGTGTCCCAGGAGAATGGCAGGACGTATTGCCTGCGGCGTATCAAAGGTCCGTTCATTCATCCACCCTTACCTGCCCCGTCTGCTTGGCAGCTTTGCTGATGTACTTTGCAGATTTCCGTCTCAGCAACGAGAACGCCATTCGGTCGGTCAAGGAATGGAAAAGAGTCCACAACGGCAGCGTGGTGTCAGTTCACAGTGCCTTTACTACTCGTCGATTTCAGGACAGCTCCATTATCTTCGTCTACGACTTCCATCCGCTTTCGAAGACGCTTTCGCAGCAGCATTTCACGCAAACGAACAACAGATACAACCCCAGAACTACCGTCACAGAAGACTTGCTCTGGAGCTACATCACACAGATTGCCAACGCCCTGAGAGCGATCCATAAGCTTAACCTAGCTGCCAGGTGTCTTGACCCAAGCAAGATCATCCTAACCGAGAAGAATAGGATACGCTTGAGCGCATGCTCCATTCTAGATGTGCTTCAGTACGATGCTCGACGACCGTTGCAGGACCTGCAGCAAGACGACCTGGCACAGTTTGGTAAAGTCATGCTTTGCCTGGCCAGCAACACGCCGCCCAGCTCACTCAACAACAACAATGCCCCTCTCATTATGCAGCAACTGAGCGCTGTGTACTCAGAGCCCCTCGTGGGCAACATCATGTGGTTACTTTTCCCTCCTCAGTCGGGAGAAACCAAAACGATCGACGCCTTCCTCACCAAGATATCAGGCCAGATCATGTCCAACCTAGACATGTTGATGCATCAAAATGATGGCCTCAACTCGACTCTCTACCAGGAGATTGAAAACGGGAGACTATTCCGCCTACTCTGCAAGCTCGGAACTATCAACGAGAGGCAGGAGTTTGACGGTGATCGCCAATGGTCGGAGAACGGTGAGCGGTACATGATCAAGCTCTTCCGGGACTACGTTTTCCACCAAGTAGACTCAAACGGGCAGCCGGTAGTGGACATGGGCCACATCGTTCGCTGTCTGAACAAGCTGGATGCCGGGACGGAGGAGAGGATATGTCTCACCAGCCGCGACGACCAGTCTGCCTTCGTCGTCAGTTATAAGGAACTGAAGAAACAGATCGGGAGCGCATTCGGGGAGCTTTTGAAGGGGAGGACCAACGCGGGCCGGGGCTTTTAGGGGCCGAACCCAAGCCGGCCGGATTTCGACCTACTTGGACAGGACACGGGCGCGGACGCGGCATATACGCGCACCAGACAGTCAACGTGATCATGAAGAAGCTGGGTTGGCGCAAGACGTGTGGGATTAGGGAATGAGAAAGCGCAGGAAAGCGTTCTGTTGGATGTCATGGAAGCGAGGATTCATTCTTCGTGATCTGTCCATCGCGGTAGATGTAGCGTGCGGAATAGACGTTGACAGACAGACTCAGGGAGCCCCAGGGCGACTTTGACTGGAGACATCTAAATATCTTGCCGATGCGGCAAAAGTTAGGAGAAGATTTAAGCAAATGAAAGCCCTGGAAGATGCTCTGTGAATTTCACTTCGACGTCTCTTTTCTGGGGAGACGGCGCTAGTTGGCGGTACGTTATGAGTGCGTGGCACACCTAGATACTAGTATTCATGAGCAGCCAGGTCGGCTCCTTGGTCCACAAATGGCAGGATTCCCTCTCCCTTCAAGACACCGCCACGGAGAGTGCCCAACTTTCTCGCACCTGTAAGCGAGAAGGCGCTTGTTTTTTGGGTGGATCGTGGCTGCTTGACAGCCCTCGTCTCGTTGCATCAGGCGGCGGATATCCGACCCACAACATGTCCCCTCGGGGGGCATCGCCGTCTTTTTAACACCTCCCGGAGCCCGTTCTCGCCCAATGAAAACGTACCCGCGTTCGGGGTGTGATTGGCGTGGCTAACTCGAAAAGCTTTCAGTCGTCATCTGGCTGGGCGAAGGGGTTGGCGATCTGCTCGCTGCCGTCTACTGGGCTGACGAGGACGAGGAGAGTGCCGCGAGCGACGACAAGCCCGAGCGGCCGAGTAGTCTCGTTTCCATCTTCATCTACGGAAGGGGGTCAGATTCTTCGTCTACTCCGGTGGAAAGTGGGAAGACGGAGGGACGGGACATAGAGCTCTATACACGTACCCCTCATGACCTCGTCGACTTCGTCAAGGACAAGATTCATCAAAGCGTCATATCCTTTCAGAGTTCCAGTAACTAGAGGTCGAGCGTTGGCTTAGCAATGGTGTACCCAGGCGGGGGGATCCGGTACTGGCAGAGAAGAAGAGAGTGGTGCACAATGAGCATAGGGGGTCACGAACCCTCGCGGCCACCGTTGAATTTTACGGTGATCCTCTTGTCCATGTATTTCCCAAGATCGAGGATGTTCTCCTTCTTGGGCTTTTCCCGTTCGCCGGTAGACGCTTGATTTCCTCCGTGAGCTTGGGCCCCTCCACGGCCTGCTCCTCCTCCTCGCCCGCCGCGATAACCTCCTCCACCGCGGCCACCACCACGGTGGAATCCTCCTCTATCAGCCATCGCGCGTCTTTCGGGGTTAGGAGATTCTTGGTCGTGCAGGCTAGATAGGGTTCCCCCAAAGTGTCCTGATGATCGGATATTCGTTGGGTCGTGCAGCGAAGGTCCCAGCTCCAGGTATAGAAGGCAGGGTGGGTTTTCGGTCGCGGGCAAGGTAGAGCTGTGCGTCCAGGTCACCTTATAGTTGTGATAGGCCACGCCCATAAGGCTGATTTGAGGGTGGATCGATAGTAGCAGAAAAGAGATATCGTTCTACGAAGATTAGTGGGGTTCGTCTGCCTCTCTTAGTGCGATGTCACCATCTTACCTAATCTAAGAGTTATTAAGTGTACTGTAAACAAATGATCCGAAACCGTTATTGCCCCACCCCGTCGTTCGTGACAAATACCTACAGAGTGCCGTGTCCGTATTTTCTTCAAGATATCCTTTCCTGCGTTTTCTATTGAGCATATAAATCAGTCATAAGACCGTAATTCAAAGACAGAATTCCTAGGGAGAAGAAATGTTTCCTGTGAAGAAAAACATACATGCGACAAGTGTGCGCTACAGCAATTGAAATATTTGTGTTGGACGAATCAAGACCAACAGGCGTGTCAACCCATCGAATGGTACATCCGTTACCCAACCTAAGGTACGGAGTATACGAAGCAGTCCATGATACGAGCAATGCCTTACTTCATAAAGTACTAGGTACGTAATTAATAGGTATATGCCTTTACCTACCTAACGGGGAGGGGGGGTTTAAAGGTCAGAGCTCGAACAGAGACTTTTGCGCTGGCCAGAGCCTGGACAGAGATATTTCTGTTAACATGAAGTTCTAAGACTGTCGACAGACTGACCATTTATTACGGTAGGCTCTGACCTGTACTACCCCCCACGCCCCCGTAGGTACCTTAGGTATCCCAATATGACATGATAAGAGATACCATGACTGGTACCGGATGCAAGTGTGCATTTTACCCCGGACCCGCCGACCCGGCTCTGGGTTTCTACCATTCGAGTGTACGCAATGAAGTAGTTGGTTGGGTGATTATATCTACCATACATTCATAATGCGGATGCCCGGGGGGAACAGGATCTGGTCGGAGCAACAATATCATATGTACTCCGCACGGTAGCAAGCAGCCGACTCCAAGCAGCCTTGGGCGGACGGAGCATGCGATGGAGCAAGAAGTGCGGGAGGCAACCTGTGCGGAGTACTTCTTACAGGAGCAGTACAACGTATTACGGAGTAATTACGCCCTTGTCATGGAAATCGGGAGACCGGCACTGAGGACCCGCCCGGCCCGCTGAAGCTCTGGGAGATACGAAAGCACCCCGTCTGTGCGCACATTCTGTGATCAACCTCTAGTCTCTCTTCGACCAACTCTAGCCTCACTTCACTACGGATTTCCACCCACCAGCTCATTTCATTACACTCGGAAAGCCCTCGGGCTTCCTCTCCATTCCCACAGCCCCCTTCCGTTCTACTTCTTTTATCAATTTGAGCGTAAACTACACATCCACATCGAGAAGCATGGTCCTTCTTCTTCATTCAACAATGTCTTTGTCCTCACTGTAGGAACCGATTGAGGTCTGAGCGACCACAGAGCTTTACAACGGACGTTACTTCCCGCCGCCTTTACCTGAATCTTCGGTTCTCGCACCTGCCTCTAGAATTCACTCAATTTGGACGACGTTCCCCGATTAGGAACGCTGCTAGGACCCCATCTTCCATTCGAGTCCCTCTCTTCCACGTCCTGTATGACGGACGACGGCAATAATCTCTGCAGTCCATCCCCGTCCTACTACTCCACGAACCCTCTCAGTTCACCCGGGCCCCAGGGGTGTGTTTTGCTCGCCCTCACCTCTCAGTAATCTTCAATCCGCCCAGGAGACCTGCATCTTCACGTCACCTCTCTGTCGGCTGCTTCTTAATCTCGCAGGTGAACCACATTGGAGGCCAAGATTCCGCCGTCATTAATCTCATCCTACCGTGCACCTTGCCCCCCATCGAGCCTTAGCACGGCACCGTACATTGCAGTCCATCGCACCCGTCGGGCTCGGGCTCGTGAGTATCACCATGTCATATGCCCCCGACTCCCAGGAACAGCACAAACGAAAACGGGATATGGATGGCGCCGTCACTCGGTCTTCGCATTCCGACCGTATCCCTCAACCCCCTCCTCCAATACATTCAGGTATGTTCTGACCCAGCCAGTTTTGTGCTGTGATTTGAGCCTCCTTTGTTGGACACTAGCCTGTGCCCTTCCTTGTTGCAATTTCAATCCGGGGCCACGCGATGATGCCGTCGCTCTGGTGTAATGAACCGAGCGAGCATGTTGACGGGGGTCAAATGTGACTTGGATATTCCACGCATGATGGCCTTTCCGTGTCCCAAGCCGGCATTGGGCTGCTTTATTCCCTTCCATGACTTGCATCATGGCATCACTCTGAATGGAACCACGTTGTCGGATGGCTTCCACGGCCTTCCAAGTTCGAAGCCTCATTTCTTTTCTCTGACGGGGGGCTATTCTGTCAATGCAACGCACTAACCGGCGCAATCAAGGCGAGTCGTCTCGAATCAACTACCTGACGAAGACTTTTCCGGGAAAGCTCGATCTCATTCCTGGCGACTCAGACACATTTGCAGATGTCCTGGGCCTTATCAACAGCTATGAAGGTGCGAGAATTTCTCTCAAATGCTACATCGTATTCGGTTTGGAAGTTCTGCCCGGCACTTGGACTAGTGAGGAACTGACACGATTTCTCTGGCAATAGGCGTCTTGAGCCGACAGGAAAGCCTCGCATCCAACCTGGGAGCCAAGCTCACGGGTCCCCGGTTGCTGCGGGCCATGGAGGGCGCCTTCGAAGGCCCCATCATCGTTAAGCCCTCGTCTCCTTTCGGACCCGGCCCAGTGAGCTGGCTGGACATTGTGACGTTCGCAAAGACGAATCCGGGCCAATTCGTTCTGACCACGTCCCCAGAAGGCCAACGATCGTGTCAGTTTTTCCTCCACGGGCTTCAGGTTGAGATTCTTGAGGACGATTGGCGCCTTATCGTGAATGGTGCCCTGGACAGGTTCTCGTTGACCTCCACGTCACCATTAGAAGAAGATGAGACAGCAGAACTCGCGACTGTGGACATTCTAGAAAAAAGGCTCCAGGTCCTCATAAAAAGGGCAGACGAGGTGGCTAAACGAGCCCGTCAATTGAACTATCACCTAAGCGGCCGCAAAGCGGCTATCAAGTCTAGGCATCCAAGCCCCAACACAGCTTTCCACCACTCTGGCCCGGCCCGGCACCCCGGCGGACCTAGCGCAGCATACGATTTGCATGCCGATCTGTTGCAACAGTTCCTCTCCCCTTTCTCGTCACAGCCAGTCGCCCCACGACCGATTTTCCATCCTGACCGTGACGCCACCCACCGTCACCCGCCCCATGCCAACAGAACAACCGATCATCATCACCAACATCATACGCCCAACACGACAGAAACTAACAACTCCCCTATCACAGTGGCGGGACCATGCGGCCCCGCCAAGGAATTACCAGATCCATCGGAAGTACACAGGCCAATTGTCACCTCTAGGATAGAACGACTCGGCAAGGGCGACGAGATCTACCCCCCTTGCGATCGGTGCAGGCGGCTCAAAACTGTGTGCATCAAGCACCTTACCGCATGTCAGGGCTGCACTAAGAGACATGCCAAGTGTGGGTGGAGAGGCATCACTGAGGAAGAAATCGCATGGCTTGAGCGAGAGGCCAACCACGCGGCCGAACCGGACGCCGAGGCCAATGGGGCCAGCACTACGCATACTTCGGGATCGAGATACGATGCCGTACACGATGAGATACGACATGCCGTGGACGATTCGGTAGGATCTCCCGCCGCACGAGGGTCGGGCTCGAGGCCTACTAGTAGAGGGGCCCATCCACCTTTGCAGCCTCAATCGCCTACCGAAACAGAGGGAAGAAGACACCTAGCCAGTAGTATCGCCGACGTCGGTCGCCGACCCGCTCCATCACCGCCGCGGCACTGGGACAGAGACGTACGTCAGCGAAGCGACCATCCGGGCTGTCAGAAGGACTCGTTCATGAGCCACATGGGGTCGACGACATCGTCGGCCACCCCGGAGGCCCACGAGGCAAACATGACACACACATGACAAACTCTGCGGCACCACCAGTGAGTGGCCATTAAGAGGACCCAGAAGTCAAACATCATTCTTCGAATAACGGAAGGTCTGTAGAGAGAAATGGCTTGAGGCGGACTGTACAACAAGTACGGATATGTCCCACAAGGTTTACGGCATATAACCACAGGTATAACGAGAAGGATTCGATGAAACTATTTCCAAATTGCAAGTTCCAGCCAAAGAAGATCATGGTATGAATAGGAGTGGCAGCGTCGTCATGGTCCCCTTCTCACATGTCCTCGACACAACCGTGGGTACGTAGATTTCAGCAATGGGGGCATGTTCATCTCTTACGTGCATATTCCAAAGGTCGCGATTGCGGGGCCACAAAAGGGAGGCGCACGGACCACTTTTGCTTCCGTCCCGTCCTCGATGACCAAGAGAGCGTCGCGTCTACCTGGTACCTCAGGTAAGCAGGGGGGAAAGAAAAAAAAAAGTCGAGGGTAAAGGTTCCTCCAAGTTACGATAGATATCAAGGTAATACCTGCTCAAGAAACAGCTACGAGTCCAAGCCCACGTCTACGAACGTGCTGGATATGATAGCCCGACCGAGGGTTATTCTTCTCTATTAGTCATTTTGCACTTCTTTCTTTTCTATACCTCGTTCTAATCAGTTGTACAACAAACACATTGGCGTCTTCACCAGTCCTTTCGGTCCCCGTCGTCCACTTCGCTCCCCTGGAGCTCTCCTTCTCGCCACTTCGACCTTCTTCATGTCCCCTCACCCGCCCGCGCATGCATACATGGCTGGCCCAGGTGATGGGCGGCAGTCGCCTAGTACCCAGGGAGGTACACAACCCGACACAAAATCCTTTGTGACCTCCCGCGAGACGGGAGACGTCATCCCAGACTCGCCGCAGAATCCGGCTCTCACACCCAAGCCGTCCCCATTTGCCAAATCATGGGTTCACTTCATTGCAGGAGGGTGAGATTTCTCTTGTCCGTTTTTGCCGGCCGATCCTTGTTAGGGTCAAATGAAATGAAACCCCCGCCACGGCCTCCAGCTAACTCGTCGCCCATGGGCAGTATCGGCGGCATCACGGCAGCCACCCTAACCGCCCCCCTCGACGTCCTCAAAACCCGACTCCAATCCGATTTCTACCAAGCCCACCTCAGAGCCTCGCGACCGGCGGTAGCCCTTAGCCCGGTCCGGGCAGCCGCCTTCCACCTCAGGGACACCATGCAGATCCTGGCGTCGGTCTACAAACTCGAAGGCCCCCGGGCGCTCTTCAAGGGCCTAGGTCCCAACCTCGTGGGCGTGGTGCCGGCCCGCAGCATCAACTTCTACACCTACGGCAACGGCAAGCGGCTGATCGCGCAGTACGCCAACAACGGCAAGGAGGCGGCGTGGGTGCACCTCGCCGCGGGCGTGGCGGCCGGCATCGTCACCAGCACGGCGACGAACCCGATCTGGCTCGTCAAAACGCGACTGCAGCTCGACAAGAACGTGGCGGAGCAGAGCGGCGGCGTGGCCAAGCGCCAGTACCGGAACAGCTGGGACTGCGTGCGGCAGGTCGTGCGGGACGAGGGCGTCAGGGGGCTGTACAAGGGCATGAGCGCCAGCTACCTCGGCGTCGCCGAGAGCACGCTGCAGTGGATGCTGTACGAGCAGATGAAGCGCTACCTCGCGCGCCGGGAGGAGCGCATCATCCGCAGCGGGCGCGAGAAGACTTTCTGGGACCGGACGGTGGATTGGACTGGCAAGGTGAACGCTGCGGGTGGCGCCAAGCTCATCGCGGCTATTTTGGCCTACCCTCACGAGGTATGATGTCCCACACCCTTCCCCGCCCTTTTCTTTTCTGGGCGATTGGAAAGCGGAAGAAGCAAGCAACTTGGCGCACAAGGAGAAACGTCGGTTGATGTAAGATCATCCTGCTAACGGGGTCATAACAGGTCGCGAGAACAAGGCTCAGACAAGCGCCTATGGCGGACGGAAGACTCAAGTACACGGGCTTGATCCAGTGCTTCCGTCTCGTGTGGAAGGAAGAAGGCTTCATGGGCCTCTACGGCGGCATGACCCCTCACCTCATGCGCACTGTGCCCAGCGCCGCCATCATGTTCGGCATGTATGAGGCGATTCTACGCATCTTCGACGTCTCCTCCAACGAGCGGTGAACGGAGGCATAATCACGCTTTACACTTTTCCGTTATCATCTGCACGGAGATTCTCTGGCCCCTACTTGACTCGGGCCACTTAGAAAACATGTAACACCACCCTCATGGCCTAAACCTGCACTTGACAGGCCTGATGATTTCTCCGCTTTCTCGGATCTGTCTTACATTCACTTATTTTTTGTCGTCGGTCTTTTTTTTTATGTACGATCAGGACAGGCGGACGTACCACGGCGACGTTTACCCGCTGATAGACTTAGGAGGGAAAGGGGACGCAGATGTCCGACTCGGAGGGGACAACCCGGGAAGGTTAAACATAATACTGGCATAACTTCCGTGGACAAGGGAAGGCATAGGAACAAAGAAAGGCGAGAGGTTGCCCTGGGAACAAGGTGGGAGTGGGTGCTGTACAACATTACCATGTATTATATGGTGTAGACCGGGTAAAAGGCATGCCCTCAAGAGGCTTTGGGACACGAGACATGATCCCATAAAATATATCATACTTACAAAAAAGAAAAAAAGAAGAAGAAAAGGAAAGGAAAGGTGTAGCAACGCGCCTGCTGATATGTACATACATACTATGAGGCTTGATAGTCATTCATCTTCAGGCTCAAAAACTGTACATACAACTTAAGAAGCTTCGAAGGCAAACGAAGGAGGAGTGTGGAAGAAAAATGAAAAATGAAAAAAGAAACAAAAAAAAAACCGCTGACGCTGCCACCATCGTAAACTTTTCATGGCCCCATCAGAAGGGGGTCGACTGAAGCAGAGAAACCTGCGTCCGCTCGACACAGAAGCTAACGAAAAATAGAAAAGAAACACGGCATGATGCTTCTTCTTGCCGCTAGGTGTCGCAGATTCCTGCCCATCCCTCTCGACTTATACACCTACGCAGATACAAAGATGTCACGCATGCCTCCATAACTTCGGGTCTTCAACTTGGTAGTGGATTGGTAGAGAAGCCGGGGACTCGACCCATTGAAATGTCAGACTCTGGTCGAGGCAGCCTCTTTCGAAGCTTTCTGGGCGCTCGGCCGCCTAGAGGAAACGTGATGGATGATACGGATGGGGCGACGGATGAGAACGGGCTGAGCATGCCAGGCCACACGAGGCGGAGGTACATCAGTCACCAGGCGTTTCGGTCCCAGTTGGGGTCTGCGTAAGGTTGAGGTGATGTAAGCGATCGCGCCAGGGCGAGGGCGCAGAAGGGAAACACGGGGAGGGAGCATACCTTGAACAAAAGCCGCAAGGACCTTGCTCCCGGTCTGTAGTAGAGGGTGGCCGACAACAATTTTGAGGAACTTTTCCAGCCCGGCCCGGCGACCCTCAATGACGTCGTCGCTGAAGCGGTTGGTGAACACCTTGCCCGGCAAAGGCGGGATGGTCACGCGGGCCGACTCGCGTTCGAGGATGTCGCGAAAGTACTCAAAGTCGGAATAGCGGCGGCGGACGGACGAGGAGCGCAGCTTGAAGGCGGGGATGTTGGTTCGGCAGACGATTTCGTAGTCGGTGTACATCGAGCGGCCCACGCCATGGGTGCGCGGGTTTCGGACCTGATGGCGGAAAAGTCCCCCTTTTGGGTCAGGAAATGAGGCACTCTAAAAAGAGAGATGGTATGGTGGGGGTCGGTATTTTGGGCTTTGCGCACCTCGATCTCCAGAAAGTTCTCTGGCGGACCGTAGATCTCGTCGAACGACTGCTGTCGCATGTCCGGCATAGCCTGCATGATGGGCCGAATTGATTTTCTGGGCGGGGAGCCCGAGCTGGTGGGAGAGGTTGGAGAAGCTGAGGGAGCGGCGGAAGAGGTGGGGGATGTGGTGGAGGGCTCAGCGCCAGTAGCGCGAGCCGTGTTTTCGTTTCTGGGCTCCGTTTTGGCGGTTGGTGAGACTGGACAATTGGGTGTGGGACGGCGAAAGGCAAAATTCGCAACGAGAGCGAGCGCGGCGACGATCGTTTCGTTTTACCCCTCTCGATTCGTCTGTCTGTGACGAGATGCTCGAGTCGGTAAGCGGCGAGCTATTATGCAGGCCGACACCTCACGCAGGATGGGTGTCTTCGACTTACAAATACAGGAATAAATTACAGGGAAACCGAGGAGAAGAGCGATGAGCGACGAAGTTCCGATGGGGTGGTGGGGGGGTTTGCTTTTTTTTTTGTTGGATTCTGAGGAAGGACGGAGAGAAGGAGATATCCGACGGTGCAACTTGCAGGAGGGGAAGCGGGAATGGGTGGCTCCAGAAGGTTCAATGATGGTTCCGTACCGTTGACGCGGGACCAAGTCTCGAAGTGGAACTCGAAGTTCACAGTTCCCAGTTCGCAGATGGACGGTGGGTTCTGTACGTGTCAGATGTTGAACAGCTAAGGAGGGGCACAATAGAGGACGCCCCCCGAAAAGGACTAGGGGCTAGGAGGGCTCCCCGGCGCCGGGCCTAATAAGTAGCCCCCCGCGGAATAAGCAAGGTACCGTAGTAATATCGCATGGGCAGGACCACGATATGGTCTATAGGGGATCCAGGGGGGATCTACTCCATGACTAAGGGCTCCGGATATCGGGGACTTCTGGTATCAGGATATAATAAGGGTAGATACCGGAAAAGACCGGATAGGATCTAAATGATATAGTACCTATAATAGAGTCTTCACCACCTAAATTAAGGGTATAAGAGACTCTCCTAGATATAACTTAAGATAATATATATATATAAGATTTCTACTCTACTAAGTTAATTATATAAGTGCCTTTTAACGTGCGATAGTTATAAGCCCGGTTTATAACACCTAAACGATAGATATTAATAAGGCTACCCCTATTCTACTATAAAGAAGTAATTATGTTTATATAAGCACTCTTAAATAACTACTATTAACCTAATTAGAGTAATTAAAAGATTAATTAACTTACCTATCAATTAACTAACCGATAAACGATAAACTACTAAAGATATCTTCTAATATATCTAACGCCGAATAAAAGGCGGCCGTTATTACCCTTATTAATTAGAGGGATTAAGCGGTTTAGGAGCGCGCCGTATACGGTAAATTAGCCTCCTACTAGGATAACTACCTTAATCTAAAGCTAAGCGATAGAGAGGCTAACGTCTATCTCCTCCTTATACCTACGCCCCCTAACGTCCGTAAATATAAGGCTCTCGCCGTAGACCCTAACACGGAGGAGGTTATAGCTATTACTACTATAGTTACTCCGTCTTCTACTATTACGCTAGAGGGCGATAAGGTTATAGATACCACGGATACCGCCGCTATAGCCGTTACCACGGCGGCCACGGCCGCCGGTAAGAGGAAAACGGCCGCTCGCCGGAAGGCTACGGCTATAATAAAAGAACTAACAACTAGGACGCCTATATCTATTAATAACCTCTCTAAAAAGGGGCGTACGCGCTACCTATAAGATCGCCGCGTATACCGCGAGGAAAAGGCAGACTATAATATATAGTAGAAGGAGTTTAATAAGGTACGCTCCTATATCGAAAGGACTATTTACACTATATTATATAACCTCCTCGCTTAGTTATAGGATAATACCATAAATAACCCACGGGCTTAGATTACTCTCCTACACGCGCACGCAGGACTAATACCTATAGACCTCCGCAAGGAAGCTCTAATCCTATACCGATAATATACCACGCTAATAAAGGCTATACCTAAGGATATAAACGCTTAAGTAGTAAGCTAGAAAATAGCTATAATATACTATAAATATATAGGCGTTTTAGAACTATTAAGCGCGGACTATTAGGTAGAAGACGCGTTAAAAGCCGTTAGACCTATTACCTAGGAATAGAGTAATAACTACTTAGTAAATAACTACGATAAGATTATGGAAAATAAACTAACGATTAACGACTTCGTAAAGGCTTGAGGGCGGTTCTTAGTAATATAAAGAGTCTATAATCCACCGTTATAAAGCCTAGAGTTAGGAGAGGCACCTTTAATACCCTTAGAAATCTCCCTGATACTAAGGATACTACTAATAACGATAATAATAAGAAGCGCCCATATAGTAATATATCCATAAAGGCTATCCCTTCCGTAACGAGGAGGCCTTAAAAGATATATAAAAACACCTATACTACCGCCGCCTATTAGTATATAAGGCCGGATATACGCCCTTATACCTAGTGTGGCCGTGAAGATATTATAAAGGTCGCGGAAAAGAAGATACGTATTTATAGTTTTAAAAGCCGCGTGGATACCGCGATATAGAAAAGACGGGAAGTAGTAGCTACTACTGCTAATAAGATAAAGGAAGCCTAGGAAGATTAACTCTATAATACTACGCCTACTACAGTTTATAAAGACCTGTCCGTTACCGCGACGGGGAGACTAGGAGCCCCCCTAACTTAGGGGGTAGCGCGTTGTTATACGATAACACTATTAAGATTATAATAAGAATAGGGGATATCCCTTTCTATTAATTAAGCTAAAGCGCTATTATACTACGCGATCCTAAACTTAGGATTATTAATCTATATCTTTAATAATTAAGGCCGTTTTACGGCTATTAGACTACCCACGGTTAATTTATTAACGCTTTAGGTGGGTACTTATAAGGCTCCTATCCTCGGATACGGAGACGTTAAGCTATATATATAATCCTTAACGGGTATAAAGAGGCTACTACGCCTCCGTAATATCGTATACTATAAGGAATTCGTTACTAATATCATCTCGGAACGCTAGCTACGCCTATAAGGTTACTATTAGAATACCGTAAACGATACTATTATTAGCTCCGCCGATAACCGGCCTATCTAGGGGCTACTAGATATCCACGGCTAGTATATAATCGAGCGTACGGAAGCTATAGCCATTACCGTGTTCGCGGTCTTAGTAAGGCACCCCCGCGATAACCCGTATAGAAGATCACGATAACAGCAGTAACCGTAGAAGACCACGGTATAATAGTAGCACGAACCCCTCGGCCACTACGGCACTAATACTCTTATAAAGAGTATTAATGCTATTTAGGGGGTAAAGATAAAGGGACCACGTATAACAGACTATAACGCGTATAGATAATCGTAAATACCTATGTAGATCCGGCTGATACTATCCCTTTACCCGTTAAAGCCCGGAGAGGCCTTAGCTATTAATTTTCACGATCTAGAAGAGTCGGAATCGCTAGGCGGCCTATATAAGTCTATTATATTCGTTATAGACGTGTATATAGGTTATACGTAGGACTACTACCTATAGAAAAGAGACTAAGGCTCTATTCTATATATATTAAAAGACGTTTTTACCCTGCTTAAGACCTAATTCGACGTTAGGCTACGCGTTCTACGGGCCGATTCTACGATATTTTAGTAACTAGAAGTTGTTACTTTCCTCGCTACTAAGGGGGTAAAAGGCTAGTTATCGGTATTATATTTATAGAATTAAAACGGCGTTATAGAATGGATTAGAGGTATCGTTAAAAGGAGGGCGAGGGCTCTAAGGATTAGGGCTAATCTGCCTATATCTATCTAGCCTAAGATCTTTGAGACTACTATATATCTATATAATAGGATGCCACGATATATTAATAACTAGCGAACGCTATATAAAGGCCTACGCGGCCGTTAACCTAACCTTACGCACCTATAAGCTTACGGCTATAAAGCCTTTATAATAACGCGCGATGCCTAAGCTAAAAGGAACCGCCTATAAAGGCTAAAACCGAAGGTATAGATCGGTTATTATATCAGATACTAATCCTCGAATAGCTTCTGTATTTAGCTACTATACCTAACAGATATTATCACTATAAAAGATAAAGTCTTTAACGAAGATAAGATATTTAATAGTAGGATTAAAACGCTATAAGCTATAGCTTCCGCTAAGGAGATCGGGGAATACCTATAATCTATCTATATTATCTAATCTAATAAGACCGCGAATAGGCTACTATTAAGGGGTATAGCCGTAGACGTATTAGATCTTAAGTCGGAAGACTTTAACCCTACCGCTATTACTACAGGTAAAAGCGACGCCACCGCTATTACTACGGATAAAGGCGAGGCCGTCGCTATTACTACGAGAGAGGCTATTACTATTATTATAGACTATACCGCTATTACTACGGGCACCGCTATTACTATAGATACTGCTATTACTATAGAAGAAGACTATACCACCGTTATTACTACGGGTAAAGGCGACGCTACCGCTATTACTACGGATAAAAGTAAGGCCGTCGCTATTACTATAAAAGAGGCTACTACTATTACTATAGATAAGGTTCTAAATCTATAGCCTAATAACTAGGCTATAGATTTAGAACCTCGTAACTCTAATGCCACCGCTATTACTATAGGAGAGGCTACCGCTATTACTACGGATACTTCACGGTTTACTATTACGAGGTTTAAACCGTTTCCTACGCCTTTAATATCCCCGGAAGATCCCGCACGCGCGTTCCTTATAGCGTTAGCGGTGGTTAGGGGAAT